TCCCATGTGCCGTCCTGTCCGACGCCACACAGAGCACCGGAGTGCCCCTTGCTGACTACCAGACCTTTGCGGTCACCACGGCAACAGCCCTGGTCATTGTTGTCAGCGTACAGGTGAGTGAGGCCAGAGTGGTTAGCTTTCCTCACAGCTGACAACCTCTATATTTAACTATTGTGTGTTCCATCGTTGTGTGTTAACTGTGCACCTCTGTTGTTTTTTGCATGTGTGGGACTATGTAGATCGCTCTTGACACAGGCTTCTGGACAGTTTTCAACCATGTGTTTGTGTGGGGCTCTCTGGGCTCCTACTTCACCATCATGTTCGCTCTGCACAGTCAGACCCTCTTCAAGATCTTTCCCAATCAGTTCCACTTTGTAGGTCGGTCCCCTGTTCTCTTTATTTGTACGTCACACACAAACAAACACGATAGAGCCTGACCAATGTTGAATTTTTGTAGCCAACATCAAGTTTTGAGTTTTAAAAAATCTAATTTCTTAATTTTAGAATGCCTCAGATTTATCAAGAGAATTGTGATAGATTGCACTGAGGGAAGATATTTGATAAATGTAAATAAAGCAGACATAACAAAAGTATATCATGGGTGAATCAGTAAAAAACTGGTCAAATACACCAAAATGTGGCTCGTCAATATATTGGTTGGGCTCTATCATCTGCCAAATCACACTTAGACACATTTAGAAACACATAGCCTGCACACATACACTTTTACATACAATTAGATAACCCAAATTATATCTGACTCATCAGCCCCACTGCAGTTGCCTACTAAAATCATTTCACACCACCAGTGAAATCATTGTGTAATGATGTCTAATATCTGTGCATTTACTGTGTTTGTGAAATGCTATAAATTCCTGAAACATGTTTGTGTATGTGTGTTTGTGAGTACAGGTAGTGCTCAGAGCACATTATTGCAACCAGTCGTGTGGTTAACTATTGCACTAGCAACAGCAATCTGCATAGTTCCAGTTTTGGCATTCCGCTTCCTTAAGGTGGATCTCAAACCTCAGCTCTCAGACACGGTGAGAAAACACACACAAACACAACGTTTCTACCACTGATGTGTACATCTTCTCCATTGCAACATGTGTCAGTGTCACATCTTCCCAGCAGGTCAGTTTTTAACTGCTCTCAGCCAATGATTAACTGCATGCGAATGTGTACAAACTGTGTGTGATGAAGAGTTCAGGCGTACCGTAACTGGCCTCATGCTGTGCAAATACTTTGCAAATATTGACTTAATCAGTGTACCCTAATGACAGAACTTGCTTTTAGTGCATGAATATAAACTCAGTGTGTGTTGTCAGTCAGTGTGTCTCAAGCTTGCGGGGCGTCCTACCGAAGCCACTGTCATGGTGGTGTGAAGAACTTCCTTTTTTAAATTTGATTGTAGGGTTGGGGGATTCTCTAGTCACTCTCTTTACACTGGGGATAAGTTTGAGTTGTAAAGTACTAAGAGTTTTGAGTTTGGATGAGATTTTGGATCAGGTAGAGAAGTGGCAAAGAAAGTTTGACCAACAACTGAAGTGCACTAAAAATGAAATGCACACAGGTGAAATGGTGAAATAAAATGATTTAACAACCTAACCTTAAAGGAATAAATGGCCTATTTTAGGTTGCTCATTAGCTTAGCTTAGCACAAAGACTGGAAATAGGGCTAAAAATTAACATTAACATGTACAAAATCAAGTTGCAGGGTAACAGAGGTCATTTTTTACATTTCTATAATAGCTTCCTAATTTGTGCTGTTAAGAAATAGGCTACTTACAGTGTGTAAAGCACTAAAATAAAATGTGTTTTAATGGGTGACTGAGAGGCAAATTGTAAAGCATTATGTACATTAAGGTTGAAAAAAGTTCTATGTTTGTGCAATCCATTTACCGTAAATGTATTTTTGCATCATCAGCTTTTCACTTTTTTGTCACATAATTGAATATAAAATCTGTTTAGTTCAGCTGGAAGTTCTCTTTCAAACAGACTATAAACAACATCATGTGACTAAATTTACTCAAAAAGTCCCCTCTTCTGTGCCTTCTCCAGGTGCGCTACACTCAGCTGGTGCGGCAGAAGAAGAGAAAGCCAGTAGGTCGTAGCATGGGGGGTGCCTGGCGTGGTGCGGGCAGTGTGTCAGAGGGCCGTCTGGGCGCACGCAGTGGTTCCAGGAGGTCAGGCTATGCCTTTGCCCATCAGGAAGGATTTGGAGAGCTGATCACCTCAGGGAAGAACATGAGGCTCTCGTCTCTGGCCCTGGCCACCTTTGCCTCCAGACACAGCTCCAGCTGGATCGACACGCTCCGCAGGAAGAAGCATACACACACTCACACTCCCCCCAGCGCCTCCGGGGAGTGCAGCCCAGCGCCCAGTTATGTTTCTGGGTCAGTCCCGCCGCTCTCCAACTCCTCCTCTGTTCTGGGCGGCTCACAAGACACACCCATCGAGGAGGAAACAGGCACAGCACCAGCCCAAAATACACAGACTTCATCCACACCAACCCTACCAGCTTTAGCACCAGCTTCAGAAACATCTGCACCTCAGGGTTCAGCCCAGGCCCTCAATGCTGGTGTCCTCACCCCCACAGCAGTGAGGTCCCAGGGGGGAGACTCACCTGGAGGCTGGACAATCACTCTGGGGACTGTGCAGGTGAGCTGCTGTTATAACACATCTAAAATCAGACACACTGACACACTATCTCTATCTGCATTAATAGACCTTTTTCATAGCAGCCATTTTGACATTAAATAGTAGGGTAAAACACAGGCATTACCAATGATACTAATTCAATTTCCGCTCCAATCAGGGTACTGCTATTGTGCATGTTGGCTCACTTGAAAGGCTCTGCTACACTAGCCTAACTAAATGGAAAGGAGCCTTAATTCACGTCATTCATGATAAAATGTCATGTCAAAATGGCTTCTGTGAAAACGTCTATTAACTCCTTTATTATTATAACAGTTAACTCGTCCTCTCTCCAACAGGAAGCTCTGTTTGGTCGGAAGTCTCGTGCCGCTGCATCCAACAGCCCAGGCCCACCCTCTGTTGCCAAGGAAACCAGCCAGATTGAGTGAAACATTAAGAATAAATGGGGGAATAACTTCTGTCCATCACGTGTTTGTACACACATACAGGATGTGTTGTGTGCAGCTCCCGAGAGCACGCAGACCGTTAGAAAAATGCTCTTCTCTCTGTTTCCCAACTGAAACCTCTATAATAAATCAAAATAAACATAGGAAGAAGAAGTGGCACATCCCAACATGACATGGACCTTGCCAACTATAAATTGGGATTTAGTGGTGACATGTTCCCATGGCATATGATATTGAGTTCATGAATGACAGTCATGAGATTGACAGCTGCAGCTGGTGCAGAAACAGACATCAAGATAATGTACTGTTAATGATCTAAAAGATTGTTTCAACTTGTTATTTCAGAAAGTTTAGGCTCGCTCACAACCAAGTCACACAGCATCTATCAAAATCAACGATGGGCTGAATGAATGAGCAGAATATTATTATCTGTTAAAGTGTTTCTGTCAAAAAAAAAAAAATCCTCAAGCCTCTGTGTTCACTATAGTTCTCAGTGAGAACGGTAATTTAAGTTACAGAGCACTGCAAGACTGTTGCAAAACTTGTGTCCTTTTTCTCTCATTGATCTGTTTTCTTACTTGTTATACCTCTACTTCACATTTTGCTCTCTTTTTTGCATCATATTGATGTGTTTTATAATGGCCTAGTTGAGTTGCACCTTAAAGCAAGCTCTCAGTGCTTTTTTTGTTTTGTCTGACAATGTACTTCTAATGTAATGTCTCGTACCACCACAGTATGAAAAACAGACAGACTGCCGCTGGCTTACTAGAGGTTCGACCGGGGCAAAGTGCAAAGAAACTGTGAAAAATCAAAGGCAGTAATGGACATTTAAAGGTGGTTTGTCAAATCCTCAATCATATATGTTGTCATTCTGTGTGAACACATTCATACTGTATACATACAGTACACTTCAGTAAAGTGCTTTACATTTTTATTTGTCCATGAATAAAAGGAAGGTGTTTGGGGATAATCATGCCTTAACAATGCCAACATTTTAGTCCTCTAAGCTCTTTCTGGTTCCTGATCCATCGATCAAGTGCAGCATCCCATCTGTGTTGTAAATGCTCCCGTCAATTACTGACCCCTGACCTGAATTGGACTGAGATAATAAATAAGTAGGGTAATCAGAAAAAACAATATAAATCTGTTCTTGGATCTGTGCTTGTACTACAGTCTTCAACAAAGCAGCTCTCAGACTGAAAACACAACAGAACACTAACGTGATCTGCAAAAACAAGGCTGGAAACTGAATGTACTGTGCAGTATTTGACCCCATGAATTGTTAGAGCATTGGTTGCACTCCATGGGGTGCAATATGGAGATGTTGAACAGTGGTCAATAAATGTGTTGTCTATCTTTCACATGAGCAAAATGTGTCCATGCAAATGTCATTTTAAATAGCGGCTCAAGTTTAAGATGGAAATGACTATGCTGTGGTGAAGCGTGAAATGAGGCAAAGCGAAAAATAATATAATAAGTGAAGTTTAACCACAAAAAGTACTTTTTGTACCCTTTAGTGTAGTTTATTAGGCTGCACCATCACTTTCTAAAGGCTGAAGTGAGAATATGAACAGAGATTAGAAAGAAATATCTTGACTTCAAATCAAAAGGCAAATGTATTTTTCACTTTGAAATAAACTAAAAAATAAAATTCTCACAAGCTATATACATGATACACTTCTGTTAGTACAGTAGTGTGATAGGAGGTGTGATCAGGAAAATACAGTTACAGTGAGGGTGTTAAAAAAAGATCTTCCTGAGTATGACATATTTTAAAAATAAATATTATAATAGGCATATATTCCGCTTTCGCCGAGGTTTTATTTTGACACTGAGGAGGATTTCCTCTGTCTAACGGGCTGAACAAGGGGAAGAGAGCATGGATTTCACAATAACGGGTCTTACGGACAGCAGACCGCCTCAACCAGAGGAACTCCTGTCAGTCCCCCGTCCGCACTGACTGTCAGTTCGTGTGAAAGTTTGATGGAAGTCACTATCTCCGGCCAGATTGGAGTGATGGTGTGAGGGGTCGGTTAAGAGAGATTCATGCGCAAAAATGCGTATTTTTCTCCCTTTGCTGTGTGCTGTTCTGTGCGCCACACCGGTCCACGGCGTTTTCGACGGAGAATGCCTCAGAGAAGGTAAGATCCTAACGCATTAGTGCTGCCATGTAAGCGCGTTTAGGAGGACGAGTCCAAACAGGCAGCCGGAGATCAAATAAATCACAGCAAACTAACAAAACTCTATAGCAGCTTGTTTGTTAGAGCATAGTTCATGTTTGCTGAAAGTTGTTTTATTTCTGTTAAACTCAGAAACTTAAAGTATGATATTTCCACGGGTGGAGGACTTATTTAGATCGTTTACTTACTTTCTGTTACAAGAAGAAGTCACTGAAAACTTTAAGTGTTAGAAATAAACCTCAAAAACATGGTCCCTGTGACTGTTATAAACTTTTATATATAATATCATTAGATCATTATTAGGCTACTGCTGGATGAATGTAAAAGCAAGATTTTGCTGTTGTGATTGCTTGAGGTGCAGGCAGCTCATTTAACTAATGTGGCACCTTCACAGTGCTTGTTTTGTCCAACCGATAATAATGAGAAAATAGTCAAAACTATTAGAAGCAACTAGTTTAAATAATTTAAATAAAATTTCACAGGAAAAAAAATCACTTAAATAAATTAAATCACCGCTTCCATCGCTTCAGCTGCACTTGTACGGTCGATTTAATTTATAACAAAACATCATATTTTATAAGCTCTTCATATGTTTTGTGCAATAATCTTAATTTGTAAATTAAGGAAAGCTGTCAAATAACTGCAGTGAAGTAAAAAGTACAATAAATGGAGTAGAAGTATAAAGTGGTATGAAAATGTAGTATCTGAAGGCTTATTTGAAGGCTTATAAAGTTAAATTACATTTTGGTATAAGTTCAAATGATATGTTCATGGGGTTCAATGACATCATTCTTACTATGAAATATTTAGGTTAGGGGCCTCGCAATGGCCTCTGACCTCTACCTTGAAAACCCCCATCTCCCCTTATTACCTTACATATCTGTATTGAATCCAGATGTTTCTTTTTATCTTTGGAGTAAACAACAGGCCTATATAAACCTATTTTCGATGCAAAATAGACAGAGTTATTCATTTGGCTGGATGCTCTCCAAGCTCCGCGGTGCTTGTATTGATGCTGAACTTTTTGTAATAAACCTTTAAATACAATCAAGACGGTGTCAGCGGACTTCTCTTCAACACATCTTCACATCATCGCTACTTAATATACAACAAGAACAAATGAATCAAGTAACGTAATACCTCAAATTTCTACTTAAGTAAAGTACTTGAGTAAATGTATTTAGTTACAAAGTATCCAGATATTTTAATTAAAATGATATATAAAACATTGTTTTAAATCATCTGTCCTATCCTGCTTTATAAAAAACTGTAAACTGTACAGTTTATAGTTTTTTTTAATAGTTAAGTGCAGCCAGGACCCTGGATTGTTTTTCTAAATCCAGGGTCTGGCTTCATTTTTTTCACCAATCCGCATCTACTATAAATGTGTGTTTGACCTTGCATGTGTTTGTTGTACTAAAACTGAAGCTTTGAGACAACTACATTGAGTTTGACGTCAAAAAATTATGCTCATTATTTATCCAAATAATTTATGAAAAGGGTCGGGCAAAATCATATTTAAAAGATAAGTAAATTATTATTTTTTTAATTATGAAACCTCAAACCAGTCCACATACAGTAGATGTGCTGTTTCTCCTCCCTCAGCTGCAGAGCCTCTATCTTTCATATCAGATTTCTAGGGAGAATAAGATGCAGAACTGGGAAAGTAGGAGAAAGGGTGAGGATGTGTGTTTGTAAGGGCAATGAACTTCTGACATCAAGTAAGTCAAGTTCTAATAGAGCTGTAAACAAAAATATGGCTCATATATCTCAGGTCATGATTCAGCTTTGAATGCAATCAGAAAATCTGAATATTTAGGGAATGTCAGAAATGTAAATACGTGAGTGAGAGACAACGGGGGGGGGGGGATTATGACAGGAAAAGAAACAGGAAAAACAAGAGATATATTAAAAGAGGAAGTTGAAAGGAGTTGGTAATTTTAGTTAAGCAATGTTGCATCCTATCTGTGCTGCGTCCAGTGGACCGTAACCAATACTCAAGACAAAACTTGTAATTTTGTACAAAATACAAAATAATTCTTGAATGTGCACACACACAACTCAAGACAGCCAGTCCACACATTGGTTTATATTAATTCTTTCTATTATATTAATTATGTTTTTGTTTTTCTGTGCAGACCCTCCCCCTGGTGTGTTGGTTTTATCCCCAGGCAGTAAGTTGGTTCTGACCTGCGGCGGTCGGGTGATGGTGGATGGAGTAAAGGTCAGAAACAGCTCAAACACCAACAGAAGAGGCACTTCTACAGGTGCAACTCCAACCACTGTGAAAATTACAACCAACACTGGAGTCCCGATGAAAAGTGACAAACATACTGTGGAGACCGCTGTAAGTGAGGGATACCTCAACCCGACTGAGGCAGCAGAAAACAGAAGCCTCGGACATACGGATACAGGATACACAGCTTCTCCCACCACTCACATGATCCAGTTGACCAGTGCGCGCACACTGTTAGAGGCTGAAGGGATGGGTGGCGAGGGCGATTATGAGGAAGAGGAAGAGGAGGACGAGGAGGAGGAGGGGGAGGAAGGGAGCAGGGTAACAAGGGGCATAAAATCAGGGCCTCAGTGGAAGTGGAAGTGGAATAGAAGGATGGTGGGAAAAGGAGACAGAGACTGGGGAGAAATCTCATTTGAGAGGAAGGGGGCGACACTGTCTCTGTCCTCAGTAAGACTGACAGACTCTGGGATGTACACGTGTTATTACAGAGACAGAGAGAGGTTCTCCATAAAGGTAACCGTCGCAGGTGAGTCACAACGGCAATGAAGCTGTAATGGATGATTGATGAGAGTTACTATAAGTGATGTGTCAGTTTTATTTGATCCATGGGATGTCCTAATATATTTTAATTGGGTAAACAAACCAAAAAGTTTAACATTAGTTGTGGTTTTCTGTGTGAAATATGATGTAAGACATTGCAAAGTACATAATGCCACATGTTATGTAAAAACTGTTTATGCATCAGTGTGAGGATGTGTGTTGTGTGTGATGTAGGAAGGCCTTAACACACACGCACACACATATGACAATGACTGACTGAATGAACAGATAATGAATGTACAGTATCACTGCATGTTTTATATACCTGTTAGATCCTCCAGAGAATCCCAGCCTGTCCTGCTTCAAAAAGTCACCCACCAGTAAGATTCGCTGTCTGTGGACGCCTGAGAAGCCCGTCACTATAAGGCCCAACTGTTACCTCTTCCTCAGTAAAAGGTAAGCACACACACTAACACTATAACTCTCCAGTTAATACTTTATACATTGTGAACGATGGTAAATAATACTTTATAACACTTTATACAAAATAACATATATAGTTATATTATAAAGGTGAGGTCATCCAAAACACGCTAGCTTTCCATTCTATGTGTGCGCTGAGATGTAATGTTTGTACCCAGCCCTGGCACTGCAAATAGGGAACAGAAGTGACTCAGACTGATGTTAAGAAGCTGCTCACGTGTAAAGTGTCTTCAAATACACACGCAAGTGGTGTTAAGTTAGTTACAATCTGCATGGCCTTTGACTAATATTGGAACTATGCATGCTAACCATCCATCCAGTATAACTAAAAAACTGTTAACATCACAAACTATGATTTATATGCTGTTTCTTTTCCCTGTATCAGCTAACCTGTCAATCGCATTAGGTGTGTTTGCAAGTCTCAGGACTATTGTAATTATTTTCTTTGACATCTTACCAAAGAATATCCCTCCTATACCATGCCAGAAATGTAAAGCTAGAGCGTTTTTTCTTTTCTTTTTTGTTGTTGTTGAATGTTTTAGACTTAAAATAGGATGGTTAAACAGAAGCAAATGTGTGCTCGCTGCTGATCTTCTGCAGTTAATACATTTGAAATAGTTAAATGAAAGTGCTGAGAGCAGTTAAAGTTTAAATTAAGTTGAAGTATCAGTTTAAGTATTAGTTGAAATAACAGTAAACTTGATATCTCACTGATCTTTGTGAGAGTGACGCCGTTCTTTCTCTTTCCTTCTTTGTCTTTCTGTCTCTCAGTCCATCACAGGTATTCCATCGCTTGCCGTGCTCTTACTCAACTCAGGCCTCCCGCTGTTGGTGTGCTCTGGAGCACGACGAGGACGAGCGGAGAACCTTTTACACTGTCTACCTGTGTGTTAAGAGCATCGCAGGGAACGCCACCAGCTCCTTGCTGCACTTCACACCTCTGAACGTTTGTAAGTGGGCGCGACGAGACGGGTGTGTGCGAAACACAAGTGTGTTGGGCTCATGTAAAGGTAATTAATTCCCTCTGAAGCTGCACTAACTATAGTCCCTTCCTGCTCCCTCAGTAAAGCCCGAACCTCCTTCACGTGTGTCAGTACGGCAGATGGAGGGACAGCCGACGAGGATGGCGGTCACCTGGGGTATTCCGAACTCCTGGAAATCTCATTATCACTATTATAAACTAATCTATGAGATCAAATACCAACCTCTCAAGTCCTCATTTCACTACGAGCAGGTGTGTGCTGGCAAACAAGCTGTTCCATGTTTTTGCACGTGTGTGTGTGCAATTACTTTTCACAGTTAAGTAGTTCAGTGTTGGCTTGTATTCCCTGAAACAATAAAACACTCAGGTGTGATGTGTTTATCTGGTTGTCTATCTGCATGTGTCTATGTAGTTACAGGAGATTGAGGACGAGCACTCCTACGCCATCAATGATGCAATGCCTGGTGTTGAGTACCTGATACAGCTCAGAGCTAAGGATCAGTATGATGGTCTGTGGAGTGACTGGAGTGAACCTGTCTATGCCAGCAGTTGGATTGGTAAATACACATGCACACATGTATACATATACAAAAAAAAAAGTACCATTTTAAAATTAGATTTAGCTGACATTGTGATTTGTCACTAGAAACTTTTAATAGATATTTCTTCCCACTCAGAAAAAGCACTTTAAGATTTTAGAGACCTGGAAGTGATGTAAATTAAGTGGACGGGTAAATCATTTAACTTTATCACCTCGGTAATACATGATCCACCCTGGGCACAGACAAAAGTAGTCATGACAACTAGAAGAGGCAGGACTCCTGTTTCCTTCCTGTACGATTGGATTTTTCTGAGAGCTGTGTATGTAAACATCCTCCCATACAGACATGTTTTTATTCATTACAGTTGTGTTTTCCTTTGTCTCTGAGTACATTTTCTCATTGTGAACAGCATGCATGCAGCTTTCTGAGTTCTGGATACATTGTCACAGAGTTTTAAAGAAAATATTTAGGAAATTGCTTTTGAATGCATCCTCATATCCGGATGTTCTTAAATATTGAAATATACTCCGTTTAAAATGAAAGTGACACATGCTGTTGTCAATTTTGATATGAAAGTGAAACCATGTAAATGTTTTATCTAGATAGTTTTGCTGACATATTCCTCTAACTTGACTTTTCAGTACTTAAGTACATATTCAAGTGACTTGTACTTTACTTGAGTATGTCCATATGTGTAAGTTTATACTATAGCTTTAGCTACTAGTTACTTACTCAGATTACACTTTTTCATAGCCTTCCTCTCCAATGAAAACCCTGTATCTTCAAATATGATTTTGCATTTAAATGTTTCTGATAAACTGAAGGATTAGCTGTAATGCAAAGCTGAAAACAGCGCTGTTGTCCTCAGCTCATGAGAAGTTGACTTTTTAGATATACATGGTTCTCAAAGGACAGTGACACTACAAACATCTCATGATCTTATAGAATATGATGCATTGCCATAGATTAAACTACCCAACAGTATATAAAGTAGTGCAACCTTAAACCTTAAACAACTACAGCACCAAAAAGCAACATATACTTTAATGCAACAGTAACATTAATCCAAAAATACTCAAGTATCATGTCTCCCAAGATATGTATAACAGTTCCTTCTACATTCAAGACATTTATTGATTCACTGATGTCAACAGAATATCTCGATCTCTATTCTTTCTTTTAAAATGTTAGTTGTTTTCAAATTAAATCTGATTCTTCTGTAAAAATAATGACATTATGTAGGGATCATAACATTTGATATACTGGTTTAATAAGAAACAGGAGTCACATTTTATCTTTTTCTTTTTTCTAAAAGAAATACACAATTCTAGATCAGTTGTTTTTAACCTTTTTAAAAGTGTACTTCTGACCCCTCGTTACTGTTTGTACAAGTGTTCTTGTTGTGACCAATTCAACCAAAGAGGGATGTTATTTATTTCTCTCTTTTAGAGGCCCTGAGGAAGTTAAACTAATATCCAATAATTAACTAGAAAAAAGGCCTGTCCTGCTGATGGTCACATTTGTGTTTGCAACCCCTTGTGAAGTTCCCAACCCCCAGATGGGAAACACTGGTCTAGATAATGCAACAGTATGTTTTCACCTTTAATAACATGTCACCTGTCTGCATGTCTCTGTCCTCAGCTCCAACGACAGCTGAAACTACGACAATGGTAAGAGTCTCAATGTATTGATCGTTTATGAGAAGATCATTAATCATTAATTAATTAACCTTTGTCAGGTCCCCTAATGACACTGTGTGTTCATTGTTGTCCCATCTCCAGCATCTCACACTGTCTCTCCTCTATCTTTCAGTTTTTAATCTCTGCAAGCGACAAAGTGGAAGGCTCTGGAGATGACAATGTCCCTACTGGTAAGATACCTCAGCAGACAGTAAAATATTTTGGTTAATGAGGTATGTGTGTGGGAGAGAGAGAAAACGAGACGGGGTGCAAAAGAACAAGAGAGAGACGGGGAACTCTTAAAGGTTGTTAATGCTGAAAATCCCCTTTGCCCCACTGGGTTATAACAGGAAGCCATGTCATCATAATAACTGAGGCTCAACAACGAAACAAGCCACAGGAAACATGGCTCAACACACCTATCTCTCCCATACACACCCAAACATATACTTGCATGGATGTTATTCAGCTATTTCTAACCTCTCTTTACTTCAGGTCTTGAGCTAGTAGAAACCGTGGAGGAGGTGCCGCATTATGTCCTGTGGATATCTGGTTCCTTTGCTCTCTTGTCATGTCTCGTCATGTTGGCTGTCTACATATTATTCAGGTAGTGAGAAGTGCACTTGGTTATGGTAACATGAACTACAAACATGTTGTAAACATGGATACGTTTACTTAAATAATAGTCGTTTTTAAAAAAAAAAAAAATGATTGCAGTCAACTTCTCTTTTTGTTTTATTTCAGACACAGGGGCAGATTTATGTCTAAACTCCGCAGTCTGAGTGTCATCGGCCAGTGTGGTGGCTCGCCTGAGTCTCCGCCCTCTGCCCCAACACCTCCAGAAGGGCAGGCTCTGATGACCTTTGGCCCTCCGCGTTACAAAGAACCCTCGCCGAGTGAAGTGGATGAAGGGGGAGAAGAAAATGAAGAGGAACAGTGTGTGAATGAGAGGACTGAAGCCATGCACTTCAACAACACAAGTTACTTCTTCCTCCCGAAGTAGTGATGACCAGGCAGAAAGGGGAATAAAACTATCCACAGCATTTTAACTACTTTAGGTTGTTGGATTGTTGTTTTTCACATGTTCAGAGCCAGAAAAAATGATAATGGGCTTGTTATGGAGCTTCTGCTAGAAACAAACTCAGAAACTGCTAATACAGTCTCTCTTTCTAACTTTATAACTCTATCACATGCCTAAAATACCTCTAAAAGACTTTGCTGTTGTTGTATTTGTCCTAAAAGCCACCTTTAGCTACTCTCGCCTATAAATCTAAAGTGTGTCGATAAACTGTAGACTAGATGTAGGCCTAGTGTTAGGCCTGAGTCTAGCGTACCACCTCTTGTTTTGTTTGTATATAATTTTGTAAAGGTTGATCAAATATATCACTCACATGCCCTCTCAGTTTCCACTTATTCTTTACAAGGGTTGAATACGAAATGGCAAAAGTTGCCGCCAAGTCATTAGTCATTCATCTATTTTCCTGCCTTTCAGATTGGCTCAGCTGGGTTAATAGTCCTGTTTAAGGTTGTGTGTTGCTCCAACAGAAGATTGAGGAATCCCCGAAAGTGTTTCTGTGATAAAAATCTAGATTATGAACTGTACATAGCTTTATTTCTTTAGGAATATTCACTACTAAACCATAATATCATATTATTACGTGATCTTGAGCCTCTGTCTCTGTCTGAGATAAAATATAGTTTAAGAGTTACTTACTCAGTTTTGTGCTTTTATGGTACATATTTAAGAAACTAATTTAATAAAAGCAATTTACCATTCAGCAAATAAGGCCATAGGATTCTACACTGGAAAAAGCTTGCAATGTGTACACAACTGTTGCTAATTTGTTTGCCTTGGGCCACTCAGCCATCATGAAATGCTTAAAAACAAAAATATAAAGGATTTCTTGAAAGAATTTTCAATGACAATATAGCTGAATACAAGCAGTTTCCCAGCCACCCAGTATCCAGAAGGCAAATAGGATTTGTGTGTTCAAAGGTGAAATGTGATGTTTGTGGTAAACAGAAAAAACTGCACTACAGTCACCATGGTGCTACTATACTGCAACATACATACTATAATACTGCTGCTTTTCAGTTTCAAACAATTCCCCTTTAAAATGTGAATTCGTTTCATTTACAAAACAACAACAAAATAACTACAAATGTTGTGGACCTGTTGTTGTCTTGTCCCGTGCTGCCACCTCGCGGACGCAGCCGTTGCTTGCCGGAGGTCGTTTCCATAGCAACAGTTGCTAGACAGCAGAAGCTGTGTCAGTAACAGGTGACCATTTTGTGCCTAATATCTAACGTTTACCAACTTTACCAACTGTACGGCATCTACCGAAAAATAATAAGACGAACATTTTAGAGAAATGATGGCTGGAAAAGGCGGTGTGGCGAAACTGGACGTCGGTGTGTTAAGCGCCGAGCAGCAGGAGAAACTGCGACAATTCAAGGTAACGAGAAAGCTAAAAAAAGACCCCAAAAAGCTAACGTTAGCTAACAGTAGCTAATCACAAACTGCCTCTTTATTTGTTTACTGTTTATTAGCGAGTCTGAAATGCATTTTCTTTTGATCCTTAGATCAACACGAGAATCGACAACGAGAAGTATTTGAGGTCGCATCCAGAAGTGGAGGTATTGATAGGCGACTTTCTCAGGTTAGTTAAGTTAACGTTAGCTCTCTCTCTCTAAATAAGCTAAATCCCAGAGAAATGAACGTACACGGTCACCCTGGCAGACATCTGTGGATGGATCTGATGCCGTTTTCCTCCTAATATTAGTTCTTGTACTACTTTTTAATTGTGGGTATGATAAAAGAAGCCAGCAAACAGTGTAAACATTACAGGCAAACCTAAAGAGAATTGCGATAGTAACGTCTGACTGTATTCAGACTATAAGTGTTTTTTGTAATTGATATTACAATATGTTAAAAGTAAATATCGACCTCAAAACAAGGCCAAAACAAATGAATCGAAGCTTAATCAAATAAGGGTAATGAAGGGGAAAGCAAATATGTTTTCAAAGAAGCTGAGTTTGGCAGGCAAATATCTTCAGGCAAACTACTCCAGGGTGAACATGTAACTTAACACTGCCACAATAAAATAAACTGGCTGGTGGTCATATAAGTCTGTCTTATTTTTATTTGTTTTGTGTTTTTTTAAGGATGGTAAAAGGTCTGAATTTGCCTGTTCTTGTGAGTAATCATCTATTTTACCATATAAACATATTACCTAAACATCCAACTACTTTATATGTTGGGTGGAGCCAACCATCCTTAAAACACACAATGTTATTTACAAGAATATGGTAATAAAAGCAGATAACGTCTATTCACTCACAATAAAATGTAAAGCCTCCCTGATAAGTTATCCTATAGCTGCACAGTTACTATTTATCAGTGAAGTTATCATTTACATTGCTTGTCCTCCTCTTACAGAGATGTGCTTCTTAAGAGGCCCGCTGACATCCGTGAGTTTGCTGCAGGTGAGTTACACACACCGACTGTGTGTGGTCAGTTGTTTATACTGATGTTTTGTATGTCACACATTTGGTTATGATGTAGTTTTATTGTGTTGGGTCAATAGTACCGTAAAATGTAATTGTAATTTGTTTCTATATATGGTAAGTTAAAAAAAAAAAGTCAAATATACTATTATATTTTTATATTTTATAGGACACAGCTGATTATATTTTATGTTTTTCTTATAGTCAAAAAAATAAAATACATAAAAAGACCAAAACCAACAATAAAAAGTATTTTCTGTGTAGCCAAAGTTTGATACAGCTTATCTCTCTGTGCCTTAGGCCTAATTTATTGTCCAAAAACTCAACAACAGTCAGCAACACATCAAAGAGCCACACTGGTTCACAACTAAAAGTGCATTAAAAATAGCTGAAAACTGTTTCAAGCAAAGGCACAGATCGAGTGCCACTGACAGGGTAGGAACGTCAGTAAATGTGTGCGATGACTAATACGTCAACAACAAGACTCCAGGAAGAGTAGTTCAATCAGGAGAGATAAGTGAATGAAGTAAAGATAATTGGAAGTCCAGACACCGGTGGTGCTGGTTGATGGCTCCGCTGAGGCTGATAGGATGATGAAATAATGAAGCTGAAAAATCTGCTAGACTAGGCTGGGATGGGCAGGTGGTGGAGTGCGCATAATAGCAGCATGAATGGACAGCAGTAAGATGATACCGGTGTGACGCTGTGCTATTGGATAGAGGTGACCAGCAAGGAAATTGTGCGTGAGAGGAGTGAATGCAGGATGGAAAGAGAAATAATTACAGGTCTATATGCAAAACAACAACAACAACAACTTCCTGACTGAACTTTTGGTTCATTTGTTGTCAACACGCACAAGCATAACCTTACTCACTAACCGGGTTCAATGTGTTTTTGTTATTTTTTTCAGATCACTTCACCAACCCAGACCTTAATGCAGTTATTGGCTCCAAAATGGAAGGAAACAGTGACATGGAGTGAAACAGACCCAGCAGTCATGGTGCTTCTCTTTTGTGTCCTTTCTCTGTACAGAGCAATATGTATGGATTCTATTTTAGTAACAATAAAGGCACGGATATGTTCGTGTCAGTCCACAAATTGTTAGGTTGATAGTGTTATTGTCAGATTGCTATCGTGCAAATTCCGGAAGCCAGCTAATAGGGGAAATGGTAACAGCCATTCTTAATGAGTGTGATTAAAGGTTAATGAGAAGAGGATGTCCTGTGGGTATTATGCATACAGTAACCTGTGCTGTTTGTCACATCACCAGCATGATTTTGAAGGGATAAACTCAACGCTGGAATTGGTGTTTACTCCTTGCAACTACACTTTGCACCTGAACTGTGTGGGCCCAGTTGTTGAGTGGACATACTGTAGTCTGCACTGATCTGGATATGGACTCAACTACATGGACAAATTAAGATATAAAATTGACTTCACTTATTTACTTTATGAAGCAGCTTCATGGTCCAGTGTCATCTCTTCTGTCCTTGGTGTCATTTTGTTATCTGTTTTGGTGCCATTGTGAAATTGGATTCACATTTGTGTGGCAAATAAAAATGATGTATTGGAAGAACCGCACTTAATAATAAAACTGAAGTTTTCAGACACACATTTAAAGAAGTGTAAATGTCATGAATGAGGACCATACATCTTGTGGAATAGGTTTACTGACTTTAAAAGTGGGGTTTCCACATTGAAGTCTTTACTGCTTACATTGGATTTAGCACAAGAACTGCACATTAACCTTCATTGTTACCACTCTGTATTCAAGAGCTGCAGTTTTCTGTTTGCCGTCTATCTCCGAGCATGAATAGAGCTTTTAACTGTGTGGTTATCCACCCTTGTTTGTCGTGGCTAAGTAATTCCATTTGGATAATGCAGCTCTGTTTTGGTTGCGGTTCGTTGGTTATATCAGCCCCGTCTCTCCAGCTGTCATTTGAAACGAGGTATGATTTGAGGAATAATCATAGCTAACTACTCATCCAATCAAGAATCCAAACTCCCTTATGATCTGTTGTTACTCAGCATTGTGTCTCAAGCGTTTCATTTCCAAGTCTGCATCTTATTAATGAAAATTTGAATAAAAGATATAGTTTTATGTATGATGAGAATCCTTTAACCGTTTTTATAGGATTTTCCCTCCGTTGTCTGACAATGTTTATTTCATGGTTGACATCAGAATGCATCAATTAAAATAAACATCTTTCGAGATCCGCAACCCCTGTCTCTCTCTTTCTCTCTCACTCACACACATACACACGAACAGTGCTGTTTAATACCATGCACCTGCTCTGCCTCAGTTGAGGACAGGTAACCGCCCAGTCAACTCACATCAGATGTGAGAGACAGGCAGAGGAACAACACGCTCATCCTCACGTTGTCTACATCCTGTTTTTAAAATTGTGTCGTTTCTAGAATCTTCCAGCGAGCAGACGCAGATTCTGTGAGTAATAACTAATTTGTACAAATGGAAAAGTTGTTTGTTTTCGTTTTCAGTCTTTGTGATGTGTTAACATTTACAGGTATGAAATTATGTTGAAACAGTAACGCTGAAATGTGTGGGTACAATACATATATGTTTTTGTATGTTTTAATGATTATATATTATTTTTTTTAAGTCTTTAATTCATTATGTAACCACCAAATAAATAATTAGGCATATAAATATTGTCTGAATGTACAAGAGACTATATTGTCTATAGTAGTACTATAAGGTCTTGGGACAATGTGTTATTAAAGAGGTATCTATTATTCTATTGTTCCTAGTTTTGCTCACCCTTTTTAAATAATCGTGCATATTTGAATAAGAAACCAAATGAATGGAAAGTAAACAAATTGTATAAAGGCAAAATACCAACATGCAAATGTTTGAGGAAACTCCAATACGTGAAAACCAATGAGGAATGCAAAGAAGCTTGAGCAGAGGTAGAGAAGCTATCAAAATGTTCCACAGTACATGATGTACATTACCAAACCTGTTTTTCACAGCGTGCTATCCTCCAAAGTCCATGTGGCCTCCCATAGGATGAGTAACAAAGATGGTAACTATAGGGAAGTATGCTCACAATTCCTCAGAGGAGGAAGTATGTCAGAAAACTGGAGGTGGCTCTCATGGAGACAGGTTCCATAACAACTAGAGATCTAATAATAAAATCCTCACACCCTACCAAAATAATGGAAAAGAGTGCAAATCTATGTAAAAATCACCCGTAGTATTTGTTGATATGAATGTTTGAATTATGTCATTGTGTTGAACAGACAGGTTCAACATAACTGGCAGGTCTTTTCACCATGGCTCCAAAAGGAGGAACCTGTTTCCTTCTACTGACTCTGGCCTGTACAGCCTTGGGTAAGCAGCATGACATGCATCGTCTTCTCTCATAACCAGCAAAATGCATGAATGTTGTTTCTGTCTACATAAATGTCTTTTTAATAATTATTTGTTACAACCTTTTCAGCCATGAGCTCTACTGTGATGCCTTCAGACTTCAAAGACATGGCAAAAAAAATGGTATGTAATTTCCTGAATACTTCATCTTCATCTGGAAGTAGTATGCAAAACAACTGTTTTTTATTAGACACATTTTCAAGTCCAACACAGTTTAGGTTTTATTTGTTTTCTCTTTGGTCCAATAATAATAATTGCCATCATCACACTGACATTGTGATAGATTTTCTCTTCCTGAAGTCATTCAAATGTTATGCAGGACTACAGTATAAGGGTCCATTTAATCATGGGAATCAAATTTTACCCATTAGTAGTAATTGCCCTGGAATTTTTTGGGGGTCAGTTAGGGTAAATTTATTGTATTTCTTATTTGAAAAACAACATTAAGGAAAGCAAAGTGGCTCTACCGATTGTTGGTTCTTACACTGTGTTTGTATAGTATCTTTTGAGATTCAAGATTCAAGATTCAAGAGGTTTATTGTCATGTGCACAATAAGAAACATAGTGGTTTATACATACAATTAAAATCTTACTTTGCTCGACTCCCTTTACACAACACACAAATAGAAGAATAGAATAAAGTTTAAAAATATACAATTTGAATATAAAATATAACTAAAATATAACATAAAACCTAAAGTGCAAAACAGTGTAAGTGCAATTAATTTAAATGCAGTGTCATTGTTTGAACATTGTTTTAGACTTCTACCATAGATTTAGCATTTTGTATTGTGTTTGTATACTGTATTTACCGGACATAGGAAACCATATAAGTAATTAAGTGATTTTCACGTTTATTTTGAATGCATGTTTTTTAACCACATACAAAGATTTTAAACAATTCAATATCCTACCCTTATCTGATGATGATATCTATATTTTTTATCAGATGAGGAAGTGCCAGGATGAGGGTGAGGAAATTCTCAATTCACATTTTGTGTGTGTGTGAGTGAGAGAAGAAGAAGAAGAGTGTTTGCATGCATCTGAACTCAACATTTTCTATTACAACCTTAGACAGAACTAATTGGCTCTGCAGTACAGTGATTGTAAGTAATCGCAGTCTTCAGTGTATGAATGTGACAGAATGTGTTTCTGCATTATTATTAGTGCCCTACGTAACAAAAGTTACAGCTAATACATGGTAAATACTCAGACCAGTCCTGATGGTATTTTTTTTTTTTACTGTGTATATAAATATTAACTGTATATAAATATAGATCATTGTTATGTTACAGGATATCCAGTGCCAAAGATGGCGGTGCTGAAAACTGTCTTCAATAACAGGTTTATTATATATTATATATTATTATATTTATATCAGCTTCTTAAAGAAACAAAATAAATTAGCATATTTTCCTGTGAATTTTCAAATTATTGCAGGTGGTTCATTCAATCTACCAGTTCATATTTATAAAGTAAAAATGGACTGTGTTGAATTTCACTGGACAATTAAAGGATTCAATTGATCAAATAAACACATCATCTAATGTTTAAAACCATTTCTACTCACTCTTATTACTCTCTCAGTGACATGCCTATGGAGAACAGAAACACTGGCCAAACCAACACCCTCCTATCTACCTTCGAGAGCATCCTGGATTCAGTCTCTCTCGTCAAAGGCTCACTTAGCCGTCCCCCCTTGGATGACTCAGATAAAATGGTGTGAACATACACAGTCATGCATTTAAACCACATTTGATTTCTTTACATAAAGATGATATGAATAATTATTGGTTATTAATTAGTTCAGTTTTATTTGCACCTGTCATCTCTTTTTAGACAAACATGATGAAGAACTGCAGCTATCTTGCAACCATGATCAAGATGATGAGGAACTCCTCTGTCAGTATTCCCCACTAATGCCAAGAAGAAAAGAAAACATAATCCATTAATAAATGCCCCTCTCTGGCAGTCTAATAATACCTGTCCTCTCTCTAATTTCCTCAGGACACATCTGCGTGTTACATGCAAGCATTTATGGCCCCTCTGTCCTGGATGACTTTGACCACACAGAGTGAAAAAAACATGGAGTCAGATGACTATGACACACTGCTGTGGGCTGCAAAACCTGCACTGCAGGATATGCTTCCTTCAAGAATGAAACTTCCAGTCCAAGCCGAGCCCCAAAATGTGAAAAAGATGTGAGTGGGCTTTTATGCAGTTACTTCCTCCACTATCTCTCAGCAACTTTTGTTAAATTTCTAATAATTGGTGGTTGGTTCCAGGATGAAGATGCTGCAGGAGATGTATGATCCTATGTCTGAAGACCAAAACACTCAGGTGGTAAAATGGGCAAAACAGCAGATCACCCAGAACTACTTCAACTGTACAATGACGCCATTACCTGACTCAAGATTAAGTAAGGAATTAGTTAAGCATATCAACTCAGAAACCACTTTCTACAATATAATGTAGTCACAGAGTCCATTAGATAGTCCAATATATTCACCCTGAACTATTTATGGGAAAATAAGATACTTTAAGTTCATAATCTAATACTTAAAAGGAAAGAAATGTAAGAAAGAGGGCAGAGAAGCTAGAAATGTTAGTGAGCATTAGGTGGAAGAAGTAGAAGTGACTAAACAAAGGGAAGCACTTGAGAGATGAAGAGGCTGTAGAGAATAAGCAGATTTAAAGCAGTAGAAAAAATGTGAATGAAGGATTAAAATAAAATAGAAAGAGAGGAGAACTAGGAGGAAGAGTAGGAGATAGACTACTTTCTCCAAGGCACAAATTCAAAAGATGCACTGCAGAATTATTTCCTGGGTGTAGATGTATATATATATACACAATGTATATAAATAACTGTATATATTGGTTCATTTTATTTCATATGTTATTCTATAAATGTTATTATCCTTATCTATATGTGTAACATGAGGGAACTGCAAACATTAATTTTGTTTCACAACCTTGTGTTGTATCATGATGAATACATTTTCTGGATTCCTTGAAAAAGAAGCATCTCGTACAAATCGCTTCTCAAATAATGCTGAGGAAATGGAGCAGCTGATTGAGAAGGATACTGACAAACACTGGGCAAATGTGGCTGACACCAACAACGAACAAAAGTTGCAAAACAGTAATTGGAAACAGGAGAAAACTGCAGAAAAGATGGAGAAAAGTCACAATATGTAAGGTGACTGTGGAAATGAGAGACCTGAAAAAGGAAATGTTAGATATTAGAAGACATTTTGCTAGATCATATACACTAAATGACATCAGCCGTAGATTAAATACTCAGAGACGAACCAGCCGGATTCAGGAAAGGCAGAGGGTGCACAGACCAGATCTTCACTCTGTGGAACGTCATTGAACAGTGTAGCAAATGGCAACGACAACTGTAAATAAACTTCATCGACTTCCATAAGGTCCACTGTGATAGCCATGGGAAAATCCTCAGAATTTATGGCATTTTCAGCTTTTCCTGCACTGGGGCAAACAAAACCAGCTTTGCAGTAGGAGTAGGCAGTGTGGAGTCATGTATGCGGATGTGTAATGTCAACACTATTATTCAACCTCATCATGGACTGGGTCATGCAGAGAACAGAACAACAGAAGATCAGGCGAGAGAAATTTGATGGACTCCCTATTCCATCCTTGAAGACCTTGACTTTGCAGATAAGTCACATACACATCACCACTTACAGGAAACAGTGAGACTCCAGTCCTTTGGGCAACAAGTTGGACTGGTGAACAAATCTGGAAATCTCACCAATACAGCTGGAATGCTGCCAAACAGGACACCCATGAATAATATACCTTCCTATGAAAAATTAGGAATATATTCTGGCCAAACACCATCTCCAACAACAACCTTCTCAAAATTACTCAGCAAGATAAGATACAACAGACAACAGCAGTTCCCAAAATGGCATTATTGAACCCCAGAGGGTAAATGAAAGAGAGGGAGCCCCAAAATAACATGGCGCTGGACCACTGAGAGAGAGCTACAACAATACCAACAAAGCTGGAGAAGGAGGCCACTGACAGACAGAAATGGACGGACTATCTCACTGTCCTTTGTGCCAGCCAGCATAATGGGAATGACTGACTGACTGATATATGTAAATCAGACAAAACATTTCAAGAAACAAACAATAAAACAGGCTGGAAACAATGTGGGAGAAGACAAAGTACAATGGGGGATTGTGAGTGTCACAGAAAAACTGCCCTTGTTATGTGTGTTTGTGGCACAGATATTTGTTGTTTGTGTGATTAGATAGGACCCTAATCCAGGACATCAGGCAAATCAAAAAGTCAAGTGCCACAGACTTCACAGCGAACACTCAACTCGTTCCCTAATGCACTGCCTCTTTTCTGTTGTCACTTTTGTTATTATATGGTGTTTGAATGTGACTATTAACAGCCTTGTTTATTCTCTAGAGCTGATGGAGACGTGCAAATCTACAGTGAAATGGCTGAGCACGGAGGCGTTGACCATGTTGGGACCATACCTCTCCCGTTTAGCACCAAACGATGTAGATTCTTCTCCCAAAGAAAAGGTGAGGCGGGTCTACACAGAAGCATAATAAGCCAATGAAACTTGAAATAGCAAATGACATGATTCTTATTTGTGTTTGATTTCTTCACTTTCTCCTGTAGCTTTGTGAATTTTTCCGTTTGGCCCAGTTCAAATCCGCCTTAAAAATGACCACCGCCATGAACCCAAGCCTGGCCAAGAAGTTTCTCCAAAAATTTCAAGAGTGCTTCAGTGCGAAGGAGTTTGCACAACATTTGGACAAGTGTGTACTCATGCATGGATGTGTGTACATTAGTGCGTAAAAACTCTGGATTAGAACAATTCTGGCAAAATACCCTTATATAACTCATTTTCAACATAAATGTAGGGTTTTTAGATTTCCACATCAAATAATTTCCTGACTAAACAGAAGAGGACAAATGAACATACACTTATTGTATCAAACGTTTCCATACACTGTACCCTGAATACTCTGTGTGAGCAGTTTAAGGTTTTAACACATAAGAGTGCATTGTACAGACACTCATCATAAGAGAAAAATACAATTATATAACAATTATGTACAAATGAATGTGCCTGACATTATAGAGAGCTGATTTAATTTCAAGGTTGGAATAATCACTACATGTTTGCCTTTGAACCTCCTCAGGCTCGGCCCACTGGCCTGTTATTATTACACAGTGCCAGACCTGTCTCCTGAACTCAGCAAGCAACTCCTCTCTGAACTCGACAACTGCAACAACCCCAGAATCGAACAGGTATCGCTCACTCGTTCATAGTTTCGTTCAAACTTTCACCCATGTCTTCCCTCAACCAGGAAAGAAGTAATGAATTTCATGAATATCAGTAATCTCTCGATTACTCTTTGTCTTTTTTCCTCCTCCTGATTCAAGCTGAAGAATCGCCTTGTCAAGTCTGTGATTTCAAAGTCCAACACTGCTAAAGCACTACTTGAACTGGGCAGCAGTGTTACCTTGTTGTCACCCAAACAACTGTCCGAAGTCTCTGGCAACGATCTCAAAGAGATTCTGAAAAATCTGGGACCGGCTGTCCAATGGACACGGGGCCAGCTGCGCGCCCTGGTCAAGAAACAGCTGGGCAATATAAAGGTGAGCTTGCACGGCCGCTGGAAGTTTGTCCCTCACACACTCATCCACTCACTCTATATTCTGCTTTCCCTTAGTGTAAAAATGTGTCGGGTGAGGAGCTGAAGGCCCTTCAGACAATTGCAGGAGGTTTGCCAAGGTGTTTGCTGAAGAAGGTGAAAGCCCGGGAGATCCTGAATGACACAGAGGCCCTGAGGAACATCTCCAGGTCGATGAGGAAGGGGCAGCTGAAGGCCATGCTGCAGGGGGTGAGTAGGGAGAGAGAAGCAGGAAATAGAGGCTAATTCTATAGTTTAAGACCAGCTATGACTTTTATTTTATGATTTATGTAAAAATCCAGAGAGAACAACATCCATGCGTTATCTATCCATTCTCCATGGATCTCAAATCTCAAATAAAAAGTAATTTGTGTTGCACTATCATTTATATACACTATGCACATAATTTTAACTAAATGTTTCCCTGTAGCTCCGTGAGGGTGTGGATCCCTCAGAACTTGTGCAGAAGTTGGATGGCGCTTTGCTTCACTGTGTTTCTCTGAGCAACCTAGCCAAAGCAAACATCACCTCTTTGGACCAAGTGGAGAATAAAATGTGGAGTCTGCCACAGGTAATGTCCCTGAATATCCCCTAGCTATTATCACATTTGATTATGTTTTTACATTTTTAACGTATACTGAATCATCACTATTACTGTTTTTTTCGTGCATTCACATCAGAATCTTTCATAAATGTATCAAAAAATGGTGTGATGTTTCAGGCAGCCTACCTGGCAAAAAAGATGGACGATCTAAAGCAGCTTAAATATAGGTGAGATATACAGCAGGGAAATAACAGAAAGCCCATTCATAACAATACAATTAAAAAAGCCTTGCAATAAACATGTCTGCCATTGCTTTACATGTTTTACATTTAAAACAGAGGGTCAGTCCTTCAGGGCATAACCTGTAAGATGATTGACAAAATAGCAGACGGTGATGTGCAACAGATCGCTCAGGCCATAGCAGGGAGTTCACAGTGGCTCTCCAAAGTGCAGGTATGTATTTACTCTCACAGACACAAAAATAAAACATGTATTTGAGTATACTAGCTGATAACAAATATATGTTTTCAGGCAGGATGTGCTGCCCGAAAGCTTTTTTCGACTTTGGAGAACCAGAGAGCTGACTTTTTCAAAACCATCACTTTGATGGAGATGGATAACATTCCCACATTCTTACTACTTCAACTGCCGTAAACAAACTTTCTCTGTCTCACTTAATCATGTATTTTTAAAAATCTGTAATAAGAAGTAACAGCCCTCTATCTTTGTATCTCATTTACACCATCCCAGGCCTTTGAAGGTGAAGGATTTGCCTGACTCTGTGTGTCCCGTCTTCCTCAACAAGATGGAAGAGGCCAACCTGACCTCATTGCCTCATCGTGCCCCATCTCGCCTCGCTCTTGCCCAGAGAGCTCTGCTTTGCCTGGTCAGTGTACGTATAAGGATACATACGGGTGACAAATTACAGGAAAAGCCAACATAAATTGTCTCAGTAAGGTGTCGCTACTTGGTCTCTGGAAGTCCCTGGAACGCTACCAAAAAATATTCCCTCATTTGGTGTTTTGATGAACGTGGTGGAGAGTGCTGTCTAAGACACTGGTCCAAAATCTTCCATAGAAGTTCAACTGGGTTTGGATCTGTTTACCGTGAATGCAATATAATACACTCATCAAACCGTTCAGTGAGCCCTGTTTGGAAGTGTCATATGTTCCTCTATGTATCTATTTTTCTTTAAACTGTCAGCTGCCTGTATCTACTGTTCCACATCTAGTACAATCACATTTTGAGTCTACTGTGTGCAACAACAGCCTAAGATATTTGCTGTGGATTTGCAGGGGAATGACTTATCCGGACTGACAACTGAGGATGTGTCCAGGCTTGGGCCGCTCTTGTGTGAGCTTCAGCCTTCCCAACTGCGCCTCATGGCCCCCAATGTCCTCAACTCCAGCCTCCAAGCCATGGCTTCCTGCCAGCACATTCCTCAACACCACAGGGCAGATCTAATTCAGCTGGTCAACCAGACTTTTGGGTAGGACAGTCTCCCCATGGATGCTTGGGTTACTGCAGAGAAAGAAAGAGAAGAGTCTGATTTTTTCTGCATTTTGTTTTTATTTTACGCAGGGATGCATCTGATTGGTCAGCAGAGACTATGGAAGAACTGGGTCCGCTCCTCCTTTTGGATGATAATTCCACATCTGCTCTTCCCAAAAAGGTGTGTATCTTCACATGTCCTGGACAGTGATGGTCCTCATGATGTCCTATTTTTCACATTTTCATCAAAAATGATCAATCACTCAAGACTGAGTTCAGCACTGTACTCTTCTGGTTACTATGATTCATGCATCTATTTCTCATGATTTGTTTTTGTTTATTTTCCCTCTCTGTGTCTCTGTCAGCCTTGGATGAAAGACGTTCTCTATTTCCTGAAGTCACGCCTGACCCAGACTTCTGATGCACTGGAAAAGAAAATCTTTGATCTCACCACCACCGTCACCACCACCACATCAAATACAGTGCGTAAAAAGAGAACAGGTGAGGAAGACACATCTTGGGTGTGCTATACATTTTCTTCTCTTGGTTAGTGATACTGCACAAAACATTTGGTGATGTTGATTCTACTGTACTTTTTTTTTTCTCACTTGCTATGTGTCTCTCTCCTTTCTCTATCAGCCAGCAGTATCAGTGATCATGTTGGCAATGGCAACAGTAGCAGTAACAGTGGGACTGACAGTGCTAAGGTACCTTCTGTGGAGCTGATTGAAGAACTGGGAATGGACAACATCTACTGGACAGCTGCACAGCTGGATCAGATGTCAACCGAGACCTTCCTCGCTACTGTAGAAACACTTGGGAAAATCCCTGACTACAGCGCAGACCAACTGGCCGTCCTCAGTAAAAAAGCAACTGAGGTACAGTGGAGGCCCTGATCCTGGTTCTGTTCATTCGGGGAGCAGAGGACTCCTCTGGCGCAGTGATGAAGGCAGAAAGTTCCTGGTTTATGTTATTTAGGGACTGATTGGGATGGCGCCTGAATCTTATAGTTCACACAGGCTTTTTTTATTAAACTTTCAATTGACTCTGCCCCTCATAATATCTCAAAAATACTATAAGTGATAAATTGGTATAACTTGTTTAATCACAAAAACTAAAATAAAAATAATGTACTCCTTAAAACCTATGTGTAAATGTAACAATAGTTTTCACAATATACTCCAAATTTCACAGCAGAAACTTTGGCAAACATGGAGATGTGTGTCCCAAACATTCCAGCCTCTCTATTTATGAACCAAGAGCTACTATCTGAATAGTTATTACCAATGTAAGTAACTTAATTAAGCTGGAACAGGAGGAAGCTCTGAAATAAAATATACAACTGGTGGGACTCTCTCCTCTGCACAACCAAATAAGACCACCCTAACTGCAGCAAAAACAAAAACAAAATTCAATTTTCTGACTCCTTCCCCCCCAAATCTTTGTACAGTCCATAATTAAAAACAGTATTGTGTTTGTGTGTGTTTCTGCAGGCCTTTGGCCCAGTGTCAGCAATGAATGAGACTGCGGTGACACAGATGGGCTGTATAAATCAGGGCTTCTCCGACGCAGACCTGGAGAAGCTCCCCTTCTCACTGGACACTCTGGAGGAAATTGACCACTGTGGTTGGAGTGAGTCACAGGTAAAGTTATAAGAACAGCTATTCATATTCTATTATACTGACTATCATGACGTTCGCTAATCAAGTTGACCTGTCTGAATAGATGGAGCCGGTGTGGAAGGCTGTTGCTAAATACAACAACCTGACAGCGGAGCAGCTGGGAGCAACAGAGATGGTCTCACTGAGCCAGTTCATCTGCGGTCTAAACTCCAGAGAGATCGGACAACTCAACATGGACGCCTTCAAGTTTGTGCTCCATACGGAACTCACTGATTCTGCTTATGTCACCACTTTCTGTTCGTTGTATTCAAATGAAACAAATAAAATGGGGGTGTAGCCTCACAAAACCAATACTACTAGTAATTTTAGATTGTTCAAGAGAGGGAGAGAAAAAACATTATGCCAAATACTTATTCTAGTTTCAACATACAGCAGTGCAGGCATTTAAAAAAAAGTTAAATTCTATCTTGGTCTCATGCAGTGAAAGGTGTTCACCCACCTCAACTACCAAAACAAGAATTTTGATGACTATCCCCCCTTTTATCTCTGCGCTCAATATATTATTTTTATGGCAATACTAATCGATCCTTAAACAAATCTGATTCAGCACAATCAAATATTTGGACTATGTTATAAGCTGCGGAGTGAGAAGATGTCACAACTACATAACGTGTGTGTGTGTTGGTGTGTTTCACAGGGACGCTGTGGGCTCAATGGATGGTGTTCAGTGCTCCTTCAATGTTACACGACAGTTGACAAATCTCGCTGTGTCCGCATTTGGAGATCCCAGCACCTGGACTGAAGCACAAGTGGCTGACCTGGGAAACATCATTGGTTAGATAATCACCTCTACTCTGTTTTCTCTAAAGGAAACCAAATGCCATTGTAGTATTCTTCAAAAGTGCCATAGCTCTGCAGCTTCTTACAAAACACATACCATCTATTTCTGTCTCCCTCAGCTGGGTTGGATGCAACTGAACTGGCTGCATTAGATGCGTCTGTCTTCTCATTTATCAGCAAGTCGTGCATCCCACTTATACCATCAACAAACTTTGCTGTAAGTGACTTCCTCTCTAACATTTGTTCTTTCTTTCTTTTAGCTGGGAGCCACATCCAGTAGTGGAAAGTAACTAAATACATTTACTCAAGTACTGAGGTATTTGTACTTAAATTGAGTATTTCCATTTTATGCTACTTTATACTCAACTACATTTCAATGGGAAATTTTTACTAGTACGGCACATTTATCTGACAGCTATGGCTGTTTAATATTCATTTTCGTACAAAATGCAAGAGCCATTTCTGTCAATGTTTTCTGTTACTGTTTCATTTTTGGTAAACCTTCCACCACGTGGGGGAATAGTGCCGCTGTCAATAAGTAAGAGGGTTACCTGATACAGGTATTGATTAAGATGTTGATGGTGAGGAGAAGCACAGTTTTTGACCGTGCGGTAATAGTTGAGAATGAATAATGAATAATAATTTACATGTACATCTATAGTATACATACATACATACATGAACAGTAGCACTATGAAAGGAGCTATTTGGCACAGTGATTACTTTTACTTTTGTTTGAGCGCATTTTGCCGATAATACTTGGGTACTTTCCCTCAAGTAAGATTTTAAATGAAAAACTTTTACTTGTAACTGAGTGCTTATACATCGAAATGATCTGAAAACATATTTCACCTCCCTGTGCCACTTACTGTTTTCCCTCCAGGCTCTCTCTGCTGCTCAGCTGCAGGCTCTTGGACCTGACAACATTGCCATGGTAACCAGTGAACAGCTAGGTGCCCTGGGTTCTGATCAACTGGCTGCTCTTGAAAGTACCTTGACCGGAGCTCGTGAGCAAACACAAAACTCTGGCCAGTCAGGTAAGAAGATACATGTTCAGTGCAGTAAATGCACATATTTTTAGTGTGTTTAGATACTGCCAGTGCATTTTATAATTACTTCAATATGTCAAAAGCTTTTGTTAACATGTTTGTTCTTCTTTACGACATGTGTAACCAGTAAAGTTTTATCCTGCTGTGAAAACTAGGCAAAAAATCTAGTTTTATCCACAACAATAAATATACACAAGTAAACAAAGTTAACGTGGACATGAGAGGTGGAGTTGATAAGTGAAATGAGAATATATTGAGCTTAATCATATATATTTAACCAAAAGGCTTGAATTTTTGTATTACTCATAAAGATATGTATAAACATGTCAGCGTTGCCCTGGGAGTTCCAGCAAAAAACACAAATACAGATATCTCCAATGTAAAATAACCAAAACTATTCTAGCTCACAGTGTGTCTTTGGGACCTCATCACTCGTAAGAAAATAGGCTTTCAATGGGCTCTCAGTGGAGAAATTGTTGCATTCAGTCTTCATGTCACTTTCATTTAGGAGCTCCATCACTGACTGTCGAGGGGATGTCGGCTTACATGAAGCCTCTTCTGTTTCTCCTCACGGGGTTCCTGCTGCTGTGAGAACAGAGCCACCACATCCTACTGCAAGACTGGCAGGAGCCTAAGCTAACCACACACACACACACACAGAAGTTATCATTATAGTGCACTTTTGACGACATGTTATTCTTATGTTATTTGTGATGAAGACATGTTTCTCGTAGATTGATTATCTGAGCTAATTTGTGTGTGAGCGTAGGAGTGTGGCTGTAACAACTACATAACATAATCTAATGACCTGGTAAGATGTGTAAGGATTCTTTATTATTATTTTAAAGTTAAGTTTACTTTTAAATATTCTGTCTCTATATATTTGTAAGAAAGTATATTTTAATAGAATGAAGGGGAATCTGTAATGTGTGTCCTCCATATGGGATGTCTTTATTTGGATATTTGTACTGACAAAATGGAAAATTACAAATGACTTAACTCAATAAAGAATATTAATATACTGAGTACGGTGACTGTTGAAGTGGTATTTAAAGGCAAAAAAAACAAGTTAAAGACAATGAGCCGTTTTTTTATTGTTTTATTTATCTTTTTTTTTTAATAAACATTTGGTTAGAAATTGTTTTGTCAATGCAAAAACAGAAAAAGTTTCCCAGAACAATGTGTGTTAAGCATTGGATAATCTCCTGAGAAAGTAAACACAAGCGCAAACGGTTCACTGATGATTACTCAGTGATGGCGATGCATGGATATTAGCTCAATCTGTGGATCCTGTGGTCAGAAACATTTCAGCGAATCAGCAGCTTGTGAGACATAAACAGTTAGAATAATAAAAAAAAGGTGCCACTAGAGATAGAAATTAAATCAAAACACAGCACTCAGAACCCTTTCTCCTCTCAGACGTTCTCATATTGAACAACAGTTAAATGATTGATTCTTTCCGGTAACATAAGATTATATTCATCTAGTTAACCAGTGCTGAACTCAGTTATGCAGGACAAAGACTGAAGAAAATCTTAAAATACAAGGTTCTGCATGTTCTCATCTTCTTAGTAAAGCATAAGAAACAGACACGATCACATACATACTGATCTTTTTAAAGTAATCTTATTTTTTTAAAAAGACAAGCACATCCCCCAAACCAAAATATGTCATTTTAACTTTCAACTCTTGCACATAAAGAAGGAATAAATCAGTCAGTCTGATGTAATTACAGTACATTCCACTTAAAAAGGTATTTAATATTCATTTCAATTTTACCCCATCAACTAGTAACAATTGTGAACACTTCAGATTATTGCTGACCATTTCCCAAAGCATAGTTCAGGTTTTTTTAGATTTCACTCTACGTATCTTTCACAGAATTATTGGTCCACATTCATTTAAGTACAATATAAATATATACATGCAGGGACTTTTAACATTAAACATTTATATTACGGGTTCACTTATGCCTATGTACATCGAAATAATTATTAGTCTTTAATTGTAATTATTCCTCCTGTCCGTACTGGTAGTGAAGAGATTCCTTCCCAATATGATTAATGAATTTAATGACTGGCTAATATGAAGTTTCAGAAGTCTGAGTTAGAAAAATGAAGTGCGTATCTTCCAAAGATAGTCTATTTAGTACAAAATGTCCTCTTTATGTTAGAATTCTGTCTGTGAACACACAAACAGGAAGTTAGATGGGTTACCTGTCATAAACAAAGTTTAAGTCTTAGTTTTCATATGGCTGCATTAAAGTTTGGAATCAGTTTAAATGTTATTGTATGTTTTTGAAAATGGCTGGCAATAAGTTGAAGTATACACACTTAATAGTAACGGAGCTATTCTAAACCAACGCGATAACTCTCTAAAAATATGTTAAAAAAAAATAAAAAAGGACTTTACAGAAAAACCTGGGTTGCCATCCAAGAATCTCCTCAGTAGGATGAAAACATTGAAATCAAAACATTCATCACTGGCTATCAACATTCAGTGAAACAGCCATTGTAATCACAGTAAGTTCTGGTTCTAACATTCAAAGTCCTCTACAGGCACATTATTATGTGAATGTGGTCACAGCAGTGAACTAGTCAGACCAACTATCGTTACTGAATACAGAAATGCAGTATTAGATCCTGAGTGTCAAAAGTAGAGAGTTAAAGGGACAGTTCGCCCTAAAGTCAAAAATACATCTTTTTCCTCTTACCTGTAGTGCTATTAATCCGTCTAGATTGTTTTGGTGTGACTTGCAGAGTGTAGGAGACATTGGTTGTAAGATGTCTGCCATCTCTCAAGTATAATGGAAACAAATAGCACTTTGCTTATGGTGCTTAAAGTCAGCAAAAACAGACATTGCTGTTGAGTTTAAATGTTTATTTTGCACCACAAGCAAAGTGCCATCTGGTCCCATTATACTCCACAGAAGCCAGACATCTCTACAGCCAATATCTCTAAAACTCACCAACTCAACAAATTGCACTACATGTAAGAGGGAAAATATGCATTCTTGATTTTGGGGTGAAATGTCCTTTTTAGGCTGATCTTGACCAGTTTTTTTATTTTATTTTATTTTTACAATCTATTCACATATAAACTCTGTTCTACCAATCTTTGGTTAAATTAGTGCATAGGTGTGTGCTACCTTTGATGAGAAGTCGACAAGAAATAAGGCACTTCTTTCTTTTATCACCTACCAGCACTGCTCTTCCCTGTGTATTTGGTGTCTTAAGTAGTTTTTCCTGCATTCCTCGCACTGATAAAAGCCATACCGTGAGTCCTGAAGTGCGTGTTAAGATCCGATGCCTTTTCAAATTTCTTGCGGCACACCTTACAGGCCAGTGACCCCTCCTCTTCCATCCCCTGAGAGGAAGGCGATGCTGGTGCAGAACCACCTAGAGAACTCTTATCATCATGGTTCTTGCTGTTACCAGGGGAAGGCGCTGGGTGCACGTTGAGGGATTGCTGGTTTTCAGTGAATGTATTTCTCACTTTGTGGATGATGAAACGATGGCGTGACAGGGAGGAGGTGGATGTGAAGCAGGCGCCGCACTGTAGACACTGCTGACCGCCCCCCTCCGTCCCTCCTCGTCGGTGCTGGCTGATATGCTCCAAGAACGATGCCTGATCTTCTGTGGTGAAGCCGCAGGGGGCACAGCGGAACCCAGACTCAGGAAGGGAGTAGGGGGCAGCAGTGGAGGAGGAGGACTGCGACTTCTTCACTGGACTCACCCCATCTGTGGAGTCTTCGTCCTGCTCCATCTTCACGGCTGGTCTCCGTCTCCGACGAGCCCCCAAACTGCCGTCCTGTTCTGAGGAACTGTCAGCCTCATCTCCGCCTCCCTTTGACCAGAATAAATCTGCTGTTAACTACATCTTAGTAAAAACTGTTTCCTGTTTTCTTCTTAAGAAATAGAAGAGTGTCTTACCATCAGTGTGTCCTGGCTTTCTGTGTCCATGCTGTGTCTCAGCTGAATATGTCTCTCCAACATCGTTCTGCTGCTGAATGTTTTCTTACTCTCACTACAGAACCTACACACACACACACACACACACACACACACACACACACACACACACACACACACACACACACACACACACACACACACACACACACACACACACACACACACACACACACACACACACACACACACACACACACACACACACACACACACACTTCGATTTCAGGAATCTTAGTTACACTTGATAGCCTGGCATCACAGATTAGTCTGGAACCTCTCCATTTATTGGATTTTGATTTCCAAGGAGCGCAGGCCAAACTGCCTCTGAACGCAAGATGTGATGTGGGTGCTTGATCTGTTTTCAAGCAGGAAAAAAAATGGCCGCCTGGTCACAAACTTCCTCACATTACAGCTAAAAGATAAGAATAATTACATTTACAGCTTATTATAGTTTTTTGTAAATAAATAATTAATTAACTTTGCAGTCTGTTCTAAATTATTCCTTTTTTACTCCCTGTCAATTCCACAACAACAATATAATGTTTTTGTAACTTAATTATATACAATCAGTGAGGTTACAATGGAATCATCGTGATAATGGTTTCATCAGCTGGTGTATCATGGTGAGGATAAAGGATGCAGAATATGGGATACTCACTGGCAGCGAAAGCTGCGATTCATGACTTTATGTTTGTCTCTGATGTGACGTCTCAGACTGGAGGTGGTGGTGAAGGAGCTCTCACACTTGTTACAAGGGAACTTCTTCAGAGTCTGCACAGCACAAACACAAAAACATATGGCTGCATCCACTGATTTGTAGTTCTGTCTAAAAAAACTAAATTAATGTAGTCAGATTATATGTCTTAGACAGTGGGGGGGATGGTGCACTCCAGACCTTGCTATGTTGTTCAGCCATATGGGTGATGTAGTCTTCCCGGTCTGTGTAGCGTGCGTGGCAAGGTGCACACTTCCACCCTGACGGGGTCTTCATCCTTTCTGTCTTCGCTTTCTCTTCTTTCTCTTCATTCATCCATTCCTCCCCATCTGAGCTCTCTAATGTCAATGAAGGACGTGAACGAGAGGAAGCAGCTGGAGGTGAAGGCAACTCTTGTTTTAGCGTGGGAGCCTTATGGGTCTGAGGAACAAAGTAAACAAGGGAAAAAGGACATAATTATCCAATTATAATAATTATTATAATAATTATTGTCTGTACACTAACTGAACTATATTAGACCCTATATAAGCATGCATATACCTTGAAATGATCCAGTAGGGAATTCCTCTGAGAAAACAACTTGGTGCACTCAGGGCATTTAAACACATCCACCTTCTGATTGGTTAAATGAGTGTCAAAGTGGACGTACAGCAGGGGCTTGTTTGTAAAAACTGTGTCACACATGACACATTTATAGATTGACCTGTAAAGGGATAAAAAGTAGGTCAACTCAAAGGAAAACATTTTTTTTCATGAGATAAAGCACGTGTGTGTGTGTGTGTGTGTGTGTGCGTGTGTGTGTATGTATACATGGTCTGTCTTTCAGTGAGCGCTGGATGTTGGGCTGTGATGTGGTTCTGTATGCTGGGAGCAGACTTGAAAGCCATGGGGCAGCTGGGGCATTTGTGGAACATATCACAATGAGCCTGTTGGATGTGAGACTTCACTGAGTTGAGTCCTCCAAACACCACCAAGCAACTGGAACATCTGAGAGAGAGAGAGAGAGAGAGAGAGAGAGAGAGAGAGAGAGAGAGAGAGAGAGAGAGAGAGAGAGAATTGTTAAAAGCCAGAGAAAAGATTGAAACCTGGGAATATAAATTGAATTTCTGTGGTATACTTTTGTTTTAGTGAGCAACCACAGTGGAAGATATCACACCTGTATCCAATGCGGCGTGCAAAGTGCAAACAGGTCTCGTCCAGATGTGTTTGAAATTGCGGCTGCTTGGCTGTGCCCCCACACTCTGGGCAGATGTGTGGTTGGCAGCCTTGGTGGATGCGTTGGTGAGCTGCCGCACTGCAGCTGTTGGGCAGGAGCATGGGAGGAGAACACTCGGTGCATGGCTGGAGAACAGAGGACGAACGTATGAGAGTTTATTTAGAGTTCATTTTTATATCGTTGGACAACAAACAAAACTTGTTGCTCTTTTCCTCACACCCAAAAGACTCACAGTGGTTTGTGCTGGTTTGATTTCTTGGAAATGCTCAGCCACTTCTTCTTTGCTGCTGAACTGAGCCTGACACTCAGGACATTTATTAGCGCTGTACTGCACTGCCTCTGTTTTCTTGTTGGATATTGCTTTATGTGTCTGGGATGTTGGATTTGGAATGGCCTGGCTTAAAAGGGATGATGACGGTCCTGAAGAGGATGACAGAAGAGATGGAGAGATCCCACCTGAGGAATCACGGAAAAAAATAATCACACACAGGAATCACATCTAAAAAAAAAAGAAGAAAAAATTAAACAACAGAAACAATGTTCACCAACCAATGGCAGTAGGTTCCTGCTGGCCAATCATCTGCTCCACAGGTACAGGTTTCATGACCAGGTGTGAACACTGCATGATCAGGCCTCTCTCCTTGTGCTCTCTGGCATGTAACAGCAGGCTGCACTTGTTGAAGAAGGCCAAACGCTTGGCGCAGTGATTACAGGTCACCTCAATCCTCAGAGAGCGCCGAGCGTAATGCCGTGCCAAACTCTGCTCCAGGGCAAAGGCGTCACCACACTCCAAACAGCGGTAACCCTGCAAGGGATCAAACATTCATCTTAACAGATATCGATACATTATACTGATATATGCTAAGTAATTCAATGCTGTAAAATTATAATTAAAAAGGCAGATTTAAGTGTAGTTCTGTTGAAAGAATTAAGCCTGTCAGGATCACTATATGTGAGTGTGACACTTTGTTCACAATGCATATCAGATGAGTTGTACAGCACACATCCTCTTCCTGTACATTTTACATAAACCGAGTTATCTTCTATCTTTGATAAAGTTGGGCTGCTTGTCATTATCAGACTGAACTTTATATGTTAAGCCAAACAGCAAGATAGATTTAATAATCTGTTATGGGTTTGTGGCAGGGGTCCCCTTGTTTACACAATTAGGGCTGCAACTAACAATTGCAACTAACTGATTAAATTGAAGCTTTTTTTTTGATTAAGTGATTTGTTTTTCCCCTAAAATGTAAAAAAATAGCGAAATGTCCATTACAATGTCCCAGAGCCTACGATCTATTCAAATTACTTGTTTGTTCTGACCAACCATTAAAAACCCAATATATTTAGGTAACTTTCATCTATTAGAAAAAACAGCAAATCCTCACATTTGGGCGGCTGAACACTGGATTGATGCTTTTGCATGTAAAATAACAATTTATCCATTACCAAGTACTACCGACTAATTTTTATGTTTGGCTATCAATCGACTACTTAACTGTATCAGCAATACACAAAATGACAGCTTACCTGTGCAGGCAGAGGAAGGCCCCACTCTGCAGGAAGAGGGGAGCTTAGATCTGGTTTATAGCTGGGTAGCAGGTTCTTGTTGTTGAGGATCTTGTTGAAAGCTTCCACCAGGTTGGTCTGACTTTTGGATATAATTGCCCCTGTGCTGTTAACTATGGAGGCTGGTCTGCTGCTACTTTGGAGCAGAGGTGAAGGTGCAGGAAGCGTCATCCCACTGTTTAGACCTTTCGGGGCCAGGCTGCGAGTGTTGATCCCCCCTGGGCTGACTCTCGGAAAGGAGACAGAGACGGAAGGCAGGGCTGCGCCTTTGGTGATGCTAACAGCTGTGGGGGAAACCTTAGGCTTGGTGTTCACGGTGGTTTTGTCTTTGACTGTACGGGCACCTTCCTGGAGCATCGCCATTGCAGGCATCTGAGGTTGCTGTGATACCTCCCTCTTGGATCTTGTGTTATGACGTTCTAGTGAAGGTTTTGGACTATCCACACCTTTGGTAGTGGCTCTTCCACTTCTTTTAGGTGCAACGCCAGTCACAGTCCTTGTGATGCTGCCTGTACGCATTTTGATTTTAACTTTGAGGGGACGCAATGGAGATGCAACGGTCCCAGCAGCACTAGCAGACACAGGATCCTCAGTACCAGCGCCACAGCTCTCCTCGTCTACATTTTCTCCATCTGCAGCCAGCTTCTCAGTGTCACCTGCCCTGTCCTCTTCTCTGGGCTCACTTTCCATGAGCTCTTCTTGGTGACTTAAGTCCTTGTGGTTTGCTACTGATGTCTGGGCCAAATCGGGGCTGTTGCTTCTCTTGGGGACTACACCTGTCTCACTGGGTGGTGGGCTCTCAGGTGAGTCCCTCTCATCAATCACATGTTCTGGGTATTTCTCCTCTTGGACAGATGTAGAGTCTGTGCTGACAGAGGGGAGGCAGTCCTGAGGGCTCTGTGGCTGAGGAGCTATGGAGGGAGAGCTGGGGGTGGTAGGTCGACCCTTTTCCTCAAGCTGGGGTTTAGGATTTGCAGGTGCCGAAGAAGAGAGAGGAGGAGGACGAGAAACAAAAGTGGTTTCAGGAGAGCCAAGCAGCTCTGGCCGTACTTTTGCTCTGTGTTTAAATTTGGGAGGAGAGGACATTAGAGAATCTGGACTCTCCTGGATCACCAGTGGACTCCCCAAGTCTGGCTCTGAGTCATCTTCATCTGAGTGCATAACACGCATAATTCCAGCCTTACTACTTCCGTTTTGTGGTAGAGGGGATGATGGATTACTGAGGGGACACGTTTCCTCCTTTTGAGGGGAGCAAGGAGAAATGTGAGGGCCCACAGAGTGTGGGGAGGAAGGAGTTGAGGAGGTGGGGCCGGCACTAGTTGAGGACTGGAGGTAGAGGAGGGGCTTCAAACTGTTCATGACATCAGTCGTGTGCTGGACCGATCTGGCATCAGCTCCGTTGTCCTCCTCATTTAGTGTGGACCTCAATGGTGAATGCTGGGGCCATGGCTCTGTGTTGGACTGTCCCTGATCTTTGGGGACAGATCTCTCAAAGCCATTGGCAATCTGGGGCTCCACAGGGGCCTCAGCAGGTATTTTGGGACCAAACTGTGAGTTGAGGTCTTCAAACTTGACCTGAACCTGAGAGATTAAGCCACTGCTTGAAGGACTGTCTGTCTTATCCCTGACAGACTTCTCCTCCTCTTCAAAAGACTCAGACCGTACTGTGTTCTTCACAATAACACTGACCACAGGGGGGTCACTATGTGAGGCAGGAGGGCAGGGAAAGCATGAAGGAGACCCACCCTCCCTCTCATCTGCATTATTCCCCACCTCATCCCGTTCCTCCTCGGGGCTTGACTGAATGGCTTCTTTGGCATCAATGTCAGGAATGTCAAAAGCTGCCAGCAAATCATCAAAGTCTGGGGTCTTCATGTCCCCCATTGCCAGCCCAAAGGCTTAAAACCTAACGGAGCAACAAATGAGTCAGAGCAACTCATGCAATGTTACATTAAAGCACAACACGTTCACACAACTGAGCTACAAAGTTAAACCTTCATGTTTGATTTAAACCAAAAATGTGACAGCTGGTATCACAAGTGGGTCGAGACTGTTTGGTTAAAGCAAAACGTAATCGGTGGGATGTTATTCTGCTCCGGACATTACCGAAACCCGACTAAAGAAACAACAACTTACATAAATCTGCTGTTTATCGTGTTGAACCAACAATCCTGTTGCAACAAGTGGGACATTTAGCAAACAGCTAGCCAAACTTTAGCATGTATCTGCTAGCCGGCCTTGCTAACGTCAACCGGCCAACTTTGCTCAAGTTGTTAAAATCTCTCTAATTAGCTCGATAAGTTCAACACTCAGCTACTGTGGGACTAACATACAACCTGCAGTGCGTGTTTTGTTCGCTCTACTTGAAGCTAACATCTGCACACGCTTGTATTTAATTTGAATTACCTGCTAGACAGCGAAGTTGGTTCCTGACTTTACACTCGGACGCATGAGTTCTTCGTCATCCAACTGTGCGACGGTGAGTTCCCGAGAGCCTCTGAAATGTTTACAAACGTGTAGAGGTGTCATACAAACTCTTTAATAAGTGCTACCCTTTCTAAATAACATACAAACACTTTTACGATAAGAAATTTGTCTTCTACGGTTAAACTGGTTGTTTTGTCTTTAAGTCTGGGAAGAGTTGTGTTTATTTATTTTTACTAAACTCGTAAAAAAACTAAAAATCTCTCAATTTTTCTGAGTTTTCTGTGCCTGCTTAAAATCACTCACAAATCGTGTTTACCTGCCTTTTATGTTACATGAATGTATACACTGCTTGAGCACATCAGTGTAGAGTCTATTAGCCAGAGGTACTGTTAACATCTCTCTGTCTCTCCACCAGGCCGCGCTCACTTGTATGCATTTATATTCTTGTTCAATAAAGATCATCAAGAACTAATAGAAATAGTATTCCCATCTTAAAATGGAAGTTTAAATGTGTGTTTTTCTGGGCACTTAATATGACACCAGATAAAGTATATAGATTTCAATCCAAAATTCACTTATATTTTGAGAAAAGTATCTCCTAATCATGAAAAATGGAAATGTAATCTTGCTGTTGCAGCCAACACAACTATAAATAAATTCCAAGCATTAGATGAAGCACCACCTTGTATTCTGTAAATTTATTGAGGAAATCTGCCCGTGTTACTGAGAAGTTATATTACAAAAGAGTCAAAATTAAACATATCTGCTTGACACAAAAAAATTAAACCTAAATTTGAAAAAAGGCAAAAGTTGTTTACAGTTTACACAGCTACATAAACAAAAAGGATGAATGAACAGAATGGTTCCCGTATGGAGGAGAGTAATGACATAACTGTGAATAACACATGCGGTGCAATTCTCAGGTCTTTTTTATTTATTGTATATTTAGTTGCTGTCTTTGGGTGTTCATTTCTTTTTCTCCTCATCCTTCTTAGTGTCAGGTTTAGAGCCCGTCTGGGAAGCCAGAGAGCCCATGGCGTTACGGATGGCCTCGTTGTTGGGATCGACTCCGGGAAGATTCTCCAGGACACTCTGAAGGAAATCTGGATCCTGCATAACATCGTAGTCCTCTTCATCCTGGACACAAAAAATGACATGTTGCTAGCAAGCACGTTCAATCTGATTAAAAAGAAAAAGGAGAACTTTTGAAAGCTTGTGCTTACCTTAGCCTTACTGGAGTCCATGTCAGCTTCTGTGTCCATGTCCTCAGCACCAAACTCTGCAAGAAAAAACAGAACAGAAATGTTGTTTTAGTAGAAAACAAACAAGGTTGTTGTGGTAATTTGTGGTCTATATGTTCCCGAATGTGCTGCTCTACAAAAAACACTTAGGTTCTCCTGGTGAATTATTGATTAGCATAAGTATTGCAGAATTAGGTGTGTTATTTTCAGTAATGAGCGATACCGAGCTTATACTCTCACGCTGCATTCAGTGCACGTACAATACTCTGTAAATATGGACTGCTAACTAGTAGAAACTGTTCCTGCTGTTTGCCAAGTGTTTTGCATGCTCCATATTCTCCACCAGGCCTAATGCATTGTATCAAGCCGTATTCACGCTACCCTGAATTCAGTCAGAGCTGACATTACATGGACTTCACCTTGCCAGCTCCTTAGTACATAAGTCTTTGTAACGTCTGATTGAGCCCACGTGTGACTAGAAAAGGTCACTGTCTGGAGAATTCACAGCGAGCAGGCGCATTGATGACGTTTTTTCTTTGTACTCTTTTCTTCTTGCTTGTATATTACTTTCCACTTTTTTGTTGATATTGTGGATATTTCCAAAAACTGGACTAATGTGACAAACTGCTCAATCAGCTGCAGGAACAGATTTTTATAGACTTACAAGATACAGGGAAACTTAAAGAAACACATTTCCTCTTGGAAGCAGAAAATTATTAATATCTGTAAACTGAATTCTATGCATTTGCTATTGTTGACGTTATACCAGCTAAATCTAAGTTTGCATTAGAGGTTCAATCCATTCTTTGGTCATGGAAATTTAGAAAACTCAAAATCCGTGTTTAACCTGCTCCTGCTCCCTGCATAGACATCTGCAGAGCATAGGCGATCTGTTCATCCTCTGTCATACGGCTGAAGTCTGGTATAGCAGGTGTGGATGAGTCTGTATGGGGTACAGACATCTTCAACAGGGCATCCTCAGATTCTGCAAACAGAAAGACAGAAAAAATATGCCGTGTGAACTCACTCACGTTTGGAGCAGTAAACCGTCTACTTAAGGAAGATGGGTAGAACTTGGCATCTATGATAGGAAACCAAGTTGGTGGACATTTCTCTCACCATCTGCGGCAGGGGAGGAAATGCCAGCTTCGGCAGCTGATGCAACAGCGGCTCTGCGAGCTTCATCCTCCTGTCGTTGTCTTTGCTCCTCCATAGACACCCGCAGAGCCTAGAGAGAGGAGGAAAAAAGCAAATCAAACGACAGCCCAGCATGACTCTAAATACTGACAATACATCAAGTAGCATGATGCCATATGAATTTACAATGAAGAAAACAATGAACTATACCACTAAATGTGGTATAGAAAACAGTTGTGATGAAAACAGAAATATGGATGAATAATCCAGAGCATTTTATAGGCAAAAGACAATAGAAGCAGTGATTACAATGAACTATATAAACTATACATATTACAGAGAACTCTTGTAGTGTCTTTCCCTGCTCTCTTACCAAGGCCAGCTCTGGGTCTGCGCTGGGATCCACTCCAAACTCAAAGTCACTGGCGCCCAGGCCCAACACCGCACCCCCCTCTCCAGCCAGAATGGGTGAGGACAGCAGGGCATCAGCCAGACTGGGGCCCGGAGGCACTGTGACCAGGTGGGAGCCTGCACCCTCTTTGCCATTCAGTGTATTGATAAAGGCCGTCAGCTTCTCTGTGTTCATTTCCTGCAGGTGTGAGAAAAAATGAGGATAAGCCTGTGGACCACACAACAGTGTAAAGAGAGTAAAAATATACACAATAGCACATTAGACATTCAAGAGATTGAGTGTGTGTGGAGCTTTGATGGGAAAATACCTCCTCTCCAAAGTTAATGACATCCACGTTGACCTTTTCCTTCTTTAGACGCTTTGCCATTTTAACCAGCTACGGGAAAATAAAAATACTTCAGCTGACACAAATACTACATGTTTTATCAGGAGCCTGAACGTTATATTAGTACACTGATGCTATCAGCCAATTTTTCCCACGGATAAACAGGTGCCAGTGTAATAGAAACACAGTATTGAGTAAGCTGGATAACAACACCGAATAAACCTAAAATAGCTCTTTTTACATTAGTCCGTGTTCCAGACTTCAAGATTTTCTGCATTTTAATCAGCAATATTATCCAGATAATATCCTCCTTTGTGAAGGAAGCATCTGCTGTCTGCACATTTCCAATGACAATGTAATGGTACAATTTACAGAAAAGAAACTATTAGTTGTAAGTTGTGTTTAACTTCTTCAAAAATAATATATTATACGTTTGCTGTTGAGTTTATTTATGATTTACATTTATGAGAGCTGGCATAATTATTCAATTATGTGTTGATATTGCCTTGGTGTATACAGGCAGCAGTGTTCACATTTGCTCAGTATAACTATTTATCATAATTACTATTCAGAGTTACGAGCAGCATGCTTTTCCAAAAAAATGCCTACCATCCAATCCAAAGAAAATCTTTATAGTCTGATATTGTTCAAAGTCTCCTCCCTAGTTATCAGTATCAAAGCCACAAATCCAGTATCTGCTGGGTAATACATAATCACTAATCAACACAGTGACTTAACTCACTTCTTTTTCGTTGTCCTCCACTGGGCTGCCAACAAATGCAATAATGCGCATCTTGTGGTTTTTGCCCTGTCTGTGCTTCAACGCCAACTACAGAGAGAAACAAATGGGAAACAAAATGTATCTTATGAACTGTCAAATGCATTTATGTGACACAAGGGACAATAGATCTATTGACAAAAGACATGTTGGCATGTCATAACAGGAAAAGCACAGGTGTACTTTATAACATTAATGATGGCTGCATTACATTCCAGCTGTATATTCTGGCTCGCTGTATCATTGGAGAGCAGAAGCACTCAAAGCTGAGTTAAACTAAGTTTGTCCATGTTTTGAATAAAGACTTCAAACCTCTCCATATATCCTAAGGTTCCTAAAATTCACTTCACACATCACAACCCTTTTCCAGCTTCTCTGTTGCTTCCCTGCAAGAGGAAGAGGTCAGAGGTCACTGTGTAACAAAAGTCACAAACTCACATGTGCCACCCTGATGCCGGTGCAGAAGCTGATGTTTCCACGAGGCTGCACAGCATGCAGCTTGGACAGTATCCTGCCTGTGTCTGGAGTCAGTGTGGTCAGCACCTCACAGTTGCTGTGCAGGGACATAACACTTGTGTCATCATATTAACATATTTACATATTTTGAATGTCAGTACACTAATTCAAACACATTGCCTCTTACTTTGCCATGGTGATGAGGCCCACATTGTTTTCAGGGTTGCTGCGGGTCTTGGAGTGACAAACTATATTAACTGCGTCCTGCTGAGCCTGCAGCCTGGTGGGCAGAAAGTCTCCATTGCGCATGTACTCACTGTTGTCCACACTAAGAAAAATGAAGAGCAGTGTTAACAATTGCTAGCTTTACTAAAAAATGTAAATTACACAGATTGGATAAATACTGGTTGTTGATGTAGGCAAAAAGCAACTGTGTATGTGAACACTGTGAAACATGTGAAGGGACGGGACCCAGAAACAGTTCATTCATTCATCAATTAGGTAATCAACAGAGAATTACTCGCCAACCATTTTTATATGGTGTACGTTGTAAATTCAGTTTTCCTGAAAATAAGGATTTGCTGCTTTATGTTGTGAATGTTATATTTGGGACTGCTGGGTGGACAAAACAAGCAATATGAACACATCCCTTTGAGGAAAGCATTTGTACTGTTTTCTTACATTTAACAACCTGATAAACAGATTAAATAACTATCAATATATAAAACATTTATGAAAATAACTGTTGTATCCCCAGTGAACGCAACAATCTGTCTATAATCTAAAATGGAAACCGATTAAAAGGTACTATTGTTGTAACAAAGCAGTGTTTTTATGTTGTGTAACGTTACTCTATCTGAACACACACTAACAGACAGCGTCTGTTTGTGATATTAACATGTTAGCTTTGTTTATTAGGTCGGTCAGATAAAGACAACAATAGATCCCACTGAGCTGAACATTTAGTCAATGACAGCTTTTGGTTTGTTAGCTAACTAGCTAACTGATGCTAACGCGTGAAACAAAGCCATTTTTATTGAACTTGAGGCTCAATCTGGACTTAACATTTCACGAACGTAAGGTAGCGACACAACACTGAGTAGCGCAGTAAACAAATAACTCGTTAAATGTTCATAATCTGATTAAAAAGCCGCTGTTAGCTAGGAGCCGGAAGCTCCTGCAGGCTAACGTCAGGTTGGAGTGACTCAGGGAATAGCTCGAGCATCTTACACCCAAAACGAAACAAGTAAACCTGCACCAATGTTTCACACAAACGGCGGCAAGAGACACATATTTCCTTTATCAAATGATTGCTTATTTTGAATAAAATTAGCCCTTTTAGTTTGAACTTTAAACATATTTCTAATTCCTTACCAGACCATAGTACTTTCAAGCACCATCTTGACGTCTGTTGTTCAATACGTCATCCGGATGATGGTTTATGGGTAATGTTGTTAAAGTGAAAATAAATAAATAAAACACCACCACAAATGTCAAACAATCTTATGATAAAATGTTAAGATTATTATTTAATATTAAAGAAATGATGCGATAAAATGATGATTTAGTTAGATCTCTGCTCATATATAACTTTTCTTGCTGTGTGGGTACATTGACTGTATATATAAGGTGGGGTACACTGACTGTATATATAAGGTGGGGTACACTGACTGTATATGTAAGGTGGGGTACATTGACTGTATATATAAGGTGGGGTACATTGACTGTATATGTAAGGTGGGGTACACTGACTGTATATATAAGGTGGGGTACACTGACTGTATATATAAGGTGGGGTACATTGACTGTATATGTAAGGTGGGGTACATTGACTGTATATGTAAGGTGGGGTACATTAACTATATATATATAAGGTGGGGTACATTAACTGTAAGGTGGGGTTAAACACAGATTGTGTTTTATGTTCTGAACCAGTCAAATAATTTGCTATTTGCATCTGATCCTTTGTTTTTTTTCTTTGTTTAAATGTAATAATATAAATAACCAATTAAATAATGTAATATGTACTCATTTGTTGATGGAAAAATACTAGACTGATCAAATCTACTTCCCTTGCAGATGCCAGTCAGTGTTTAATGAAGCAGTTATTGGTCTGAAATGAGTGTATGACCATAGAATAACTGCTACCCAAAGGTTTTAGATTAGATTAGATTCAACTTTATTGTCATTGCACAAAGTACAAGTACTAGACAACGAAATGCTGTTAAGCATCTAACCAGAAGTGCAAAGCAGTAAAGTGTAGAGTAATGTGCATATGTACAAGGATATTAAAACAAAATAACATTATATATATATATATATATTTATATATATATATATATATATATATATATATATATATATACAGTATGAACACCATTAACAGAATGAACGGAGTGAAGTGAATACACTAAGATATATACAGCTATTAAGTTAGGAAAGAAAAGGTATGTGAACCTTGAACGAATTGTTGTGCACAAGCTTGTGTTCAAAGAGTGTTATTTGAATAATATAATAATATGGCTGGAACACTTAGCTAATGAAGCTGAAAGTCTTGCTCACTCACTTCCTCTGAAAAAGTTTGTTTGATTTTCCATCGGTGCAGATCTGTCTTCCCCAACTCCTGAGATCAAACAAAACAAAATTCAGCTTTCTGACCGCCTGTCTGAGACCTGGTGGTGTCATCAGAAAGCGTCTTTGTTCACGGTAATGTTTGCCCCAGTTTCACAGCTGGCACATCTGTACAAAAAGATCTCACCAGGAACTATATGGGCTCTTGTCTTTGTTTACTTGGACTTAATGCTCTCTAAACTCAATTCTGTGGATGTCTGTAGGATGCATGAGGCTCGGGATGGGGGTGGGGGGGAGACACACACTTCCTGTCATTTTCTCCCAGCACCTAGTACTCTGACAATGGGTTAGCCCAGCTGTGGGTGGACGGCGAGGCGACCATCAAGAGATTCATCCAAACTGGGACCAAGAACAGGATTTGGTAGGATTACTAAAGTCCATGAGTGGGACTACATCCTCCCTGGTGCTGAGATCAAACGCTATATGGATGACAAACATTTCTCCAGGCAATGTATTCAGCTGGGGACATTTGGACTATAAAATAACAGGGCAGGTTTTGGAGTTATGCAACAGGATGTAAAACAAATTAATCACAAGTCCCCACATTTGCAGCATTCACTGTATTGAGCATGTGTTATGTTCTCTAGAGATTATTTTAATGTCTTCAGACACACACAGTGTTAACTTTTTTAAAACATAAACCATTATTCTCAAACACCTAGTAACAGGGACTTACAAAATACACATTAACAAAGGGACCAAAACCAAGATTTAGAAAATATGTTTAATCCTTTAAAATCAGACATGGAAACAATCACCACCACATAACTGAAACATGGCAGGAGGGACAGGCAGCACATATTGCATGAGAAGGCATTTCCGTGACTCCTATGTACATATACACATTTTATACACAGTAAAAATATAGTAATTGAAGCATATAGGACCACCAGCAACGTTGGCTCGCGAGCCGTGTGAAACATTCATGTAGAAAAAGCGTGGGAGATTAACAACCCAGAATCATCATGGAGAGAATCTATCATATCATAATCTAAACATGAAATATAAAAAGTGAAATTGTCAAATTGTCCCCCTTCATAAGCAATACACGCTATAAAGTTTCAGACATCCTTCTGTCAGTATACGTACAATCATTTAAAAGGTACATAATACAACTTCTATTATTTCAGCCTGCAGCAATCAACCATGTTAATAAATATACTTCTTAGAGCTGAAGGGTGGCAGATTGTGGTTCATATTGCATTACTTCAAATATATTGTAGTGTCTACACTGAGTGCGCCGCCCTTTAAGCACCGAAGGATGATGTTTCTGTTTGTGCCATAGTGTAGTACATAATAACTGCGACAGAACTTGTCTGTATCCAGCAATTACACAGTACCACCCATTAAAAAAAACAAAAGAAAAAACAGTTATCACATAAAACACAAAATTCAGGTGTTATAAAACATAATCTGGATTTTTCGAATGAGGAAGAATTCTTGGAGTGTTTTCTTTGGTGGCTGTTTGACTCTCAACCAACTTGACACAACTTTAAAATGGATCTTTTTTGACATAATCAATATTTTACATTTCAGCATTATACCAGAAATAATTCATATCAAGTACATAATTCAAACTACACAAATAATGGGTTCTATGAGCTACCACAATTTGTAGTAAATTTAACTTGGATTTCACAGGAATGTGGAGTTAAATCTTGAAATGTCTCAGGCCACAATGTAAACCAATTCTTTTGATAAATAAAAAATAAATCTTTACAGGGACTAGGTCAGATACAGCTTATCAGACGTGAAATTACCTAGCAAACATCCAGTTTAATAATAGAGCCTTAAAAACACAGGTCAACCCAGTGTTATTACCATATACAACATATCAGTCCAGGAGTGTTTCATTTCATTTTCATGTTAACTGTACTGGATCCTGCACACTTGCAGAAACTTCCATCTCTTTTCTTTGGTGCCGTGACTGGCTTATAATACAGAAGACTCAGTCCTAAATTCTCAACTGTGCATTGATGAACATGAGTAGTTTTCCTTCTTTCTATATTTACAACTCACATTTCCCCTTCTCCCTCTCTGCTGCATAGACCACATGTGCCTAACAAACATAAACATAAACAGTAATTCCTTAGATGAGATGATGTCTAAGATCTTGAGTTTTGCTACAGCCACTTGGTAGTGATTCAAATTTCTGTATCAGAAATATTTCATGGGGTAAAGAAGCTCTCTGCCAGCCACCTCAGTAGCTTGTTTAGTGCCCTAAACAATCAGATAAAAACAACAAAGCACAATTTGTATGAACAGCCGAGTAAAAGCTGAGTAAGACGTACAAAAAAAAAAAATTAGTAATACACTTTGTTAGTAATATTGGTCCAAGAGTGGATGTGGGGGCGGGTGTCATTTCTGTAACCAGCAGAAATGTCTAATAAAAGACTAACATCCTTACTGTCTGATGTTGGAAGAGTTAAAAGGATTAGCTGAGCTGATGAATCACAGTGACTGAATATTGGACACACATAACCAAGAGGGGATTGTACTAGTGTTCTTTTAACCCCTAACAACCGACGGTTGTTCCAGACATACGAATGGCAGTTTTGATGACTTCAGCTGTAGTGATAAGGCAGGTTTCTCTGTGTGACTACAACACTAACCTGTAAAAAAAAATGTCAGTTACGTATCACATGTCAGGGACAAACATGTAAAGGCACAGACATGACAGACACATGACAGTAGCTGGGAGTTATTACTGTTCTATTAGCTCAACAGCATGACTTCATTTAACAGCATCTACTGGCCAGCAATACTGTCGACAGCTCTTCTTCTCTGTATTCATTTATACTTTAGCACATATGGTCACATCAGAGGGGGAGATTTTCAGGGTTGTACAAATGTGGTCTGCCATGTTAATAAGACACATTCTATAGAAGAAAAACATTGCAATGTACATTCAGTAGTGGCAAGATCTGGCTGGACCTTTGCAGCACCACCGTGGCTTCCAGCTGAATAACTTAAAACAAAAACGTGAAAAAAATGACTGTGGGTGTTTCAACCCATCCTTCCACTATTTCAAAATCCAATTTCAAACAAATACTGTACATCCACAATCAGTAAAAAAAAAAAAACATGTTTACATGATTGCAGAGACAACAGCAGCATGTGTTGATTTAAATGATGACCACTGGTAGTTCAGAGTGCCCCTGCTCAAAAGAAGCACTGGGGGGGGAAGGATGTGCGGTAATGGGAACATTAGTGTGAATCACGGAAATGTGAACCCACTTAGACTGTGCATGAACACACAGGGAACCATTCACTCCAACAAATGCAGGCGGCTATGCCCTTCATGTGCTCTTAGGTGTGTGTGTTCCTGCTGAACTGCTGTCTGTGCCATCTCACATCGCTTCATGCTGCGTAAAGTGGACACGATGGCCAACTCTTCATGGATAATTTGACTGCCTTCACCATCCACTGGTGACTGGGGCATGGGCTTTTTACAATATACAACTAATTATTGTGTTTATTATGTCAGTGCAGCAGAATCAATGTAAATCTGCTACTGAAGAGCTGCCCATTCAGGGTCATAAGCCTTTTTTCCAGGTTTATATCGAAGACAATTGGCCTTTAGACATTGGGAGGGGGGGTGTGCGCACAGTGACACTGTTAATGGCTGGGGAAGCCTACCGCACACCGTCTTCTTCTTGATCTTCCCACCACTGTTTTCTTCATTGCCACAACCTCCACTGCACCTCACTGCTTCATCCAGCAATCCCTGTATATACTGTACGGGGGAGAAAACAAGAGGTGCAGTGGATGGCGGATGGTGGCTGGGTGACTTTCGCTCTCTTTATCCTTTCTTCTGCCTGCCTCACCTCATCCAGAAATGTCCTCGCCTTTAGATGGCACTTGTTTGTTTTTACTGTGAAGACGAAATTAGTGTCAATACCAAGATTATGAGGGGTATAAAGAATAACAACTAACGGCTGCTTCAATATTGATGATAATAATCTTCCGTTACAGATGTATAATTTCATTGTTTAAACTTACAAAGCAAATGTTGGTTTCAGGGATGATGTCTGAGAGGGAAACTACATCTTCATTTCCAGATAGGTTGCCTGAACGATCCCCTTCTGCCCCAAAACTGAAACAGAGAAAAGGCAATTAATACAACAAAATGACCAACGCAACAGGAATATAAATACATCTATTATTCAGTCCGATGAGGCTGTGATTTTTTAATGACTTCTGTACCTGTGAGAAGAACCCTGGTCAAGGTCTGTGTTTGCTGATTTGTGCACTTCCACCCCTACAGACCTACAGAGAAAAGTCAGAGCAAAGAAAATTAAAACCTGCGTGTGTGAAATTGAGATGGAAGAATAAAGGTCATGCATTGTTATCCTGGTGAGGTTTACCGTAGGGGAGGAGAGGTGGAGGCAACTCCTGCGCTGCCTAGTGATGAGGTGGACAGGTTGGCCTCACAGTCAGCAGGGTTTTCTACCAGCGGAGGGGTCCTCGGAACAAGATCTGGTCTGCCCGACTGCACGCCTGAAAACAATAAGAAATCAAATTACTGCAAATCTCAACGCCAGTGTCATCTAAATGGAGCACAGCTATGAGTGAAATTGTGGTTGTTGATATAATTAACAACAGAACTGCTTAATGTTGTTATCACTTTGCTTGTGATGTCTCAGTTCTTACCGCTGTCTGCCTCTGAGTCTGTGCTTTTAAAGTGGCTGTGGTAGACTAATCTGGAGTCAACGCCTGACTGTCCTGTTGCGTGGGAGAGTGGGGTGGGAGCTCCCAGAGTGGGAGCCCTCCTAAGACCTCCCTGACCTCCGCCACGACTCTTCTTAGACGGTGATGGTTTTACTGAAGAAGATGGAGGACATAAAAAGGGGATGTGATCAATAAGGGCACCTAGACTTCTCACCACTGGGATTTCTATGCAACAGGCTATTAACTTAAAAACACACACATAAGCATACTTACGTGGAATTTTCTTGAACACAGTGTTGCACATGAATTGCTGGAAACGATCTGCATAGAAGCCAGGTCTGTGAACTGAAACTGTGTCCTAAAATAGTAAAACAGCAACAGAAGCATTATGATCTGATAGATACTACAGCACTCACGCCTATATGAAATCACAACTGTCCTACAAACAGCAATACCTACGACTTTTAAAACATTGTTTTAATTAATCAATTAAACAAGTGATCTTTCAAGTGTCTAATTGTTGTTGTTTTTTTAGCCCAAGGTGATATCTTTAAAAATATCTTGTTTTGTCAGAAAAATAATCCAACACCTGAAGACATTTAGTCTTTAGTCTACAAAAGTCACAAAATAATTATTTTCATCATTATTTCATTATGAATTTAATTTAAGACCATATCCATACTGGCAAAAAAAAAAAAGGTATGAAGTATGAAGGAAATCAGTTCAGTTCAATTAAAAGAGAGACTGAAAAATGCCACTTCAAAAAAGTAACGTTAACTTCATTAATCCAATCAGTTTTTAAGACCTGTCAAAATCATTTTGATTATTGGATTATTGGATTTACGACCCTGCAGACACCCTGTAGACAGTTGCTGAAGGATATTTTACTTGGCTTCAGAGAACATTTAGTGTGTAGGCTCTTACCCCATCATGGACCAAGGCCTTCCAGGAGTGCTCCAACTTCTTAATAAACCTAAATAATAAAACATAATAAAACTTTTACTGCAAGTTATATAAATGGGAGTAATAGGTGAGAAGCTCTCTCATAAAAGCGTATGTTTATATGAGGAACTGATTAGGCTGCTCTGAGAGACCGACCTGTAGGACTGAAGAATGTCAATGATGCCGATGTAGATCAGCAACCTTTCTCCTTTAGAATTACGAGATGGAATACCGCCCATGCTGAAGGACAAAGCCAGAGAAACAACAGTAGATCATTTCATCGTCCCAGTCACAGACAGCACTACGAGCAAACAACAGTTCAAATTCAGCTCTGCTTGTGGTCAGATAGGCAATAAAACTCACTGGTCTTCTGAATCCAAAGCCCCCTTCCCTCGAGCCTCCCCCTGAATGGACTCCATGGCTGTACAGTACAGACTTCTCTGGGCTTGTGGCCGACGCTGATCTGGGGTCACTGCTCCCTCCGACCCCCCGCTGTCCCCCGAATTGCCCACACCACGCTCCCGCTCGCGACTGGCCTGGTCCATGTTGTGTATACCCATCAACAGACTGTAATCCATGATCTTGAAACTCTGCAAGAGCTACATAAAACATACAACAAATATACAAAATGTGTTGACATGACCATCAATAGAATGGTATAAAATATACAGTTCCATAGGCAGTTCCACAGACTCACAACAACAACGTTTTGCTTGATTTGACGGTAGGTTGTGGACCGGGAAATAAAGATTTGAAGGTACAACTGTGACTGTCTAAAACTAGATGCCACATCATTCATTCATCAGTTTTTTGTTTGTATGTTAAATTTCTTTTCTAAGATAGAAGTTAAATAATTTTGTTTAATATATCTGTGCAGTGGAGGCAGTAAACCTCCTAAAAGTAGTGAATTCACACTGTACAGAAATTTCCACTAGGATTCACCCCAGTGAAACATTTTCATATCTTACACATAGCTGCTATAAGTAATCCAATCATTTTCATAATCATGTAGACAAAGCTGCTAAATATACAAGAAAATTCAGGTGAGATACACACAAGCAACACCAACGGCCAATCGGACAACAATGGTAATTGAGATCCCGGAGAAAATAATATATGAGTGGTGGTAAATCGATTTGCAGTACATCACCGCTACGTGAACTTAAACATGCTGGACAAGCAAAGCAACAGTGGCAAAAGCAACCACAAAGACGGATTAGCATCTAATGGAAAGAGACATTTTCATGAATAAATTATGTGTAGCCTCTGTCATATAAATTGTTTGGCTTTGTTTGTCTGATAAACCACCACTACACACAACATAATGACATCCCGTGTTAACTGCAATGATAAATACCATCAGTCTCTTCCATCATTTGAAAACGTATCAACCCCTTAAAGTAAACAAAGTATTAGTTTTCAGTGTCATGTGAGCTTGAGTCAAGTCTTCAACACTTGACTGTTGATGATCCTTCAACTGCTGGCAGTGGTGGTGATCAACATTAAGCAACAAACAACAACTCTGTCTACTAACACTGACCGATTGCTACAGGAGAAACTTTAATATATAGATGCCTCTTTAAAAAACAGCAAGCTTAGCAGTCAGGGTCTAAACTTTACAAAATGGGTAAATTTGGGTTTGGGGGAAAAACAAATTGGGGTCAAATGATCTGGAATTACGGCACAGAGCTAGGTTTATGTGTACTGGCTGAGATTAATGTGGTCCACTGTGTCCACAATACCTATTGTGATGTCAGCGAATCAGATCAAAGCTTACTAAGTATTTGGTGCTTTCCACACAATGGTATACGTTTCTGCCCTTAGAAACATCTGTGTTACATGTTATTAGAGATGTGGTGTTCCTGGCAGCAAGCCACCAAAAAATAAAACATGAAAATATAGAGAAAGGTCAAATAATGCATGATGCCGTTTTTTTTAATTTGTCATAAAATACAGCATCTTTTATGTGAGGAAAATTGCATTCTGCTGGTTAGCCATCTGACCTTGTGAATTTTAGTACACTTGCATATTGTAACAATTCACATGAATGTGTTGTGTAATTCCATGTGGGAAGAGAGGGTTGAAAACACGATACTTGAATAAAAATCAGTCAATGAAAAACAAGTGTCTCTGTGACTCACCAAGCAGTCCCTCTGTATAGTCTTGCACAGGGCATTGTAGTTGTCTGCTTCCAGCAGCAGGCCATCAGGCATGTCCTGAATAAAGTCTAGGTCTTTGTGAGTGGGAACAGCCTTGTCTCTCTCCTTAGCGGAAGCTCGTCTCTTATAGGTGGAGCCCTTCAGGTCGTATTTAATGTGCATGGGGATGATCCGAGGCAGAAGATTGTTCATCACTACAATACGGATATTCTTGCCCCCTGCCTGAACACAATATAGTCCGTAGAACTTGGGTAACAGAGTGCGTTTGTTTTGGTTTATATTCTGCAAGAAAGAAGGAATGTGGAAAACACATTAGATATGCAACACACTGAAATTAGAAAGAAATTATTAGAGCTCCCACTCATTCAAGCCTCCTGCTCTCATGGTAATTATAGTTATTGCAATAACAATCACTCATACTGAACACACTCCCACTTTCCGCTCTATTCAGTGGCCAGGCTCACCATGAAGTATCCAGGCAGGAGTTTCTGGAGGAACTCTGCCTCTTTGTGTTGAACAGTCTTGATGATGAACTCGTCATCACTAGAGACATAGAAGATGGATCCGCTGGCTCCGGGGTTAGACAGCTCGATCAGTGGCTCGTTACACAGAGAATACTTTAACAGGAAGAGGAGACTGCGTTAGTGTCCAATTTTAAGACAGCAAACATGTTGGCATATCTAGAACTCTTATTTAACTAAACCCGTGGCTCTTCTTGGGGGTTTGAAAACCGCTGTGGCGTTGCGAGACTGATGCAAAAAGTTAATAGGAAATAAAAGCATACAGATATCTTTCAGATTAATATTTTGAAGAGTACCACCTATAGGTCACTTGATAGAAAGAACAGACTTTTCACACAGAGTCCTAACTGCACCACTTTGTTGGAAAAGTTGGACTACGGAGATAGGGAGTTAATAATCAGTGAGAGCATGAGGCTTCACTCAGACCTATGATGGCAGGTATCGACAACTACAGTGTCAACAAGTTGTTTTTTTAAATGAAAACTACAGAAGCTACATGGTCCAAAATCAGTTTTGAGAAAGCTGTTTGTGACTCCGTCATCATTTCTCTTTGCCAAAACTGGAAATCCTCACAAATTAGATGACACGCTTCTTCCTCAAAAAAGGGGGCACAGGTTAACATCACTGAACTAAACGATTCTACAAAATAAATAAATAAATAAAGCAACAATGACTACAGCCATAACAAGGGCAATTTTTGTAAACATAGGAGTGTGTGTTTGGTGCAAGTACTAACCAGGTAGTCATCTGGCCGAATGCCAAAGAGTTCCCTGAAGTAACGGAAGGCAATAGGAGCGTAAGTCTTAAAGCGAAAGTCACTGTAGTGATGAGCGGGAGTCAGGTTACTGCCTTCACTGAAAAACATGAGCAAGAGAGAGGGAGAGAAAGAGAGAGAGAGCCGAGCACAGAGAAACCATTAAACTACATGAAATAAAATTTAAAAAAACAAAACACAAATTGACCAGGTTTATTCAACTACGACTTCTGTTACCAACCTGGGGAAGAAGATGCTTTCGACCACCACAAAGTCCTGCATGAGAACATCCCTTTCTGCCTTTTGGCTTAAGCTGCCAACTGTGTGAGTGATGCCCAACTGGATGGCACCTTTTAGGGCAGATGACGTGGTCTGGAGAGGTCAGAGAGGAAAAGATAGTAAGCACTGGAACAAACAGCATTTTACCCCAGTGACTTCTGCTGTTTCCCCTAACTATTCTTGGGTGTCTAGTGACAGGAATTCCCAAACTAAATTTAGAATATACACCAAACACCTTTTCCACTTTTCACCTCTGCTTCTCAGTGTTGTGGGTCTCAAAAAACACCGGAGTCACTGATCCCCTCCTCACCCTGTTCTAACCTTTTTATAGGTGGTCTCTCCTGTGGTGGTCTCAACCCCCCGGTGTCCAATGGTCTTCTTCATACTCTGGGTTGTGCCTGAAGAGCCAGGCATCTGAGAAGAGAAAAACATTTAAATATGGCCTGGTGTGTGTGTATGTTTGTGAGTTTATACTTGGGAACACAGAAGACAAAGAGCTAGCTGTATGTAAGCTTTAGGCCATATTGGGTAAATATCTTTCACATGATAGCCATCTATTCGGCTGACAAGTTGCTGAACTCTCGGCGAGGGTAAACTTGTGTGGCAGAGTGAAGGGAGAGAAAACAATTTTAGTTGGTGTGGCTTCATTTACGTCTGACCGATACCCTTATGCTTGCTTTAGTAAGTAACTGCAATTAAATAAGTACCAAATAAATTTACATTAAATTTGTGTGTCAGTATAATAAACAAATTCCCCAGAACCTACAACAAATAATCTTATATTATTTAGTTGCCCTTTGGTTTTCTTATGGCATTATTTTTTTTTAATTAAAAACAACTTGCTGCAGCTGTTGTATTCAATTATAGGCATTAGTGGTTTGTTTACTGGCCCTGGCACTGGGCTGTAAAAAAAAAAAAACATGGGACGGTCTCTTCACTTTGCATGACTGATGACTCCAACTGACTATTGCTGCATGAATGCAGGCTTGAACTCTCTAAACCTGTTCTCCTTCCACAGAGTTGACTGCATCAACATTTACATTACTTGGGGCTGTACATACCACAGAGGTGCTTTTGTCAATTCAGAAAGATAATTTCCGACGTCCTTACCTCTGCAGGGGCCATTTTTCGGATGCCACTGGTCCCTAAAGACAGAAAATCACATTAAATTGGGATTCACAATGCAAGAGAGACACAGACTCTTGAGAACCTGAAAGGAAAAAGTTTCATGATACCCCGTGTAAATGTCAAAAGTCATGCAGTCAGTGTAAATCTGATGCTTGAAATCATTTTAAAGACTTTACTTGGCAACTTTTAACATGGAAGAATTTGTTAATGACAGTTTAAGAAATCCTCCTTTGGTTAATTAGCAGGGCTATTTCCAGCACTGGCTGATGACTATAAAGCCAATGATGAGCCCAGACCTAAATGTGGCCATAGTTACTGACTGCTGACCTTGATACACCAGCTCTATGTGAACTGGAACTACTTCTCCCCTGAGCTGGCTGCTCCAGATTCATCTGGTACCACGGGATGTGTGTCTACATTCACCAACTCCTTTAAAAAAAACTGTGCACTTTCTAGCTGTAACAGCCTACTTTGTGACTCACAGAAAGTTGGCTTATCCCTTTAATTTTAATACAAATTCTTCATTAGGACTACATAATGCTTGTTAAATTTAGCCAAACTCAACTGATCAGCAGTATCTTGGAGGTAAAATGCATGTTTAAAGTTTGAGACAGCACCAAGCAAAGACCTCAGGATACGGCAAAATTAACTGGCTCGATAACCAAAGATAAGAAGTGAAATTGTACTATATGACCCAGGCACATGGATCTATCCTCCCGGGTGAGCATGATAATAACAAAAGCACACAGTGAAAGGCACACAGTTCAAATAAAAGACATACTTACTCAACATGATTTCCTGTGTCCTTACATAAACTTGCTGTTTAAACCTACTATCTCGCCCACTCTGCAAGCACCTCTAGCCTGTAACCAATGGCAACATCTACTTCAATGCTGCACTGCCACAGGTCAATATATACAAAGGGATGCTGGGAGGATTATACACCTGTAGTAACAGTGCTGTGTGTGTGAAAACCCATTACACCCAGTCGATTCACAGTAAGTGGACACTTCAACCCAAGAAAGGTTGTGTTTATAAGATGGCAGAATCACTGAATACCATGCATATATTTTCAGTTAACAGGGACACACGGCAATCCTCCGGGAAACAGTGAGCATCAGTCTGCCCACATTCGCTCTCATTATGTAAAACAACACACTATATCATCACTACTCATGCAGTTTCTGCTCACGCACACAGAAACACTCACGCACACCCATGCGAGTACCTCGCTGTAATGCTCTCCTCCAGAACTGGGTCCTAATATCTGTGGAGCAGGACATGGTCAGCCTAAACAGCTTAACCTAATCAATGTATATAGGTAGGAGAAAAGGTGTTTTGTCTCAAGGCGAAATGATTAGTCAATTAATCAATTCAATCAGAAAATTAATCAGCAACTATTTTGATTATCCATTAGTGATTTTTCAAACAAAAATAGCAAACATTTTCTGTTTCAGCTTCTTAAATCTGAGAATTTGCTGGTTTTATTTGCTCATGTATGACAGTCAATATCTTTGTGTTTCGGGTCGGATAAAACAAGTGAACACAGGGTCTGTAGAAACACACACTGTGCAACAGATTCAGGGTAGGAATTACCCAACCCAATTACTTAGCAATGACTTAAGCTTGTCGGTGACAGGCCTTACAACAATAGGCAAACCATCTGTTCTTCTCTGTATACTAAACAACTCCCTGCCAGACTTGCCCTGCAGCCTGTACAAGGCAATAATATGGGACACACACACTCTCCTAACATCATTTTCTGCCTATGAAGACTCCATAAATATACTGGTTCTTGCCCCGATTAGAAAACAAGGCCAATGAGGGCTGATACAGATACAACATTATGTTACCGTCACTCAAATGTTTGTGAGTGTTTGACAGAAAGCTGTATCTTGTATTTGTACCGTCTAGGGCTCTCAACCATGTGGGAGCCACAAGAGTGCTCTGAAGCCACTATTTTTATTCACTGATTCATCCTGGGTGGCTACCAAGGGAAGAGCAACTCCTCTATACACAGGCAAGCTAATAAGTGACGCACAGCTAAATGGATTAGCAAGATTCCCATCATCTGCTCTGTCCTCAGAAAATAAGAAACCCCTCAAACTGCCCACTATCCCATCTGTATCTGCCCTAAAAACCCTTTCACCAGCTGAACAGCCCAATGAATGACTGTTCATTTACAAGAGGAGCATGGCAAGACTGTGCCATTGGTTAAAAGACTATAGGAAATCAGTAAGATCAATATTTGCTTTGATAATATATCACCTCAACTGAGAGTAACTGATAGAGGGGTTAGTGTTGAAGGTATCAAATGGAAAGTGAATTTGCTTGCCAACTTTACCACAAACCTAAAAAAGGACAGACATACAGACAGAGAAGAAAAGGAGGGGTGTAACGGGCAAGGGAAGGCTATGGGATAACACAGCAGTTCCCCACAGATGGACACTCAATTCAAAAAGCACCCACTAAGTCTGTCCCATTCACTGACTGAACAACAGCACGATGTCTATTAAACCTCACATACGTCCTCCTGCGTCCAGTTAACTCATTAGCATTAAACACCTACGTTGACAAAATTACCGGCTTGATAACAAAACAGACCACTTGAGCCAACGTGGTCCTGGGCTTTCTTTCTTTATTCACATGCTGTTCATCCCAATAGATATACCAATATCAATACCGGTGGCTCGCTAACTTAAGCTTCGTTTGCTGGAAAAAAAAAAAAAACACCAACTAGGTTAAGGTTTCATCAAGTAGGCAGCTAAATAAGCTAGCCACTGCTCGGTTCATTTGTTAGGCTGAAAGCCTCGATGCTAACTAGCTAACTGGCTAACCGGGACTGGATCGAGACACAGACACCGAATCACACCGTTTTCGTCGCTACAAAATGTTACACGGTTCTGTCTGTGTGTTCGTTTTAAGAAAAGAAAGGAGGAACATTTAACATCCACATACCTGTCGGGGCTGTTGATCCCGAGTCTGCTGTTCCAGCAGTCGCCATTACGATTTGACTGTTCACATCACAGACAGCGCCGACACTTGAATTCTGATGCTCGTGTCGCAGCAGCGCCACAGCGCCACAGCGCCCCCGGTGGACAGAGGGGGAACAGTTTCAGTTTCAGTTTACTGTGATACTATAATAATCCTAATGTGACTCTCAAAGTTTTTTAAAATAGTTTTAAATAGATTATTTACAATTTACAGATTTGTGGATGTGTTCCCAAAAAGGGGCAAACACCTCAATTTATTTTATCAGTGGCTACGGAGATTGTATTAATGAACAGGGAAAAGGACTGTTGTCTGTTATGTTTTGGTTTATTAATTTTAAGATAAGACAGACAGAACAAAAATAGAAACTACATCAATTACACTGTATATAAATATATAAGAGTAATATGAGTATAACATATTAACATATTATGGCCTAATACAGTATAGGTACTGTACAATATACCATGGGATGTAAAATAACAATAATAATAATGATATTATAAGGTGAAATGTGGTAATATTGTATCATATAGTATAGTATAGTCAGTAATATAGCATAGAATATAAAATACAATTATGTATAGAATGAGTGAGCTTAAGAGTTTTTGTCCTGTTATGCTTAAGTTTTATGTATAAAATCTGTTTTGTGTTACATGCTGTATAGGTGATTTATTTTTTACATATTATAATAATTATAATATTATTTTATTATTTTATCTGAATTTATATTTTTAATAAAATGTGAAATAATTAGTTTTAAAACGGTGTGTTACATAATATTTAAGTCAAATTTCCACAAAGCATTCTGTCAACTTTAAATTAATGTCTTAAAAAATCCACCTAAAACATTTCCTTTCATTACATATTTTATTAACTTTTTTGTGATCAAATACATTCATTTCTTTGCCAAAACGTTTGCCAAAAAAATCTGCTTGAGTTTTTATAAAATGTCAACTTGTTGTACCAGGCACACTGTGGTTAACCCAACAACAAAGGCCTGGCATGCAACAAGACAGTAAACCACACAAAAGGTATATTTAAAAATGTTTTTTATTAGAGCGGTTGTAGATATGATCTTAACCACAAACACATATAAAAAGAAGAGAACTGATCTTGCAGCTCTGAAGGAATCAAAAAATGCATTCATAATCAAATATGTTTAGAGCAGCCTATTAAAAATAGTGGTACAGTGACACAGACAACAGTCTGTTTACAAACAAAGCATCTAACAATATTTTAGTTTCTTTATAAATGTATTCTATTGACAACTACGCTTCTTGATCTCAGGTGAAAATATGCAAATAACACTGGCAGAAGATGAAACTAGAATTTGCTCCACATTTTGAATATTGTAAGTGGGAATAATTGCTTTTGTTCAGTGATTGGAGGTCACTTCTGCTTGCTAGCTTGATGTGTCCCTGAACGGCCCGGGGCCCATAGGGTCAGCTACAAAAGGTCAAAAAGGGTTTAGGAGAGAGGGCACCTTTTCTTCTTCTTTTGGCGTAAGGCATTGGTTGCTTTGGTGACGGCATCCATGAGAATTTTGGAGATACACTTTGGAGCCTCTTGTGCACTGCAGCAGCGGCGGACAGCCGGAGGAGAAGCCTTCTTTGATAAACAAAGGTTCTCCGACATTTCATTAAGCTGATTTCATGGAGAGAAAAGAAAAGGCCAGACACATGACAAATAACTTTAGATCTGAGCTGTGGGATAATAACTCCTAAACTTTAATTTTCAATATTACATTAAATATTTTCCCAGCCCAAACTTTGTCTGACTCACTTCCTTCTTTAACTCACCGTTTGCACAAAACAGTTGGTCTTCTCTATTTCAGGCAGGGGGCAGCATTGGGTCACAAAGTTCTTGATCGGAAAACCAACAGGGAACCTAAAACACAGTGACATTATTACTACAATAAGGGATATTTCAGCATATAAGGCTGCTTGAGATTAATTTATTGTGTGTGACAGGAGAGGAGACAAAAAGAAACAGAAAGAAAACAAAAATTGTAACAAGGCCAAACAAAAAAGAAACAAAAAATATGAAGGACAATGAAGAAGACAGACAGAAAAACAGATCCAAGGACAGATGTAGGATGTATTGTCTTACCTCTTCTTGATGATCTTGTCAGTGTCACAGATTTTGTTAAGCGAGAGCTCTTCAGTGGCAGAAGTCATATTATAATATGGGTCTGGAGAAATGCTTTGGAAACAGTCAAATCGACCATTTGCATCATTCCCTGCGGAACAACAGTGGAAATCCACCTTTTCACCATTCTTACCCGAACAGAAGTTATTAAGCTCCAGACGCCACTGAAATACAAAAGGAGAAAGGAATGAGAAGGTACCAAAAATGACCAGATTATTTATTTTATGCTTGTAGGGTCCTTGCTTTACCTTCTGGTCGACACAGTTGAGCACATCCTGCTTCTTCTTGCAGCACTGTTTGAATCCCTTCTCTATACGGTTAATGGTCTTTGCCTGACGAGCCAACAATTCGTAGCCTGAACCTGGCAGGCACTTGACAGTATAGAGGGTGCGTAGCTTCTGGTTGTTACACAGTGATTCAATGCCATCTGCTGTTGGGCGTCCAGGAGGAAAGTTGATGTCAATTTTCTGGGAAGTAGATAGTTTCTTAATCTTTCTTTGACTCCTTCCTCTGACTTCGTGTGGAGTTATTGCCGTACTGTAAAGTATGAGTCAGAAAAGTCCCTCAACAACACTTTTCTACAATTTCTTATATCACTTTCTTTGCTTTGTGTTAGTCCATATTTGCCTCATTTTCATCACATCCAACGAATAGACCAAAACCAATGTGTTAGGCCGATATAAGGACAGGAATGGGACTCATGCAATGGGACTTTTCATTGCTCCGGCAAAAAAACAGCAGGATCATAGGTTTGGGAGCTTTGCTCAACCTTTGCACCAGCCTACAATGCACCATGATTGCCACTATAATAACTTCCCAGAGCTGTAAAATCCTTCTTCCTAATATAAACTACTGTGGTATGTTTTGGTGTCTGATAAGCATTCAAACATATGGGTCCGTTACTCAAACTAGACTTCCTGGATCATGTTTATTTTTAACACAGGGCTGTTTTCTGTCTGAACGCCCACTTAGTCCGTCTTTGGAAACTTTCTGACTTCACTACCCTGTTTCTTTGAGGCCTAGCCCTAACTGAAGATGTAAAATCCTTACAAACAGTGCATTGGTGTAAAAACTGCATGTAGCTTATGTTACTTAAAGAGGTGTATATGTATAGTGCATTTGTTCAGGACTATTTTTTGCTGTGGATAAATATACATTTGGTGCTCTGGTGAGTTTACGACACCAGGACACTGTCTGTGGGATTAATTTATATTTTTAATACTAAATAATACTATCACTTCTAGTGGAGTGACTTGTCAATATCAACATTTTATTAGTGCCTATTTGATTTATTTCCCTGCATACCTCTGGCAAGTGTTGGGATCAAAGTTGAAACTGTCAAAAGAGGGAGGCGGTGGCACCGGCAGCTCCTCTGTTGGCCCGTAGTTCGGGTTTGGAGCGTCGTTGTGGAAGCAGGTCAGCCGTTTGTTGCCTGTTTTCCTGCAGCAGTCGTAAAGACGATCCTTTACTGATGAGTCCTCGGTACAGAACGATTCGACTGAAAGCTCCCACTGTAGTAGGCACAGAGAAATAACAGTCACACAGGATGTATAAATTAAATCCTTTAATGGGTGTCTGTATGCCTGAGGCCATATGTTGAGTGAATGGGCCACCCCCAATTATGTGAAGTATCTTAATACACACTTGAAAACTAAAAAAAGCAAACACGGTAAGAGGAAGGCGATAAGATTAAAGTAATGCTTTATTCACTGAAGAATTTGAGGCAGGTTTGCTGCCTGCCCCCAGACAGCTCCACTGGTGCTCATGCCAAGGCCTGTTTGTTATGTCGGGCCAGGCTGCATATAATGGGCTTATCGACTGGAAGCGCCCAAGGCCTTCAACTTTGTTTAAAATTGCAAGCACCATCCTCTCTGCAATGTGAGGAATGTTTCAAGCTCTTTTTATATTTGAGCTAATACAACAACATTCACAAAAACACTGTGTGGAGTATATGACACCAGGCCTACGACATTACAGCTTCAGGAATTAAGTTTACATGAATATAAGTTACAAAAGTTGGCAATAATATGAGAGCCTATGAGAGCACTCATCCACATTAGGTTTTAAGTGGATAACATCAAGTGTTTATTAACAGGAAATCATATTGGCCTATTTTATCTCCACCGTGAATAATATCATTATGTTGTTCATCGTGTTCTGCTGCTTCTTGAGAAAATAACCATGATGAAACTAATGACAAGAAAAACATAATCAGTAAAGAGGAATAAACCAAGGGGAGCAGAATTATGGCAAAAATTATGTTATCTTTATATTTATAAAAACTGCTGAAAACTCACCGCCTGCCTGGCGCAACACAGCGTCACTTCCCTCCCCCACGTCTCGTTCCCTCGGCAGCACATACTGAACCAGGACTCTGCATTATTGACAGCACTGGCCCTTCTCTTCAGCTGGCCAAAACCAGAAACAGGAAAGTAAGAGTCTGAGTAGTAGGGACGACGGTCTCCATAGAGACAGATGGCTTGGAGGTTATCTGAGGACGGTTGCGCAAGGGGGAACTGAACGGGATAGTCCAGCATGGGAGGACCACCAAAGGAACGAGGACTGAAGCTAGGTCTACCTACGAGGAAAGAACAGGAATCATACTGTTATTTGATGCTTTTACAATTGCAGGTAGATGAAGTAAATGAAAACTGAATAAGAGAGGAAAATGGATACTAACGTCCTCTTGGTTTTAAGACTCGTCTAGAACCCGCTGACAGAACAAAGGCTGCATTATTAAACAGTACTTATCAAGGTTTTTCTTTTTATATGTGGAGGAGTAAGACAGGAAAGATGAGCAGGAGAGGGAAAGAGAGAGGCCTTAGATAGATAGATAGATAGATAGATAGATAGATAGATAGATAGATAGATAGATAGATAGATAGATAGATAGATACCTCTCTCGTCATAAGGTTCTGGTGGATCCACGATATGCTGTAAGTGAAACTCTATGAAAACAAAACAAAACAATAAACAAAAGCCAGTGGATAGGAGACCTCTGGTTGTATAATTAATTAGATTGAGCGGCATGCAGTTATGTCGAAACAGTAGGTGAAAAGACAAACGATACCCATGGGGTCGAGAAGCTCTGACATGTCCAGCGGTCTCTGCATCATGAATGACTCTTTGTTTTGTGTCTCTGAAAGAAATTAATTTTTAAAACAACGATTTACAAAAAAGAATATTCTACAGTGTTTTAAATATGTACGTTTATACTGTATTTCTATACTTTAACCTGACCTACACAAACTTCAGTCATGTCCTAGGCTTGCACATAAGCACTCCATAAGAATCTTATCCTAACCTTAACCAAAACTTAAAGGGATCTTTAGCAATTTAGTATGGCACCATAAAGTCACAGAGACTATAAAAAGACACGATCAGGGTCACATTACACACAAAGGTTATGTAGCACTTCTCCTGACGAGCAAACTGAACTTCATGAATAAATTCAGTTCTCCTTAAACCTCAATCTAAAAAACTCTTAAGGTAGCAAGAGCTGGCCAAATGCCATTCTGAACAGCTGGTCCTTGCAGAAATACTGCACTAGTATGTGAATACACGCACCTAGCATGATTTTGTCGAGGTCAAAGGTGACATCAGGCTGCTCAAGGTTTTGCTCATCTGGAAAATCATAGACACAAAGAGAGAGGGAGGAAGGAAGCCAGACAAAGTTATGCAACTCTTCATTGGGTTTCTTTAATGCACAAATTATACAGAGACAGACAGTGGTGGAAGAAGTATCCCTTCACTTAAGTATTAGTAGCAATACCACAGTGTAAAAATACTCCATTACAAGTAGTTCCTGCATTTAAAATGGTACCTTAGTAAAAGTCTGGACGTATGAACAGAACAATGGACTCAAAGTCAGATTTTAATGTGACTTTTTCAATATTTGCATACTATTTGTTAGTTTCATCTATAACAATCCATCATATTCTACTATCTCATGGAAAATCTTAATCTGGCAAGCAGCCTCTCTCCTAAAAAGTATTTGCCCCTGACATGCAGTGAAACAGAAGTACCAGAACATAAATATTCAAATAATAAAATAGTACATTCCACCAGTGGAGACATCACAGCAGACATGCATATAAAAGCCCTTTGAATACTGGAGGATTCATGTCAGTATGGGCGAAATAAACGCACTTACAGCAGCTCAGACGAACAAACATGGAGCCCGGCCATCAGCCAAGAAGCAAACACAACAATTTCTGACATGAACAACAACACAAAAGAAAAAGCAACAGGAGTACCAACCCTCATGCGCTGAGCTCAGTAAAACCAACACAAACGCGGTGGCGCAGACTAGAGCCGGAGACGACCCCATTGCCAACTTGATAGTGTCTCTCTGGTACTGTTTGTCCCGCTGCTGCTGGCTGTCCCGGCAGAGAGGGAGGGAGGGAGGGAGAGAGAGAGAGAGAGGGGGGGGAGAGAGCAGAGGCCGCCCAGGAAAGCACGCTCAGCGGGGCAGCGCTCAGACCGGCCCGTTAATTGGTCCAACAGAAGCCGCCGTGCTGTCCGTCTGCAACCGGGGAAAACAGTTTTTATTTTTATGGTTGTTGTGGGGTTTGAGGAGGGGGGAGGGGGGATTGAGGCGGAGTGAGGGAAAAAAATAGGGAGGGGAGGAAGTTTTTCAACATGACTCATAAGTGATCTGCTCAAATCCTGGGTGAAGTTAGGGTGCGCTTATATGGGAAAAGTATGATCTCGTTTTTAGTCACTGAGCCTGAGCCTACTGTGGGCTGTGTGTGTGTGTGTGTGTGTGTGTGAACATGACTACTGTTCAGCTATTAACTCCTCAATTAGCACCTATACTGCCAGTTCTTGCTGAAACAAAGTCATTGGACTAATTTTATCACATAGGTGATTAAAGGGGAATTATTATTATCATTATCATTATCATTAGGCCTATAATTCATTTAGCAAATATTTCTTAGAATTGACATTTTTCTAAACAATGCATATTCAGTAAATTCAATGATCAAACCTATGCAACTATGATTTACCATGAATCAGATGTTTTCTTGGCCTTAATGCCAATATAATTGTTTATTGTCTTGACATGTATTAATATAATGGGAAAAATGTGTCTCATAGTGCCTGTGTTTAAATTTATCTTATTTATTTAACCTTCATTTTACCAGGAGAGGTTTCATTGAGATTAGAAATCTTCTTCTCAATGCAGTCCTGTCCTGGTCAAGACAGCTGTAACATAAAATCAGAACAAGTATTTAAAACAGATACAAAACAGACAATATCACCACATATAAGATCTGAGAGAATAAAGGTGCAGTACAAGCCATGCATAAATAAGTACAGTACAGTTGAAACACAGGGTAAGATTATATTAACCTTTGTTGATCCCCGGCGTGGAAATTCAGGATACAATTTAAAAAAAAGAATAATTTAAATCAAAAGCACAGCCTGAGATATCCTGTCTGAAGTACAGCAACCTAAACTTTCCACAGTGCGATTGATTTGTGTATTTTGTTATACTGCCCCTGCCTGGTAAATTCCCACATCTTTCACACTCCACACCCCTCTGTCATGCAGGCTTTCTGCTAAAATGTTGTAGTTTTCTATCCCAAGTACGTTTTGTTTTTCAGACTTTTGAAGTCAGTTGAATATCACTCAAACTGCACTCCATGTTTAAAACCAGCTGTGTGCTCCTGATTATTTGAGTCCAAAACCGAAAAAATAATGACTCAACAGGAGGAATATGGGATAATACTTCACCACATAAAAGCGTGTATCAATATTAAGATCCTGCATCTGGTACCTCGATTTGAATTTTGTCCATCTCACCCACTGTGTTAGTGATTTATTGTTTTCTTAGATATTAAAGGCCTTAAATTCCTTCTTATCTCACACTGAGTTTGAGTCCAGGGTTATCATGGTCTCACAAATTCCAGTCTGAGAGGCCGAGTGTGACCTCTACACAATCCCTCCCACCATGTTCTCCAGAAGAACTCCCTTTGCAGATGCAGACAGCAATTTAATGAGTTTCCACAGTTTTCTTGCTATAGGCCACAGCTTAAACTGGCAGGATTATCCAGCTTTTGCTGCGTCTCCTACAGCTCTTTCCCATCACGTACAGTAGATAGCAGGATCAAAGTTTCTGGTTTGTGGTTGTGAATGATGGGGGTCCGGAAACTATGTGTGTCCCGGGTAGAAATTCCCCCCGAGGGGTCAGAGAGCAAAGAAAGGCAAACAAACTTGCAGGGCTGCAATGTACTCCCTTTCATACTTGTACTGGAAAAAGAGGGCTGCTGTCAAAATATGAACATGGGTTGACAGTAAAGACTAACATTGTGGCATGCTTCTATGTTGTTTTCCTTTATTTTCAGGAGTAAAAATCAAGTGATGTGTAGTTTATTTATATTGCTCAAGTTCATGTCTCTATGGTCGTTACAGGTCAAGAGCAACAAAAGTACCTTAACACAAAAGGAAAAACCAAAGAAACCACAGGAGAGGAAATAAAAGAGGACTCCCACTCTTTGGATTACTGTGGGTGTAATAGTTACCACGAGTGGGAAAATGGCAATTAAATAAGTATAAAGTATAAGTTGTTCTTTGCTTATCTTATATTCAACATGAGACAAAGAATGTCAACAAGAATTATTTTTGTCTTTCCAAACTAAACTATGAAAGCAAAAATCACTGCATATGGAGGTTGTTTAGAAAGTTGCTTTTTAGTAAACAACCGCACATAAAAAACATAAAAGCACAGCTAGTTTTCTAGCATGACTGCAAGTACGTTTAACATAGATTCTTTGTGGCTTTTTAAGGGAAATTGCCAGTTGACTCAGTCTTTTCATTATTTGCTTCCTCTTAACTTGGTTAGCAACAGTTTCTGTCTATGACAACCTGATGACAACTTTCCATTGCCACAATCTGTGTAAGGGTCATCCACAATGACTAATATTTCCTTTGTGTTACATGCAGTTGCAGATCTACAGTATGGTGGGACTATGTCTGGATGTTCCTCCATATGCGACTGATAATGATAAATGATGCAGAACTATGTCTGCTATGAAATTTGCTGAGTTGATATCATAACAAGACCTTTTTTGTTGCAAGTCCCAGTCGTACACAACTGCTTACATTACATTTGTTTTTCAAATAGATGAATAAAGTTAGCACATCTGTTTGGTGTCACGGGCTCAGCAGTTTATTATAAGAGTTACATGGAATTATCTTCATTATAACCTCCACTGTTCCAGGAACAGGACGAACTACATCCAGACATGTATTACTTAATGCTGAAACCTCTCATCATTTCCTCTGCACTCATGGCTTTATTTAAAGATATGTAGAGAAAACAAAACATATGCAGGTTAATCTGAAAAAAGGGGAAAAGTTTGCACACAGAGGAAGAGACTTCTACTGTATCTCCACATTTTTGTAATTTAATATTTATTCTACATTTAATGCAACATCTTTTCAAAGCTCAAAAGATATAAAAGCCTGTGAGGATTTATTCAAACACAAAGGATAACATTTTAGAGGTACTGCCACTTTGTAGGACTTATTAGTCAATCTGTGACAACATCAACCTGAGGAGAAACATTTCTTTAGAGACATACAGATGCAATGAGGCAGGTCTCTTGTCTCTTTTTGGGTGTGTTTAGCACTGAATATGTACACATATCACATTCAGCTCAGTTGTTTCTGAGACTGTCACAATGAGGACAAGAGTCTTACAGTTTACTGGCATTTAACAAAAATGATGTCTTCCGATTGTTGTTGTTGAAGGGAATAGTTGTGACGCAATATATTATCATTCAAATGTCTGACATTGCGAAAACAGTATAATACAGCAATGATGTTGAGATGAAAATGTTTTGAGGCATAAAGGTTACTTATAATATTTAATTCTACAAGAACAGTCTGAGTTATTTACCATTTTAAGTTTGTGCTGCCTCTTTGAATCTCTATGTCTGAACACACAACAACTGTAACAACTGGACAGAATCACAAAAGCACACTCCTGAGAGAAAATGAATCCCACTGAAAAGGTACTGTCAAAGAACAACAAAACATCTGTTTCCCTGGAATAATCAAAATAGTTTTAAGCTATCAAAATATGGAAATTTATGTTTGACACAATCTACCAAAAAGCTCTGCTGGGAGTCATGTAATACTTAACACACTACAACTATTGTGCTTCTCTCTCATTTTTTATTATTAGAAAAATAGATTCTGTCAGGAAGTAATGATGAGATTTAAAATAATGTGTGTGTGTATGTGTGTGTGTGTGTGTGTGTGTGTGTGTGTGTGTGTACGACTGTGTCTTTGCATATTCTACTAAATCATCAGTGAGTGGTCCCCGGCAGCAGCTCTGCCTCAGAGGCAAACAGCTCCTTGTAGAGTGGAGGGAACAGAGAGTGAGCGGTGAGCGGGTAACGCTGACTGAACCAGCGCAGCTTCTCCATGTGCAGACTGCACAGTGAACGCAACACCGCCATCCTCTGGTAGAGCTGCGGAGAGGACACAGACACAATTAGACATCTGCTTTCTACCACAGTGAGGAACATGCAGATCAAAGAAGAATGTGTTTCCTTTTTAATCAGCTTTTAGCCAAGCAGAGAGCTAAAGATAAAGTGTCTGCTCTATAATGAGACACGTACCTTGTGCATTAGACTTTCTTGGTTGTCTCGGCGCAGAATGTGTGTGAGTCCTAACTCCACGCTTCTTTGCACTCGCTGAACCCTGCTTCTATCCTCCAGACTTGGACGATCTGCACAGAAAGACAAGAAAAGGAAGAGGATTTATTTTTAAGAAGGGTGCACCATATTACTCTGCATACAGGTGGATATTCCTGGTTCACTGTGTGGCCTGTAAATGTTACCATGTCTATTAACAGCCACCGGGGGGCAGAGAGGCTAAATGTGTGAGAATGAAAAACTAAACCACAGAGCAAAATGTGATGGAAAAAAGGATGACTCGTCCTTGTCAGTTGTCTGATCTACCGTATGTCTATTGAAAGCAGAGAAATGTCTTTAAAAAGTTTAATATTTTAGGAATTATTTGGCTGTTGAGAATGATAAGAGCTTATCACCTATTTCTGCTACATTTGTTTTGCATGTCACAGTAATACAGTTTATATTGACAATATTGACGGACTGAAAATGCAATGTGTTTTACAAACAAATATCAAGGTTGAGGTCACTAAAAATATATCTGTCTTTAGTTAAATGTTAGCTTTCTGACCTGGCACATGGTCCTGATACACTGTCAAGATTTAGCCATAAATGACCATCAGTGTAAATCTTAAAATGTAGACTGGGTAAATCTTGGGGAACGAGGAAAGACAACTCAGCTTCCAAAAGATAAACAAAACAAAACTGATGTTCCCTGGTGAAAAGCATGACATATATTGCTTATCCTGTTGGTAATCAACTCCGCTGAAGTGTCTTTCACACTTTTTTATGTTTCAGAACTGTGGAATATAATGCAACCTGACTGACAGACAGGTGAGTTGATCTTACCAGTGTTGATCAGCACCAGAGCACTGAAGAGAGCGATCTGGTGCTCAGTGAGCTTTAGAGCACACATACCATGAGCAAAGTCAAACACCGCAGTGATTAAATCACCACATGCTGCAAGAAAAAAAACCACAGAGCATTGATAAACCACCATATTTATATTTTGAGATCAATGTGTGAATGGTTTCAGAACTGCTGTTGTGCTTCATGTATGGAGCAATGCAGAGAGAAATCCTCACCCAAGGACTTGAAGACTTCCCCTCCAGCAAATTTCCCGTCAAAGAAGACGGTGTTGTTTTCCGTGTTGAAGAACCGACTCATCCTGACCAGAACCACCTCCATGGAGCCTGAGTGAAGAGGGGAAGAAAGGGGTCAGTTAAAAGACTAGAAAAAAGAGCGATTAAAAGCATTTTAGATTACAATTGAAGGTAATGGTCCCTTCTTGTAAGTGACAATTAAATTCACCGGTCTTCAGGAGAGCAATCTGGTCGTTTTGGCTGAGCATACGGAAGCCTGGGATGTGTTTCGCGAACTCCACCACATATTGCACGGCATCAGTCAGTCGGACGGCACAGTGCTGCCACATCTCATCCACTGACTGGGAGTAAGAAAAAAAAAAGAGTGTAGAGAGAGTTTATTTTGAAGAAGTCTTTGCAACATATTATTCAAATCAACAAACATTTTAACCAATGCCACATTGCCATTGCTACATGCCATTCAGTCTACTACTTATTCTTATAATTTAGCATATTTACTGTATTTCAAATATTTATTTAGTGTAATTATAGCATATTCAGTGCTAAAAAGCAATTTTGGAAGGATCATCAAAGCCATTAACTTCAAGCTGAACATAAGCCTTCTGTGTGATCAAAGAGAGAGAAGTAGAGGAGGGGGGATAATGATGAAACAAGTTTTCTCTGTTTTCTCTTTGATGAATCAAAAGTAGCCTCAGCCTAAAGCCATCTGAAATGGCATGTTTTGTTTTGAGACTGCCTGAATAAGGTCACAAGAGGAAGCTTGAGAACCAAGAATTTGTCATCAGATTGGTATACTTTGCTCTGGTAGGCTTGGATCTCCTCTCTGCTGAACAATTTCCATCTGAGAGCCTGCAGCTCCTCCACTCTGTACTGGCTGGTCTCTCTGTGGGAACGCACAATGCTGGCACACAGCTCATCTAAAAAAAGAAAAAAAAGTAACACTTAAGTATCAATAACTACAAAACACTTACATGCATGTAACCCCATGTCCCACATGCTGTTTGCTCACCTATGTTTCTTAGAGAGTGAGGATAGAGGCTGTAAGGATCCTCGAGAGGGTTGTAGGGATGAATGGCCATCAGATCATGAGATGGCTGTCTGGAGTCAAATCCTGACAGGAAGAACAGAGTCAACAGACAAATAAGGGATGAGCAGAGGAGGATGAAGGGAACTGCACAAAGTGAGTACACACATGGGTACCTCACCTCTTACGTCGGGATGTCCGCTGTTGTCTCCCCTCCCCTGGGATCTTAAAGTGGGAGAGACACCGGAGCCTCGGTAGATCATACCTGACACCTGTGACTCGTTTGGGGAGCACAGCAGGTATGGGTGAACATCAGCAGTGTAGGTCAGCAGCTCAGTTTCCCCGGTGAAGGAGTAGGCCATGGGCTGAAGGAGCTGTGGGGAGCGGTCTTGGCGGGCCTTGGTGGAGTAGGACAAGACAGACTGGGCGTCTCCCTGAAGCTGCTGCTGTTGCTGCTGTTGCTGCTGTCGGTGCCTCTCCACTTCAGCGATCAGGGAGTCCCGCTGACGTTTGGACATCCGTCCAAATTTCACCGCTGAGAAAGACAAAAAGTGAACACAATGAAAATAAACAAATGCTGTGATTAACTGATACAGTCTGTCTGTCTGTCAGTCTGTTTGTTTCTCACCATCTCTGCTCATGCCCTGCGCCAAGCACTTCTGCAGACGGCAGTGTTGGCAGCGGTTGCGGCTGGCCCGGTCGATCTGACAGTTGCTCTGCCTGGAGCAGGAGTAGGATACAGTAGGCAGCTGACTACGCCGGAAAAATCCCTGAGACCAAAACAGAAACATGATTTTTAAGGCAGATATCAATGTAGATTCCATTTAATTAGTTAATGAATTAATACGTTTTAAAGTTGTGACCAAGCTTTGTAGCCAGCGTGACATTTACATTTCAGGTGAAACACAAACTTGCTGATTAGCATGTGACAACGTGTCTTCTTACTTGCTTAAATAAACTATGCTGACACCAAAAAAACTACCATAAGATGACACTGAATATATTGGTCTTGCTCTGATGGTTAAAGGAATAGTCCAACATTTTGAGAAAAAAGGCTTGTGTGCATTCTTACTGAGAGGTAGATGAAAAGATTGATACCTCTCTTACATCTGTATGTTCAGTATGAAGCTGGAGCCAGCAGCTGGTTAGCTTAGCTTACCATCTGAGGAGGAAACAGATAACTTGGCTCTGGCAACACTCCAAGAACTAACACCTGGTCAAGAAATAGTCCGACACATAACTCTTTGTAAAATCACAACGTGACGTTTTTACACTTTAGGCTTTTGTACGGTTAAAACAAACAAGATATAATGTGCCGATTAGTGAGCTCTTGAGATTCTGGTAGGAGGATTTCTTACCTTTATACAGAGCCAGGCTAGCTATTTCCCCATTGTTTCCAGTTTTTATGATGAGCTAAGCCAACAGGCCGCTAGCTGTAGCTTCATATTGAATGTACGGATGTGACAGTGGTCTCAATCTCCTCATCTAACATGAGACTGAATCGTATTTCCCAAAATGTTGAACAGTTTCGTTAATACTGATATATGTGTGTTTGCACAGTGAGGAAAGGGTCAAATGCTGTCATCTCACCTTGCAGCCCTCACATGTGATGACTCCATAATGCACTCCAGAGGATTTGTCACCGCAGATCTTGCATGGGATAACTTCAATCTGGGCTGAACAAACAGAAGTAAAAGCGATTATTTTAACGTTTTCAAGTGCAGCCATTTTTTGTCCGCACAGGTGCCACTTTACTGTCACGCAGGTAACACACCAAGAGTAATGCAAGCAAGAAGAAGTTAGTTTGTTACTGTAAATCAATTCAAAGATCCTTGATCTTCAGTATTTTTTCATGCAGCAGCTCAACAGGTCACAAAAAACTAAAATGTCTGACAGCTGACCAAATAAAGAGTGTGTACTGAAGGAAAAGGAAAATCTGTTGATATGATATCACACTGTGCAAAAAAGGACTTGTTTATGGATCCGTATCCAGATCTGTATATCATATCATATCATTATAAAGATAAAATCTGTCAAAGACACAATCTGTAATCCTCTGCTTACGGTCCATATCTTTGACAAATATAAACGCATCAATGTATCAGCATATTTTTGTGCATTTATTCCTCTGTCAATGGGAAAAAGTCTGACCAAATGTAGATAAATCAGTCCCTCATAACTGTTATATATTGTAAACTCTTGACCTCAGGTTTCTTTATCATCACGTCAGCACTGTTTAACCTCAATAAAACAATAGTTTATGTTGTTTGAATAATATTAAATGTTTTCAGATGCATAAATTATCTTAAAATCCAATAACACATCAGTCTTAACCTCTAGAGCACACAACTTGTCACTGTATAGGTAAAATATGCCAATACCACGATGACACTGCATATATACTGATTCTCACCCAAAGAAGTAAAATGGAAAACGATTCCCACTGTGAGAACTCAAATGTTCTGCTGTACTTCCCCTTAAACATCTGTCAGTTGTTGTGTGACCAGAGTAAAGCAAAGGTATTTTCCTCTCAAACACTTCTTGCCTTAATAATAATGAACAACATCAAATATGACGAGGAGAGAGTGTTCTGAGGACGTGGAATATTTTCAAATGGAGAAAGGCGGAGAATACAAAGGTGTCAACCTCAGAGTCCTTTCAAGTGGTTGACTGGCTTCTCTTTCACTCTGACTGTCCCTCTTTCATGTCATTTCTCTCTTTGTGAATCCTTCTCTGTCTCGCTCATAAAGGACACAGCTGCCAGTAATGCACTCTCTCTCCTTCATCACTGCCAGTAATGGCCATCCCCCTCTCACCTCCCCCCATGCCCCTGATCTCTGTAAGCTCTCACACCCCTCAGTCTTTTTGCTTAGTGGTGATTTTTATAATAGTCATAATCAGATGTCATTTGATCCATTAAGGTACCATAAATGTTAAATAAATATCTGCAATATAATGACAAATAGAACGATAGATGCATCACATTTAGTATAATTCACATTATTAAACATATTTATAGTAACACTGAAGGGTGACACACATCCAGGAAGCTGAGCATACATTATGTGATTTTTTTTTCTTACACTAAATAATTTCTCCTTTTATCTATTGCTGTCATCTCATCTCGTCTTCCTTCCACAAATGCACTGAAGGTGTGATTGTTATGTCTGCGTGTCAATGCTTATGTGCTGTAGTATTTGCGTTTCCGTGCATAACTGTGTCAGATTTGTTCACGAGTGTGTGTTAGTGTGTCAGTGTGTGCCCTCTTTATCTGGTGCCACAGGGATCACCTGAAGGCTCCCAAGAGGGACAGAAGGTCTGAGGTCAAAACACACTTAAATGCAGAAGTGGAGTAAAAGCTTGTATGATAATGCAGAGATACTGCACAACTGATTAGATTGTGGCTGCTACTAATAGAGGTGATTGATGAACCTCAAGATGTACCATGATAAGGAGTATTTCACAGATCCAACCAGATACTGACACTAGAAAAGACAGATTTGGTTAACAAAAAAAAAAACACTCAACAGAAACACTTCTCCGCAAGCTAAATATCATATCTCATTATATTGCTTATTTAGTCAAATAAAGATACTGAGCTGTGACTAAGATTGCATTTCTCTCAGCAGTGTAGGATAGGGGAAGAGAACATGAGTGGTCTCTGTTTTTTTTTTTTTTTTTTCGCTATTTCAGTTCTGATTGTTAACCTCAAACAACAGGAAATCCACTGTGACCCACAACCTTTCACTGTTCACACACACACACACACACACACACACACACACACACACACACACACACACACACACACACACACACACACACGCACACAGCAATCAAACACACTGCTCCTCCAATAACTTTCCATGCAATCATAGCTCTCATTATCCTCAACTGAATTTATATGACAGCAAATTATCTAAAGCAGCACAGCATAATCACTCTAAATCATGACTAAAACAAGAAAATCTGTAAATTACTGTCTACCTTGAGAGTGTTAACACACCAGTAACTGGAAGTGGAAGTGGACTTAACAGAAGATAAAAATGGAGGAATCTATAATCAGCAGCTCCTGTGAGCTTTTTTTGTCTCACCTGGGTCTCTCTGGCCACAGGCCTCAACCAATCAAACCCAGCATCTCCTGGTCTCTGTGCATGCATATGAGAGGTACAAATACAGAAAAACTACTACCATTGTTTCTTCCATTAGTGATTCTTCTTAGCAACATAGCAGGCAATATAGCTGAAAGACAGTGCTTATTTTCTTAAATGCATGTACTGTATGTTGAAACTAAAAGTGCACTTTTCTACTGCCTGATTGCCAAAACAGGTTTATATTGGTTTACCCTAATGTGGCAGGCCTCCTCTACAGCTCAGTGTGACCCAATTAATAAGGGTTTTGGGTTAAAAAAGATATTTTTACTGTAGCTCCTACGTGCTCATGTGCACGATGCTCAATCAGTGAATGAAGATTCATTTTGCTCTCAAGTCTGATATATCCAAGCAACACTATTTAGTTTAGTTGCATAGTCTCATGATTTACAATATCTCCAGATAAACCCTCAACGTCTTATATTTCCACTGCGGCCCAGTACTACCGTACAGTATGAAACCAACTATAAACACACCACACAAAGCAGCATATGCATGCACATATTTATACTGAAGTGAGATCCTTTAAGCAAAACAACCAAACCGATCGATTTAAAATGTTTATCCTGAAATCGATACATAATTTGCTGGATGGCGTTAAGAAGTGTAAGAGAGTCCGGATGTGCAATGATGGAAATACTCTGGTCTTTCAGTCAAAATAAAAGAAAGCCACCTCCCACGCTTCCGCATACAAAGTATACCGAGACGCCGCTGCACTGAGATGGACTGATTTATGTCTTTCAATCAGTACTTAGAGATATCAATGACTTACACGTTCCCACGTAAAAAGCACACTTGTCAATGTCAAACAACTGAAGCTTCTGTTTAACAGCAAATACGAATCATGAAACGTTTGCAGGCTTCTCATGAGCATGACAACTTCCTTATGAAAGCAGGACAAGAAGGTCTCAATTTTTGTGATTATCAAGCAACGACAATAAAAAAGAGTACAAAATCGAGGCTATCTAATATGGACGACAATGAAAAAGAGTCATCAATATGTATATGTGTCCTCTAATATGCACACACAAAAGATCCGCTGTAATAAATCATGAGAAAAAAAGAGAAAGAAAATGGAAGGAAAGGTTTGATCTCTGGGTTTCAACCTCGAGTTTTTTACAGAACACTCAATACTATTACACAGTACTTTTGCATGAAGCTGAGTGTGTGTGTGACTGCGTATTTGTGTGTATATGTGTGTGTGTGACTGCGTATTAGTGTGTATATGTGTGTGTGTGAGTGTGTGTGTGTGTGTGTGTGTGTGTGTGTGTGCTTGGGGTGGGAAGGTGGACAATACAGATTGCCACTCTCAACTCATCACTCTCGGCCTAAAATGACATTGTCAGCAGTCTGTTCATTGCACTGTAAACGGACAAAAAACCTCAACTTTCCTCTGACGGAAGCTTACCTTTTGTACACACGCAAGCAAGAGTGCAAACAAAGTTTGTATACACACACACACACACACACACACACACAAATGTAATAATGTATAACACCACTGTTTTCTTGCGTAATATGATTTGAAATTATTTAAATAAAAATGTTCTTGCGATTACTTATAATAAAAGATTTTTTGTTTATGTATTGATTAGTTCATTCATATAATTTTAAACGTCAAATATTTTAATTTAGAAGTTGCTGAGGCAAGATGTTTAAAAAGATTATGCTTCACTTGAGGAAATAACCACACTATATTTTATATTGTATCAAAATGTATGAAGGTGAAGAAAGACTATATCGGAACATATTGGTAGTTAACAAAATAAATAAATAAAATATATTTGCAAATAGAAAATGCAGTAGTGTCATACCAAAGCCAACTTTAGATTCATTGTTCCTGCCGTGCAATAGAGAAAATTATCTGTAAAAGCTGTAAAACTTATTCTGACTTACTGAAACAAAATTAAAATATGAGAATTAATTTCCTTTATGAGAAGCCATGATTTAGAACTTCAACCCCCATAAAAAAAAGGATCTAAAACCAACAAACAAAGAAAAGAAAGAAACTGAAAGAAACAAATATCATCCTAAAAAATAAACGTTATAATGACAAATCAAGGTATTTTATACGAAGCATTTCCCGCCACTCTTCTGTATTGTATATTGTGTTACTAAACATTTTTGGTTTCCTATATGTCAATGCTGACTTCAGGTCTACAGGCATTAAATACCTTTGTTCTTTAAAATCAAACTGAGCTTGCTGTTTCATAAATGTGAGAACTCAATGATTCATTCATGGTTTGACAACAAGTATGTGAGAAAAACTACCTACAGTTACTTATCTGAGGAAATTATCAAAGCTAATCTAAACATCATTAGCACCATCAGATTTACCATATTTTACTTTGAAGTGCGGGCTGAATTTGGGGGTGTTTGAAAGAGGTAATGTTTTGACAGTAGCAAAGGGTATGAATAAGCTGCAGTATTTCATTTACCATATTTTCGGGGAGAATGTGTCACCTGCGATTTTGATGTTGGCTTTGATCTGAAGCCAAATGTTTTTGCTGCTTTGGAAGCGCTGTGCAGTTTCTGCACCCAGAGGAACAAGGAAATCCTTTCTGATAAAGAAACTGTATTAAGAATCTACACAGGAATCCCCCGAACACAACAACAAAGCCATATGAAATGTGTGTGCGTAAAGTCTGACGAAATCAAGCCCACTGTGAGTGTGTAACACCAGAGAATTAAATCATTAAGTGTTTGTCACTGAAGTTCACACACAAGAATATGAAGTTGTATATTTGGAAATGGGAGCCTCCTTTTCTCTCTTTCATGCACACTATCCACACACAGCTGCAGGGCTGAGATATGCTACATCTAGGCGCCATCTAACAAGCAGCTGCCGATCTGTGTGTGTGTGTGCATCTTTCAAGTGCGTGTGTGTTTGCATGTTGCAGGAGAGTGTGTAAGCGACTTGCATAGAGAAGAATAATTATGTGTTATCATTTGTCTCTTTGCTTCTTCCCCTCACTGTGTAGCGGTTTTGTTCTTTTAATTAATTAATTTAAGTACGTTTTAAAATAAATCAAATTCATTCATTTTAATTATCACATTTTCACAATATTATCAGCATTTCCTCTGCATCCTGCCTTCAGTATGTGTGTGTGGACTCAGTCCATTCAAACTGATGCACTGCGGTTGTGAGGCATCCTGTTTTCCTGTCTCTTTCGGTTTTACTTGGTTAGAATTCGGTGGAAGTGTATTTGCAAAAGGGTTTGCAACATCTCAAATGTCATATTGGGTATTAATTGGTTTAATTTATCGATAATATTACTTATCATTTTAATACATTATGGTGGCTCCAAACAAAAGGCGTTTTGCAGATCAGCTCAAAAGGTATGTTGTTTCAAAAAGTCAAAATTTTATACAACTTATTGTACACTCTGTATTGTACTATCCTTGACATCTTGAGACAGCTACGAGTTGCCTGAGGTGCACTATATATGTGGGAAGAAATATCCGAGACATGATTCAAATCTTAAATGCATCAAAGGGAGCTCAAAATTGAGTCATGTTACCAAACCATAAAACTGAAACACATAAACCGATGTGAACGTAAACCAACAGTCACCCAATCAAGAACTCAGAAGAGACCCAATTAAGTTTCAAAACAAAGAACAACATATGCCTTCATAAGATATGCTTTAAAATGTGTGTGTGTGTTGTATGGGATCTGGGATCCGGTACAGACCTAATAAAAATATATTTGGCTGATTAAAGACTCAATGTTTAAAAAAAAGCATTAAAATCATAAAATTAGCTTGACGTAAGTGCAGAATTGTGCAAATTTAGAGCCAGTTTGAGATGCAAGGTTTTACTATATGACTCAGTGTTACATCAAAAGTGGAAACCTGAAGTAAAAAAGCTTAATCACACAGCTTGATAAAGTTCAGAAAAAGTTGATGCGTGTGAAGCCACAGGTGTCTACATCTGCATGAATACACAGTTATTTCAAGGATTTGATTAGAAGTGCTAAAAAAAAAATGCAATGCAATGCAAGTGTTTAAAATCTACAGTGACATTATTAGAAGTATTGATAACAGCATGGTGGTCCATCAGAAGCATCAATTCATCAAGTCACATACATATTATCACTCTGAATAATTGTAAACTATAAAATCAGGGTGGGTTTGAGAGAGACAAAAAAGCATGTAATTGATTGAATTGATAAAATATCTTTGATTGTACTGCCCACACACACACTCACACTCACACACACACACACCGAAGAACTTCATCCCTACCTCGCATCATCCTCACTCCTCCACTTGTCTCAGACGTTTGTCCCACTTTCACAAACTCACTTTTTCTCTCACTTCGTCTTACAATAGTCTTTCTTTTGACACACTTTTTTATCGCACCATCTATTCTCTCACTCTTTCGATCTTTCTTCTTTTTTCACTCGTCCTTTAGCAAGCCGGGTCGGGTGCTCACTGCAGCTTTAGCACACATATTCAGACTTTTGAGTGTCTGTCACCGCCTCACCTTCCTTGTTAGCGTGTGTGTGTGTGTGTGTGTGTGTGTGTGTGTGTGTGTGTGTGTGTGTGTGTGAGAGAGAGAGAGAGAGAGAGAGAGAGAGAGAGAGAGAGAGAGAGAGAGAGAGAGGAGACAAAGACAAAGAAAAGGGGGGACTGTCCCCTGCCCTGGCTTTTTTTTCTTAAGGTACTTTTTCCTCATACCTTTGTTGTTGTCCTTCACCCCCTCACTTTATACCACACGTCAAAAAAACTGCTTTATAGTGTCTCTTTAAGACTCTCCCTGAGAGTATGAATCAAACCATTCTCAACAGGAATAACTGGGGGATGCAGTAAAAACATGTAAGTTTGTAACATTTAAATAAAATACATTTTGAAATACTCTAACTCACACTTGTGATTTAAATTTTGTTTTTTTTTAAGTTGTCATTGTTGATGTTGATGATGCACATGTGTGTTTGTAATAAGATAAAGCACTGAGAGCTTGAGTACAGTACACATGACCAGTAGCAATTACTACTCTCATACAAGTCCTGAATTCATAATTTAGACCATCAGAGGCTTATATTACTGGATAATTATTACTGATGCATTAAGATGTAAGCAGCATTTTAATGTTGCAGCTGGTTGAGGTGAAGCTAATTTTAACTGCTACTACTGTACCCTGAAAGGGAGTGGAGTAGGGTTAGAAAGCAGCAGAAAATTAAAATACTCAAATACAGTACAAGTGCCTTAAAATTATACATAAGTGCAGTACTTGAGAAAATATACTTTGTTATCTTTCTCTCTTTATCACCCCTACATCTATAGCACCTGACTGATCCACCGTACAACACAAGACGACCATGGCTCTCTATCTCACCACCCTTCCTCACAGCTAACCTCCAAAACAAAACCTAAGTAATTCCTCCGCTCGGCAGGTTTCACATAAATGTCCATTAACTCATAAGCAACAATCCTTAAATAATTTTTATTTATGCTCAGTTTATCATCACACCACCTAACATGAAGGTTGGTGGTGTGTCACACACAACATCTCCACACTTGATAACACACCCAGGTGTGCTAAAGTTGTGGCAGAAAGTGTTAAACCAAAGAAGAAGTTAAAAAAAGACAAGATGTTATCGCTGTCTGCACTCAGATGCCAAAGCCATAGTAGCTGGTATTTTCATCACTGTGTTTATGCATGTTTATGTGTGTGTGTGTGTGTGTGTGTGTGTGTGTGTGTGTATGTGAGGGGGGCAGCACAGGTGCAACACACAGCATAGTGTTGCTAATAGCCCAACTCCAGTGACACCACAGTGCGGGTGTGTGTTTGCGTGTCTTGCTGTACAGGTGCAATGTTGTATGTTCACTAACTATGAAGTTAACCACAGTGCATGCACAAATATCTAGCACAAACACTTGCGATGTCATTGCCACACAGAGTCACACACATGCATGCTAACACACAGAGATACAGTGTCTCATAGAGAACTTACTCAAATGAGTCTTCTTGGACACAACTCCTCCTGAAGGAGAAAAAATTTAGTTAGTGGATCAAGACTTCGATACTTACTGTATTTTTACTACAAGCTGTATTACATATGGACATCTGGGTGTATATTTTAGAAACAGAAATGTAAACCTGCAGGGTAGTCACAGGCTTTACACACTGTACCCACACTGAACCCAGGACTAAACGAATGTTTTAAAGAGGCTTAGATTTTAACCCTGGGATTTTTAAAAACCTGCCAGTGTGAAAATAAGTACATTTACTCAAGTGCTGTGCTCAAGTACAATTTTTACCTACTTGTGCGCACATTTTCACAGGGAAATGTACTTTTTGCTGCACTTCATTGGAATTACAGTATAAAACAGTATATACAACCACAGCACCACGAACTACAACATGACATTACTGCTTACATGTTAATAAATCTCCAATAATATATTATAACGCTGACAGAGGGAATTCTGGATAATGAGTACTTTTATTTTTGATTTTTGACTTTGCGTACATTATGTTGCCAATACTTGCTACTTAAGTAAAAGTCTTTTACTTGTTAGGGAGTATTTTTATAATTTAATACTGCTACATTTACTTAAGTTATCTAACTTATTTATCCTCCACTGAAACCTGCACTGTAGCATGTTAGCTTTACAGTGAAACATGATGTTTACAGTAATGCAAATCGTTGTCTTTGTAACCAAATAAGCATGTCACCCTGTCAGCTTTTAATTAAGGGGTGAAATGTGACAGAAACTCACCCGGGCTAAACTGTAGCTAAAAATAAAATAAACTGTGATAAACTCCATTGTCAAATCCCTGATGGCAGTTTGGACCAGGGTTTACAGAATGCAGTACTTTTTGTTTTTTATTTTTTCCAATACACAAAGGCCTGAGGACAGATAAGAAGCATTACTGATAACAGTGAGATTAAATTAGAGGATTCCTATTTACACTAGTGTGTTTCTATGTTATGTTTGTGTGACTATTTGGCCCCATACACACACAGGAGATAAAGGCAGAGGAAGGTGGGTGTCTGTGAAGCAACAGGTTCTCTTTTTTGTCTACCTGTTTGACCACAATTGTGAGAAAACTCTAAAAGTCTATGTTGCAGGGAGTGTGGGTAAAAGCGTGGAGGTCTGAACCAGGGGGTTTATTTCTAGAGTTGTGTGTGTGTGTGTGTGTGAGTGAGAGAGTGAAAGAGCCAGAGAGGTTTGAAGGCAGGGGAGATAAGTATCAATGGAAGACGTAGAGCTAGCCGGCCTTTGTCTGGCGCCAGATCAGGCCCTCTGTGGTTTCCACTGTTTTCCTCCCATCATCAAATCAGTTTTGCTTCATAAGCAGAAAGCATGGAATGAAAGCAGAGCAATGCACGCACACGCGGAAAATGTAAAGAAATTTCAACACTAACGGAGCAAAGGTGATTGCTAAATAAAATGAAAGAAAGAACTAAATATAAGCATCACTTCCAAATAGAGAGCAATATAATTTTAATAGCCCGAGGGTTATTGAGCCTAGTTAATATGTCAAACATAAAAGTGTGAAGACTGACAGCCCTTGTTTGCATTAGTCAGTTACAGAAACGCACAACAGTGTCTTCCCTAAAATAAAGATCATAGATTTTTAAAATTGTATCTGATAACTAAATTACTGCACCCACTCTTAAAAGTTTAAAGCTGTTGGTTGGTTTTATTCTTTGGTAAGTCATACACTTTTATTAACAGAAATGAGGCAGGTTAAATGATTTCAAGTCACATGAAAAAAACACTGAATGTCAGGCGGTTAAGCCACTCTCATTTCTAAAATATGTTATTAATGATTTGAACTCAAAAAATACATAAAAAGTGATATTTAAGTGGTTGTGGTCAGTGGTTGGTGGTGGAAAAATAATCTAATGCAATCACCAACAGCAGCATCTGTACAAACTAAATGTGACACAGCATGTACACTTTTAGCAAGACACACCTGCAAGCCAGGCCATAAACGCACCACCACACAGACAAACACACAATCTCTCTCTCACTGTACATGACCCTGCTGATTACAGATGCACAAACATGAACACCACTCATCAGTCAAAATCTCACTAACGTCTCTACACTCTGACATCTAAGCTGACTGCTGAAGTGACAGTTGCGGCGTTACATAACAGCACTGAAGACCACTGAATCCAGAGAGTAGGTTGGCAGCTTCGCCTGAATATAAACCATGCCATGTAGAGCACAGAATAGATACAAAACATAAATATATTAAACCCAGTAGAGCTACTTTATTACCTCCTCAGTACTCTTCAACCGTTATGCTAATGTACCATACTGTAAAATAAAAAAGTTGGGAAGGCAGATGGTGTTTATTTATGATAAGTCTATGATGGTCGGGACAGTAAATGACAAAATAGGCCAAATGTAAGAAAGTAATTTTCAACCTAACTAATAATTACAATAACAACGAGAAAACATGAAATACTGAATATCTAAAAACAAAAATACATACATATAAGTTCAGTTAAAGGTCCAGTGTGTACGATTTAGTGGCATTTAGTGGTTTAATTGCAGATCGCAACTTCCAAGCGAGACGGAGAAACTACAGTGGCCACGAAAAGTGTGAACAACCCTATCTAGAGCCAGTGTTTGGTTTGTCCCTTCAGGAGTACTGTGGAAACATGGTAGTTAAACATGACTCCATGGAAGACGAAACTAAAAAATCACCATCAATTTAAACTGCAATACACTCGCAGTCAGTCAGGGGAAACCAATTTGGGGCAAAATACTCCGCATGAAATAAAATTCTTTAAAAAATAAGTGTAACACAATACATTTATTGTGCAAGATTCTGGAGAATGCAAATGATTAAACATGACTTTGAGGAGTTTCAAAATACATTTCTAGAAAACCAAAATGGTTGTGGAGTTTAGAACTGAAAGAGTTTTTGGTCCTGTAAAAATGAATTCAAACTTATTTGTATTAAGTTGCGCAAAATCAGCAGAGAGGCCAAATGTTTGATATTACTTTGGTTTACAGAGAGATACTACTGGGTGTCACTATTAGGCAATAAGCACCAATATTAAGTTTATAAATGACTGCAGAAAAACACAGCATGGAGAAGATGATTGGGCCCATAATAGATCCCTGAGGAACACCGCAGACAGTTTTTATCCAATAATGAACAAGAACAGAGTTTTACCCTGCAGGCAGGAGGAAAAGCAATGTGGAGCAGTACCAGAGACGAAACCCAGCACTCGAGAAAAATGAGAAGACACCCACAACAGCCACTAAAACCAAGACACTCATCAACTTAAAATGAGCCATCTCAGCAGTATAAAAAACTGTACAACCACACTGAAACTCCACTTTAACCAGATTAAAATACCATCACAGCAGTTCCAGTACAGGTAAATAAGCAAATGTAGCCTTTTTTTCTTCTTTCTTCTTTTTTTTTTTTTTACAAAAACCTTTAACCCCTTAACATCCATTTTGACTTTTACTCCATCAGACAGTATCATATACTGCATATAATGTTGTTCTAGCTCCAGCTGTTATATAAAAACAAACCTATTATTTCCCTACAGTGCAACTGAGTATCTTTTCTTTTTCTAATAATTGCACTGAAGCAAGTGAAAAAGCATCAAAATATGAAAGAAAATAAGAATATGAGACTAACTCATACAAGCATCTACAGTACTCTTACCCTATGTTTCTCTCTTGATTACGCTCCAATGTAAATTATTAAATCACTCCCAGAACATTATAAAAAAGACACTTGTAGACATGTGTAAACACATAACTGACAATGTATACTTAATAAATACTTGTGTAATAAACACTATTGTCTGTCCTTTCTAATGACTACATAGTCTGGTACTGTTATTAATGACTTTAATGACTAAAGATACTGGTAGATTATCAATACTTTACCTACTTTATACTAAACCCTGTGAGATAGTTTTCCTCTGTATTTTTGGTGGAAAATAGTTCCCTATTGAAACTGTTGTCTATAGGTGATCTAAGGTATCCAGAAAATTGTTTCTGGTAGGACACATTTTGTTGTTTTTTGTTTTGTTTTTTTAAAGAAAGAAGTCAATAATTTGAAAAGTGGCAGTGGAAGTCTCAGTGGCAGGTATCTCAACCCTAATAGAAACCTGCAAGGCTTTATATCGCTGGCGTTACTTTGAATGCTACCTCCTACACTTACAGTAGTTTACAGTATAATTGATTATAATTGAGTTCCACCTGACTATATAAAAAGGACACTTTGAACTATATTTGTACGTCTATTACACATATACCTTAGATAAATACTTTATGTCTGTTTTTGCTTTTCTCATCTCTATTTTCTACTCCACTAATTATTTTAATGTCAAAATACTAGTAAAACTGTTAAAAAGCAGGACTTTGACTTGTAATGGAGTATTATTCAACTGTGATTGGTTATGTTTACTTGAGTAAAGGGTAATTGCTTGCTCCTGCACTTCCTTGTATTCACTCTGCACTTCACAAGCATTAAACTAAGCCATGAGCAACAATGTTGTTCATTTCCCAGAGCAGGTAAACTCTAGATAACTGTGCCATGAGAGTAGTAGGAAAGATGTGCAGTGGGTTTCTGTGGCAGAAAGACCAAATGTCTTATATCAAATGACTGCCAACAGTTAGATTTTATCCAGGGAGAGCTTTGAATAGAAAGGCATTGACCAAAAACTGAAGCAAAAATAAGAACTAATCCCAGAGGATTACTCCAGCTTACTGCCATTCTTACCCACTCACAGCACCTTAACAACACCCCAGTCAAAGGGATGAGGAGGGTTACTGGGGTAAAGATGGATAGAGAGTGGAGGGAAAGAAGATAACAGCAAACGCAGTGACAGGGAAGACAGAAACAGAACAGTCAGCTGGTGCAGGACAGGTGAGAAGACAGAGGTAAGACTGAGAAGGAGGAGATAGTAATGTGGGTGGGAGAGGGTACTGAATGGCATGCTGGGAGATAAGAGCAAGGCTTTAAAAGGGAGAGGGGCATAAAATAACACTTTAGAAAATACACATCAGCTGAAACTGATCAACAAGTTACAAGCTGCTTGCAGAGACATGACACTGCACACAGCCCACAACACGCCACAGCTAAATGTAATCTGCAGAATAAAACCTCAGTAAGGGATCATCTTACCTCTTTTGATGGGGGTGTCAGCTGGGGGCACGTCGGGCTCCTCATATTCCATAACTCTCCTGTCAAAACACTGGGTGGCCCTACACACTCACACACTGACTCACTTCTCACACACACACACACACACACACACAAACAAACCACAGACGCCCTGCTATGTCAGTCGGTTTTTGAACTCCACCTGCCGCCATTTGACTCAAGGCAATGTGACAAAACTCGGTGCTCTCATACTACCTGTTGGTTGTTCTAGCGCCCGGGTCGGCGCAGGCATTTGAAAACATGCACTGCCATCTCGCCTTCCTTCCTGTCCTTACAGCAGGTCCCAGAACTCGGTCTTCATCATTTCTTACCCTCTCTTGTCTGTCTGCGCTCCCCTTGTCCAACACTACACCTCCTCTCTCTTGTGTGAGGTTGTTTTGAAATAATTTAATTCCCCCCGCGGCAGCAGCGGCGGAGGAGAAAGTGCAGCTGGACCGGCCGGCCGTTTGCAAGCCGTGAACCCCCGGTCTCTCTCTCCCCCTCTCCTCTCCTCTCCTCTCTCCTCTCCTCCCCTCCCCGCGCGCTCTGTGCGCCCTGACCGTCCCAGGCTGGAGAGAGTTATGTCACCGACTGTTACGTAATAGCAGCGGATCGGGTTTTGCTTTGTAGTGCTCGGTGGAGAAATATAATCCCGTGTTGCTTCCACAAATTTCCGCCAACACTAATCAAAAAAAAAAAAAGAAAAAAAAAAAGTACAATGCATAGAGGAGACATTTAATTCCAGTACAGGTTTGGCCTTTTACCTTCAATAATGCTAAATGGGGAAACACGCATAAAAGCCCTTCTTCATATGTGCTGGGGTCATTTTAGTGGCTTGTTCAGGCCACCTGCAGGGCTGTGGACATGCAATACATGCAGAGGTGGGGGGTTATTTTTTAATAATACTTTGTCTTATTTTAACTGATGTTGGGAAACAGTTGCAGACACAAAGAAAACGATGAATAATCGATATGTCTTCTCGGTTTACATCATTGTGGTAAATGCTCCTCTAAGACATGGCGCTTACACTGGGTCCACACACACATGCTGAATAGCCTACACCAGTGGGTGGAATTTAACTAAGTAGCTACTTGAATATTTACATTTTCAGCTAGGCTACTTTATAGATCTACTACACCACACCACAGGGGAAAATATTGTATTTTGTACTCCAATACATTGGTCTGACAACTGGAGTAACTGCCATGATCAATATTTTACTGGGGAAAAAGAACTACAAGTAGTCCTCAACAAATCTGTTCCACCTCAACCTGCCACAACATTACAAATTCTGCTTACATTATTCATCTTTATTTAATCAGGCAGTCTCGTTGAGTTAAAGAGCTCTTTTTCAACAGAAGCCTGAAAACAAGTAACATTCACACAACGGACAAAGTATTAATAAAAGCAGGTGCAAGAATTACATAAAGCATCAAGATCATGTAATGTTTATGTATTTATGTAATACAAAATATAACTTTGTCAGGGGCATTCTGCTGTATAATGAGTACTTTTACTTTTTACTACTTTGCTGACGATAATAATACACTTTGACTTAATTGTAACCTGGCAGCGGTACCTGGTATTGCTATGTTTACTTAAGTAAAAGATCTAATGATAATCAATAAAATCTTCCACAGCTATTATGTCCCACAGTCAGCATGCCTCTTAGGGTGAAAGCTGTTAATGACCATTCTTATTTTGATTTATTTTCAGTCAAATTAGTAATTGATAACCGTCTCAGCACTAAGACATATTTGTTAAAGAAATTGACCCATTGGCATCCTGACAGTAATGCCACTAAGGATGACAACACTCTTCTGCCAAAGGTGACACGAAGCTAAAAGTGTGCACTGTCAAGTCACTAACAGACACTTCACCATCCTGTCAGGGGCCTCCACTTTGTTTTGCAGAATTCTTTGTTAAAAGACTACAAGTCAAATATGCTATTATGTTGTCTTTTCAAGTGGAAGTTGTGCTTTCAGGCTGATATCTAAAGCAAAAATCTGTCCTTGAAGTGTGACAGTGGACAGAGCTTGTTGCAGGTGGTTTTAACTGAAAGTTGAAAACAACTTCCCCCACGCTGCCCCCCACCCGCTTCCTCAAACCCAACTTGACCACATGACTCTTCAGGGGGGGAAAAAAGAAAAAAAAACTGCTGGTGTTCATTTGTCCTGTTCATTTGCACTTTACTGAGGTTAAAGATGTGAGGGGCCCTCAGAAGATCCCCAGGCCTGAACTGCGATGAGGCCATACACTCAGAAACCACACATCAGACCAAACTGTTGGGCAACTGAAGTTAAACGCAGTTAGATGCGTGCAAGGTTTTTATACTTGTAACCAATAATTTACTACCAAAGCAGCACCAGATAATATTCAAGACTTAAATAAGAGCTGTCTTCATGAGCTTCATTTCAGTGATTATTCAGAGCTTATTGGCCATAGAAAAAAACGTAGTGATATTAAGAAATGCATGAAGCTGCATGTCAACAGTGTACATCAGTGGATTCTATCCAAATTAATTCCCTGATACAATAAACAGTGACTGAAAACAACAGGAAACAATAAGATACATTTTAAGCTCCTTTTTTTACATCTTGCTTGAATACAGCAGAATTAATTACGGTGTTTGATGAATGTCAACATTACATGTTGCTGCCTCTAGAAGTGCAGTACAGTCATCTGACACCTTGGGTAAAATTAAGAGTTTTGCTCTGAGTTGTTAGTAAGACGGAAGTATTAAAATCTAGTTGGTCAGATAACAAAAATGCATAAATTATTATATAAATTTGCAGGATGAAACAAGGCTCTCTTTAAGAAACTCACATATTCTTCTTTTATGTCATTTATGTTTATACCACAGCTGTAGAGTGCCAGTTGTCTGAAGTAGCAAGGTCTGTTTTTTCCTCACTACGTCAAGCACAACAGTGTTACACTAAAAATGTTGTTACATTCACATGCAGATGTTCCATAGTCCAATATAAAAAGTCAAACTCATTAGTGTTGTCAACATAAAGTCAGTACAGTATGTGTATAACCCAAAATGGTGCTCCTACTGCTTTCAGTTGTCTGTTATAAGTGCACTTTTGTAGATGTATGGTCTACAGTAGCTGACATAGCGGCACAGATCTCTATGATGTGGACAGTGTAAGCATACTGTGGTCATCTCTGACTGACTATAGAAACATGTTCAAAGTGTGAATGAGATAATGAATGTGACACCAACAAGCTTATGAACAACATGAACCCCTGCAAGTCATGATATTCTCATGGCATGTAAATTCACACCTCATATTCAAATATAACCACATCCACCACACGGTGGGGTAACAGTTAACAACCCACACCTGAAAATCTAAATTTAAATGTGTAAGTAAGAAGAATGAAAGTCAGGCTTGTTAACTAAAATAAAAAAATTGAAAAAAAGAAATATATATATATACACATCTCTTTGACTGCATTTTTTATCAGTGAGCACTAAAATTGAGTTAAAAAAATAAATACAAAATCCATACATCCTCTAAGTGTATACATTACAGACAAAAAGCATCATGGTATTCTGCATTTGTCTTTGGATAATTAATCAAATGTACTTTATATGTACAAAATCTTGACTATTATCTAATATAGCAATATCAGTATCTGTCAATTAAACCTTATTAAATGTACTATTTGCTGTTAGTTATATTAGCAGTTAAAATATCAAGTTTGATCAGGGGATTAATAAATGTAAAAGTTCATTAGCAAAAACCACAGAAAAGTAACCCGACAAAGAATTCAATTTTTTAATTTCTATAATTTATACAATACCAACAGGTAAGGCTTTATTAGGTCAAAAAGAATATTCATGTACAGTACATTTTGACTTCTGAAAGAACTGTGTGTAATAAAACCATCAATACTGCAATTAAAATAAATACCTTCAACATTCAGTTTCATAAATACTGTTTAGATATGTACTTTTGATGTGTTAGTAACACTAAGAAGAGGTAGTCAAGTAAAGGTACTTCATAAAACAATACTCCCAAAATATGCATTAATATTAGGATGTAATAAAAGGTCAACAATGTCATATGTGTCTCTTAAATGACCGGGAAAATAAGTAGCACACACTGCTCAAAAAACACTCCAAACCACTGACACACTCGCACAGTCACACACACACGCTTGTTTGCCTCAGCTTACTGACTGTGTTTGGTTAGGTGGTAGGCTGTTTTAGTGTCATCCTCCCAGTAGTAGGTGGCTGGCACTGATCGACACGAAGAGTACTGCATGAAGAAAGGACAGCGACAATACAGAAGGTCAAAGAGCAGTTAAATGCGACCAAACACAAGTTTTCACACTGACATGTCCCATCTAATTAGTTGTGTGTATAAAAATGTATATTACCTGTTGTTTCTGTGTGCACTTTGGAGCCATCGGTGCTGGTCACTTTGCATGAAAAAAATAATTTTCTGCCTTCTTTTTTATCCAGAGAGGATTCAATCAACACTGTGCTACCCAGTGGGATTGGCCTTGGGACAAATTAAAGTGTTTGTTAGGGAAAACTGAGCATGAATGATAATAATACATTATGAAGATGTTAGTTTAGATACAACTACAGAGATAGATCCCTGAACTGAATATTTTCTGTGCATTAAATCATTGTCAGTGCACATTATACCAACCTACAGCTGGTTGACACTTGTGAGACTTCTACTATACTGCCTGATGTACGAGCACATGTAGTTTTGAACCACGAAACAGCACAAATCATATTCCCATAAACTCTGCACACGGCAAAATATATTTTTTTCTTTCCTCTAAAATAAAATAAAATATATTCTACATAAAAAAAAACTCATAGCTGAAGTATCTTATACTGAGATGAGATGATAAAATGAACATTTAGGTATAATAATGAAAAGAGGGTCTTATGGACACACAGAAATCATTCTACTAACCAATTAAAAAGCACTTACATGTTGCTGAATTAAACAAAGCTACAAACATTAATTCTGCTGGACTATGTATGACAAAAAAATCTATTTACACAACAAATTAACTGTTGCATGTCTATGAAAAAAATATTCTTCCTGTACCTGCGGTAGTTGATGTTGAGGTTGGCAGTCACAACCGGTCCAGAGAGGAAAGAAGCGTGAGTCCCTGTCACAGTATCTATCATAGTGGCTATTGCCCCCCCGTGGACATGTCTGGAAACACATGCATCAAATCCAAAGTTTAAAAGTATAGTTTTGTGAAGTTTGAAGATGTAAAACTTGCCCATTTTATGAGCTAATTTGGCATTTGGCCTTTATTTGAAAGCTGAAATGACGGGAGACAGAGAAAGCGATGACATGTAACAAAGGTCCGTGGCCAGAATAGAACCATGGACCTTATATGATACGCTCGTGCCCATTTGGCTACCTTGGCAGCCCAAACTAGGCTGGGACCAGTGTGTAGGATTTAGTGGCATCTAGCAGTGAAGTTGTAACCATCTGAATGCAGCACAGCCTTCCAAGCGTGTAGGAAAGGTGGCCACGAAACTCGTGAAAAACGCAAAAGCCCTATATAGAGCCGGTGTTTGGTTTGTACGTTCAGGGCTACTTTAGAAACATGGATCAACATGGCGGCTGTCTGCTCCCTCGTAGATAAAAAAGGCTCATTCTTAGCTAAGTAAAACACAACATTATTTTTATGAAATCATACCTAAAACAACCCTATGGATGTGAAAATGAATATTATATATCATTTCTGCTAATAAATCCTCCTAAATGGTACACACTGGACCTTTAAAACAATAAAATGTGCAAATGCATTAAAGGTAATATTACTGTGTTGTTTTCAGTATGGAGTACAGTTAAGTAGGAACAGTATGTTAAAATACAACAAGCACAGATATATATGTACACAAACACACACACACACTGTACACAGTATTCTCACCCTGGTGGCCCCTCCAGTAAGTGTCCAGCCTGGAAGATGCCCACACACTTCTGCTCCTCCCTGTTAATAAACAAAACATACTCAAATGCTGCCCCCGGGTCGTTGATGTTCCGGGTAAAAAGACGAGCTTTTGACTGGATTATCTTACTGAGGTATACTCCACCTGACGGGAAAAAGAGGAAAAACACACAGATAAAATGTCAGCAACTAACAGACCATCCCAGGAAACAAACACAATAAATACAAATAGGTGCAAGGTTAGTATCATACTATTTAGATTAGATTTAATGTTACTAAATGTAAACTAAATATTTACAGTGTTACATCCCTCCAGAGGTCAAAATGTTCCCCTCTACAAACACAAATCACAATCCAAGGCATTAAATTTGAATAAATTGTAAAACAATAAATGTGACAAAAAGGTGGTGATGGTTCATCACTACAATCAACCCCTTTCACTTTGTTTTCGCATTGAGATTTGACACATTACACAACATTATAGCCACTTTAAGGTTTGCCAACTTGGTTGATTACTGCCAAAAAGTTGTCCCATCACTATGTTTACTCTATTTCATGAACAAGACAGACAAACATTATCACAGTATGCAACTTTACATGGAGCATATTTCAGGGCGCGATTGTAGCTCGGCACTCTCTTCCATGGCCCCTCCTGTTTCTCTCCTTCCTCCGTCTCCACCTCGCACTGGCTGTTGTAACGCTCGTACAACTGCATCAGTTCTGAGCCCCATGAGGGGTTAGGCAGGCTGAAGTCCCGGGGCTTGGGGGAAAGGAACGATGGCACCGCCTGCTGAAGAGAGAAATACAAAAACATATGCAGCCACTGATGTGTAGAAGGTTTGCTTCCTGGCTCCATTTTAAGGCAACAGAGGTACAGATGTTTATTATTCATCTCACTGTCAGAGAGGTATTTATTTCACTCTCTGTTTGTGTAGTTGTAGTTTTCAGTGTTTCAGAAAAGACTTTTCTTTTCCTCCCTTGGACCACTTTTGATAGGTACTGACCTCTGCAGACCGGGAACACCCCACAAGAGCTGCAGTTTTTGGAGATGCTCTGACCCAGTCGTCTAGCCATCACAATGTGGCCCTTGTCACAGTCGCTCCAATCCTCACGCTGCCCATTTTTCTGCTTCTAACACATCAACTCTGAGAACAAAATGTTCACCTGCTGCCTGATATATCCCACCCACCTCATAACGTTATGGCTGATCGGTGTATAGTTCAATAAAAAGAGCAGTGTGTAGGATTTATAGGCATCTAGTGGCTTGTACACCATTTCTGACAATAGGTCATCCTATCAGCATGTTACACACTGCTGGACCTTTAATACCTCTCATAAAATGACATATTAAGTGGTATAGAGTTGTATGTACGTTGCCCACCTCTTCCATCCATTACAATTATATAAAAAGACTAAAATTAGATTGATAAATATAATAAATAAATGGCTTTTTTTTTTTTTTTTACAACCTTAACTTTTTTTAAATTTTCGTCTCATCTCCAGTGTTTGCACCGGAATGCATTCAACACTCACCAAACCCAGCCACTGGACTGAGAAACATCTGGAAAGAGACTGAGTTTACAGGACACACAGGTGGAAAAAAAAAAAAAACCCCACTCAAAACGAGCCCACCACTCATTTCAAGCACTTTGATTGGACCTACCAGCACAGAGCGTCGTCTGACCGGCTGGTAGACGCTGGTAGACGGGTAGCGGAGCTGAGTCTGTATGGGGGAGACCGAGCCGAGGCGTTGCAAGCCATTGAATATTCGACCGAGACTTCTTGCCATCTGTACACTGCTTCAGAGGACGAGGATTGTGGAAGAACTGGTGTTTCTCTTTTGTTAGCTTTTAGACAAACTGGAGACAAACTAATAACGACGACTGATGTTGCTAGCTAACGGAAGCTAGCGCCGTAACAATACTATCGTTGTTCTGAACACTGAGCTGCGTTATGATATACCGTAAACACGTTAAACATATGTCACGTTTAGCTGTCTTATAAAATGAAAACACGCCCTGCTGGGTTTTTTACCGGTGACTTTCATGTGTCATCAGCTCAGCCAATGTAAACTTCCGGCATGAGGTGTTCACGTGACTTGAACCTCGCACTGTGATTGGTGATAGCTACACCCAGAGCCGACTCTGTAGTGTACAGCATATAATTACATCAGCTCTGTACACATATGTGTGTATATACACACACACAAAACCCTTTATTATTATATCACTTAACTAGTTCCACATTGTTTAACGTATAAACTTAAGAAATATCAAAATATTCAACTCAATTAGGACTTTATTCTTTAACTTCTGTCTATATATTGTCATTTATTGTATAATAATAATAATAATAATAATATATATACTTAGGGTCTTTTTATATTTCTATTTTTGTTTTTTACTTTTAACTTATATGTAAATAGCTATATATACACACACACATTTTCATATATATATATATATAGATATATAGATATATAGATATAGATATAGTGTGTGTTAGATACTGTAATCCAGTTATTTGTTCTATTCTTTAACATTGTATGAGCATCTTGACCAACTGTAACAAACACATTTCCCCCCAGGGGTTTAATAAAGTATTTCTATAGTAGGTATGTGACTCAAGCAGTGGCTGTACACGTTTGCTTAAATATGATTTTATTGGCAATAGTAATTTATGATACTATAACAAAGGCTGTGTTTTAACTTCCCAAAACTCCTCAAGCAAAATAAATCAATTTTAAATGTGGTGTAAAAATCCAGTGAACTCTTAAGACAACGATTTGAAATTGAAACCAATAGGTGGGTATTGTCGTATTTTCAGTCTCATATCTGTTTTGATTTGTTTTTTCTGAGTTTCTTTTTGTATGCACCTGATCCTATTGGTCTTTTGTATGATGTATGATTAAAGGCATGATGTTATAGGAATAGAGAAATGTGTGTTACCAATTGGGACAAACTAAGTTGCAAAGCAAGTACAATTTAAACAAAATGTACCATAAAATAAATATACTATTAGATTAGTGAAATACAGTTATACACAAAAGGTTGTATGTTGAATAATTCTCTTCAAGAAAAATTGATTTCATGATAATAAACCTAAGCCTTTTAAAATATTTGAATGACTTATGACTCTTATAGCTTACTAAACAACACACACAACTACATTTTCATAAAATGTTCATCAGCTGTGACCTTAAGACACAAAGGGGCAGCAGCAACAAAACAAATTAATAGCATCCTCTGGGAATCTACTACAATAAATGTTTATTTTATTCATTTCTTCTTTTATTTATGCAATTTCATGCTCTTCAAATACATTTAAGTTAATTGCAAGTCTTGCTACAGTTTAACACAAACTGATTGCTCAGTGCACTTACATTCATTAAAGACGCAGTATCACTAAACACCACTTAAGTTAAATTAAGACTGGTTTTCCAGTTCACTTCAGCACACTTGCCTTATAAAGAGGTGTTAAATTGAGCAAGACAGATTCAACCACAGAAGTCACTTGGTTTGTTGTTCATTTGAAGTTACACAAGTTATTTGTCATGCCATTTCCCAGAATAGTATCTACCATTTTGTAGCACGCTGGAGGCCAAATTTGAGGGCTCAGACTCAAACCAGACAGCCTGGCTTCCCCAAAACAGTATTCATCGAGGAGGTAGAACAGGAAATGGAAGATACACTTTGCATATTAAGTAGCTTAGCTCATAATCACGACTGAAAAATGAAGTGAGGTTGTCGTTCTTAATCCTTGGTTCTTCACTAGGGGGAGGTAGAGGGACGTGCTACTGAACTAATAGATGATAGATTGATATAATGCATCATAAATGAGTGCACATTATGTTCATCTTCCAGCTCAGTTTAGCATGTTGGTTTTGGCCTAACCCTTTCCTCGATCCAACACGTGACATTAAGTGATATTTTCATGTTTCAATTTCATTGTTCCATTTAATTCACTAGGCTGGTTTACAAATTCTTCCACACAGCCATCTCAGGTCTCAGTTAGTAAACAGACGCACATGTACTTTCTGAATGCATAACAGTCAGTCAGGTCTCATCAGGGCGGCAGGGCAAAAACATACATACACCTCAGGCATGCTGGTTCAGGTGCAATGTAGGTTTACTGGTTCAATCAGGGGAAGTTATTTTGGCAGTACCAGATGACCAAGTAAATTTTTTCATAAAGGCTGTAATTACAAGTATTAAAGTGTTTTGCAGTGGCAAAAGGCAGAGCTAGATATAACCAAACAACAAAATAATATTACAAAATTATATAAAATTATTTCCCCCAATCCTATGCATTTGTCCATTGGATGTATGGAGTTTTATTTTTAAACAGTTTTTATTTTCTAACAATAAACAAGCAGATCTGTTACTACATCAGTAATATTATAAAATGTGTCATTGTATGTATGGCCCATTTTTAAAAAGCTCACAGTCAATGCTGAGTGCTTTTATTTTGAAGCTTCAGGGATTCCACACAGCTTCCTGCAAAATTAAGACAAGAAAATATATAATGTTAATTTTGTCCTGATCTGATACGTTTGCCTTGCGTCTTTACTCTTACAGCCATGACTCTATTGTGTGGTCCAGCTCTAAAGAGTTTGTACAGTTGAAATGGAGAGGCCTAGGGCTCTCTGATGTTCTGGACAACTCTAGCTGACCCTTCCTATCGAGGATGAAAGAAGGAGTTTCAAATCTTACCGTGCTTCTTCCTTGGTTGTATCCACAAAGGCACAAATAGCTTTATCTCGATCCAAAATCTGTTGTTTCAAGCTCTGAATGTCCTCCTCAGCCTTCTTTTTGAGCACTTCGTGATCAGCTGAGGAAATTAGAGTATAACAGAAACAGAGAGCATACAAAATGAACATTGCCATATTGAATACAACAGAAATTAGTGATTTTAGGTGGAAAACAAATATAAAAGCACAAAAATGTTAATGTCAGTTGCTAGTTATATCAGTTTGGATAAGCAGTGTGCAGATCAGTGACTGAACCCATGTGCAGTTTGTCTTGTGTAGAGAAACATCGTTTGTCACATTCTCCTGTCTGGATCAGTTTTGGATCGGCCAATATTAGTGTACAGAAATACACCATCTGCCCAGAACTGACATCACCAGAAAAGAGGTGAAACAAAAAAGCTTACCATGGAGTTTAGTTATAGCAGAGGCCATATCTTCCTTCTTCTTCACAGCGTCTGCCTAATTGGGTCACAGGTGAAAAGTATTTAACAGTTGTTACATGCATGAATGAGGAGGAACAAAGAGGGTTCAGAACATAAAATCAAATATTTGGATGCAACAGGATACTGAGGGACAAGTTCAGTCAGTCAATATTGGACATCATGTGCGTCCTGAAAGTGATACTACCCTGTGAATAATGCTATTGTATGATGTGCTGCAGTGCATAGTAGACATAACTGTGACTCTTGCCTTTTCCGTGTTACAGGTCTGCAGACTTTTACCAAGTTCCCCCGCTGACGTTTCACTTTCTGCCTTCTTCTTCTTCAGCTCATCCAACTTGGTGTTGACGGACGTCAGCGTGTCCCTCATGTCCTTGATTTTGTTTTTCACCTCCATGATGGCTTCCTCTTTCTTCTTGACCTCCGCCGAGTTCTCCCCCATGCGGGTTTTCAAATGGCGCAGGCTCAGCTCCTGGCGCACGGCCTGGAAAATCATTACAACCATCAGCGCCACACTCAGGCCGACTAAAACGATCGCGACCTTCATCGTGGCTGATACGAGGCAAGACCGGATCAGAGAGGGACTAACTGGTGGAGACTGCTGCCGCCGATCACTTGCTGTTCATCCCGGGTATCTCTCCACCCGTGTCTCCTCCAGCTCTGTCAAGGTCTGACTGTGGGCATTGTAATTGTTACCTGCTCTACCTGTTCAACAAGCTGGGCGTGACAGCCCCAGCCTTTTCCTCCTGTAGTCGGCACGCAATTGTACAAACACATTGAGTGGATTTGCATCATGATCATGTGGCTTCCCTTGAATAGGCTACCTAACATAAATGCAACCTCGTATTCAGGATCAAACTAAATGAATTCTAGTTTTACAGTGTTAAAATGATATAATCACACTGCACAAATATGTGTCACTGTCATAAGAGATCCAGTTTGTCCTCTCTGTCAACACAAAGATCAACACAAAGACACGTTAGCGTATTATCTCCAGTCATACTTGAATTGCTGGTGAGAAGGACAGCACAGGTGTAGGCAGGGCAAACCTGTTTCTCCCAGAAGTTATGTGGGAAGAGAGGGCGTGTTTTCGGTTCAGTTCAGTCCACGAGCACAGGTGAGTCAGCCTCCTGGCCTGATTGCCTTTAAGAAACGCAGAGAGGTGTAACCAGGGCGACGCGCAAAGCAGCTCCGCGTCCAGGCCGATGACTCCCTGACTGACTGAATGCTGCATGGACGTTTAAAGGAACTGTGCTGTGACACCTGTTGGAGGAAATATAGCTACCCACACCAAGGGCAAATATCTCACACAAAGAAGGCTCGCAGCACGGTTGGAAAAACATGAAGGTGCAAGTGATCCTACCTCTGACTTTAGTCGTGTCGGTGGCTTTGGTGGGGCTCATGAAATTACGCAAAAAGGAGTACGACAAAGAAAACAGATTAAACAAGTTTGAGGATATCAAGCTCCGGGTGACCTACGATGTGCTGAGAGAGTATGAGAGCGAGAAGGCAAGGATGCAGAACCTGCTTGAGAAGACAAAGAGCGAGCACAATGCGATGGAGGAAGAAGTGAACAAAGTCGGCATGAACGAAGAAAAGGCGAAGGGTGAGGTGGACATCTGCCAGGGAGAGCAGGTGAGGAGAAAACTAAACTTAAGAGAATAGTGGAAACACGTGAAAGAAGAGTGTCCGCTTAAACAATGACATGCTTCACAACTGAAACATTACATTTTCTTTTTAAAATGTGCATTTCTGTCTTTTCATAGACATTGGTATATTATTTTATAATGTAGTCTCTTTCTGAGGAAGAGCAACTGAATTGTGGGGAAAAACACATCATTGCATCTGCCAGACTGTAGGCCTTACAGGTGCCACTAAACTCCAGCAACAGAACACCTTTTTTATTTGAAAACTATTTGTTTAAATGATGTAAATTAATCTACTGTGTCTGCTTACAGTATATACATGGTAGGCTTTAGTCTAAAGTTTCTTATTTTACTACACAATCATTTCCCCAACTGCCACAAAACGATATCGCAGTGGATGTTGCTTTAAAAAATATTCTTTTAGAAAAATCATATAAGATCTGTCCTCTCCTGTCTCTGCCCCTAGTGCTACTGTACTAAAATGTATTTATTTCAACTCATACTTTGAAACACTAAATTTCTTAAAGCGGCAATAAATGCATAAACATATGCACCAGCAAAACAAATGTTCCTCTGCTGTGGTGTCAAGTAGGACTGCCAACAGTAATTTGCATTTACATACCTATTGCTCTCATGTATTCTCTGCCCGTCGATAACTGTCTTTATAAAGTTTATCTTGGGGCTTCACAGTGGTTTGTGGTAATTCCTCAGAGAATCTAAACAGAACATCACCCCAAAGAGAGGGAATAATGAAATTGTGCAGCCAAGAATATGAAGTGTATCATCATACTTGTATACTTTAACACTGATGCCAAAACTGTGTTGTGTGATCCAATTGATATTATGACAGAAATTTTCAAATATTGGAAGGAAGTTGAAGATATGTAGGATATCAGAGTGTGTGTGTGTGTGTGTGTGTGTGTGTGTGTGTGTGTGTGTGTGCACGCGCATGTGTGGAGAAAGGTTGTCCAACAAACTCTGGTTTGTGTTGATGAGATTCTATTTTCCACTTGCAGAAATCTGCAAGAGATCAGCTGGCAACAGTAGAGACAGAATTCAATAGTCAACAAGGTAGGTGCTGATTGTCAAGAGACAAAGACAAAGTTTCTTTGTCTCATTTGCATGATGCATTTTAAATGATTTCTCCTTCAGTTGAAAAATGAGACTTTGAGTTGATGGCTCTTAATTTTTGAAACACTTGTGAATTCCTTGTGCCACATTATGATACTTACAGCTGCAAACGATAAGGAGAAGGCCAGCTGGAAAGCAGAAGAGGAATCACTGAAAGTGCAACTAGCAGCACGGAGCTCTGTGTGTGACTTTGTGAAGACACAATCATTACAAGCAGCAAGGTATGGTTACTACTTTACCGGACTTTTAAAAATGATGAGATCTGTGCATAATGAAATCAATGCATTCACTTCCTTTCTATTGTTTAACTTTGTCTTAAAGTCAGTTGTGCGGCAATGAAGTGAAAGTGGAAGAGCCTAAAGCAGAGGCCCCTAAGCAAGAGGAACCAAAGGCAGAGGCCCCTAAGCAAGAGGAACCAAAGGCAGAGGCCCCTAAGCAAGAGGAGCCAAAAGCAGAGGCCCCTAAGCAAGAGGAGCCAAAGGCAGAGGCCCCCAAGCAAGAGGAGCCAAAGGCAGAGGCCCCCAAGCAAGAGGAGCCAAAGGCAGAGGCCCCCAAGCAAGAGGAGCCAAAGGCAGAGGCCCCCAAGCAAGAGGAACCAAAGGCAGAGGCCCCTAAGCAGGAAGAGCCTAAAGCGGAGGCCCCTAAAAAGAGATGACCTGCATTTGAACACACAGAATCTTGCTTTACTGGGTCGGTGTCGCATGAATATTCTATTCAATCTGTTATTTATTTTTATTCAACAACATGACAAAGAGTGAAAACACATTTGGATGTGGGTCATATGTTGTATTTGTAACTTTGCGTCACAATGCAAATCATTTTGCTGGCTAGGTTAAAGAGTTCACTCACATTTGTTGTAACTTAAAGGAAATGTAAGAATTGTTTGTCTGACCATAATTCAGTCTGGATTTAAAGCATAAAAATTAAATGTGAACAAACTTTGTTTTTAAAAAGGGGGTTGTATGTATGCAGTACCTTGTCAAAATTTGACTAACTTTGAATTTAACTTAAATAAATATTCTTTTCCAATAACATAAATTGTCATCAATAACAATTTAACATACATGTATATAACTTTATCAACTATGTTCTTCAAACTGGCAGTGGAGGAAAAACTATTCTACTCTCAACTTAGGTAAAAGTAGAAAAACAACATGTACTCAACTACAAGTAAAAATCCTCAGTTTAAATATTAACTGAAGTAAAAGCACTATTGATGTCCCAATCCAATCTCACCGACCGGTATCGGCGTTGATGAAGACATCGGTATCTGCTATGTTGAGCTTTATTGATCTTATCTTTACTGTCAGCTGTCATATGGCTCCTGTTACTCACAAAGCTTTCATGAACCGTGAAACTCCCTCCAGACAGTGGTAAGACCAACAAGATTACTATTTTATAATTATTAATTGTTATTTTATACTTTTATTGTGTAAAATATATATATATATATATATATATATATATATATATTAGCTGTCGATCTTCAGCTGTCCTATCCAATAAAGCCATGAAAAAGGCCCAATAAATAACTTTAAAAAAATTAAGGAACAGCTTGGATGCAGGCATTTTGTTTGTTAATGCAAGAGCAGAGCTATTCAATTGTCAAGCACTAGATTGATTTTAGTAACTTGAATGTACTTGAAGTGTGCAATGTACACCTGTATTATCTTAGGAGCAGCAAAATGCACTTTTTTATATACTGTTGTATAGTTAATTTATGATTTTTTTTAAACTGATCATATTTGCATCAGTGTAGTGTAGTAGTATAAAGTATAATATAATGGAAATACTCCAGTTCAAATACCATGGACTTGTTCTGAAGTACAGCACTTCCACCAAAGCTTGTAAAAAGAATAAGTAAGTAAAAAAAATCTGATAGTAAAAGCACAACATTGGGTCCACTAGTATCTCCTTGTCTATTCCCAGAACTGTAGAGCAGCCAAAAAGCCCGTATAGCACAGGGGCCCAAGGACCCTGGGCCAGAGTCTCTTTTTGAGGTGACTGTTAATAAATAATATTTAGACAGTAATATTTCTTGTTGTAAAGTCACAGAGCACATAGATCACTGCTCCTGATCCAAAATGTTCTGATATCTGCCAACCAAATCCAGTGCAACATCTGTTTTTATTGTTTTATTTTGTTTATTTCATATGGCAGTTGCACCGCATACTGGGCCTACAGTCATCCACATAGCAACAACTGGTCTGACCCAATCACAGCCCACAAAGCCCACTTACATTCAGTTCAAATACAGAAATTAATTACGGTCCAAAGGTGGTCCAGATCTGGTCCAAAGGACACTAAAAGACAGAACCCACCACAGCCACAGCCTGTTCACCCTGCTGCCACCTGGGAAGAGTTACAGAAGCTTTTCTGCCACCAGACTTAAAGACAGCTACTTCCAACAATCAGTGACACTGTTAAATTCTTCCTCAATTCATTATACAAATTAGTATTTTTATTCTTTTTTTATTTTCATGACTTATATAAGTAGCATGTTGATGCACCATTTGGTTCATTAGGTCTCGTGTGTAAAATAAAAAATAAAATAAAATATTCCAAATTCAGAACATTTGTTTTTTTTTAATCCATTGTATGTCTTAAATTATAACAAACAAATCCCTTACAAAAAAACAAACAATAGCCGACCTAGGCACAGTCAAAAACCACAAGCATCCCTGTGCACCACATCTGCACCAATTAGTCTCTGGCATGAATAGACTGGCTACCCACAGCACCACCCGAACTCAAACACAAAAAATGGCTCCAACATGGTATAAAGGGAACTATAAGGAACTAGTTTCATTATACAGCCATGCGTTGCATATTACAATAAAATAAGGCCAGATCATACCATTGGCTAGATATGGCTATGTCATCAGTATGTCATAAAACTATGCACATAACACACTGTACACAATAGTAAGGGTGTGGGGCTTATCAAACACAAGGTTGTGTAATACTAACAAAACTAACCTGTATCCTGGTTGCACAGGTAATGATTAATGCATGCAAACTATGTGAATGAGAGACAAAGAAAGACACAGAAAGTGGAGAGAGAAAAGCCAAACACTTCACATAGTGTAGTAAAGTAGATTTATCAACAACAAAAAAAACAGGTCTACTGTATGCTGAGCCTCAAAACAGGCTGACTTTTCGTTTATATTGTGTGATGTCAGTTATTTGACTGCATGTAAATAGGCGACCCTGGGAAAAACTTAACGAAGAAGAGACTGTTAAATTGCACATCATCTGTTCATGTGATTTGTGTATTTTGTTGCAGTACATTACGCTTTTCTGGCCCTTTTTCCCCCTCTGTTAGATAACTCCTCCACCTCCAACGCTGAAAACACAGAGATAGGTATTGAATAATCGTTGTTAACCTTGTCTGCCTCTCTCTTTCTTAGTGACCCTGCCTCAGGGTGTGTGTGTGTGTGTGTGTGTGTGTGTGTGTGTGTGTGTGTGAGAGAGAGAGAGAGAGAGAGAGAGAGAGAGAGAGAGAGAGAGAGAGAGAGAGACCAAAGCACAGACCAATCAGAGAACCCAAAGCCTTTGTCTGTCACTCCCTATAAACTTCACTATATTATGTTCACAGTGAAGCTTTGGCTGTACAGTTTGTATTCTGGTTCATCCTAAAGCTTCAGTTTTAATAAAATGTTGCCTTTCTTTGAGTGTGGTGCAAATGATCTTTTAAATCTTTTAAACCTAAACACTTACAAACAAAACAATCTCAATCAGACTTGAAATGCATTTTTTCATTCATAGAATAAAGCTACAACAGCAGCTTTGTGAAGCGCTCCTGTTAGATAGTTTAGTTAATATTCAACAATATAGTGTTTGATTTAGTCTTTATTGTATGGTGATTGTATTTCATTCGGCTGAACAGGTGTTTTTTTCTTTTATTTTTTCAACTTCCTGTAAAGTTCCAGATTAAATACGTTAGATTTATTCAATCACTGATTTTGGATTAGATTAATACAAATTGGTCATGACTGCTCCATATTGACGGGACTGCACATTCTGATTTATGCAATCATTTTGTTGAATATGTTTATGTCATTTTGATGACATGTCTGTATTTGTGCACATTTTGTTATGGGATGTCATGATGTAATGATGTAATCCATTGGTGTGGTCACTCTGTTTCTATTAAGAGCAGGAGACTTTTTAAGAATTGAAACTTTTTTGCCCTTTTTGAAAATTGTCAAATTAGATACAGATGTTTTACATAATTAGATGTTTAGTGCTGCATCCTTACTAGAAATTAGATGTCAAAAGAAATAAAACGGATTGATATGTATATAAACTAATTTTAGATTAATCTGATTTATCTAAATGATTTTGATCTTTTGACCTTTGACCTGTGAGTGGAAAAGCATAATAGCTTTGAGGCTTGGACTGAAGAAGTAAATGATTTTGCTCTGTGTATTTAAGAGGAAGTGACTGGGACTATGAAAAGGCTTACAAGTGAATTATTATACTGAATATAAATAATGTTAGTCATTCAAAGGATTACATTTTTTTAATCCTCATATAGTTCCTTTTTTACTTTCTATTACCCTGTCATCTTTCACTTTGCCTCACACTGCCCTCCATCTGTTGGAGATTAAAATACTCCCCCCAGGCTCACAATTAGGCAATCAGAGGGCCATCATTCCGCCCCAATAGGCTCACAAGGTCAGTGTCGTACAGGAGAGGATACAGAGACAGCAGAGGAGGGATATTCAGTCTGTCTGATGTCACAAACGAGGGCTGTTGTTCATGAAATGTACTTTCTAATCTGATATAGAAATTGAAAACGCAGAATGTCAAGTACATTTGTGAGAAAAATTGTTTGACGTTTGTAAATGAAGCTGAATATGTGAATCATACACTGTATAAATTCTCATTCTCACAGTGTACTTTTTATCTGCTACACCTGTTCTACGCCTGCTTTTTACTGACTACAAAAAAAACATCTGCACTCACCCGTAGGGGAAAGTGCTGTGTTCTTCATTAACCATCATATCTGACAGATGATGTGAAGTCAACATGTGTTTACAGTCCCACACTACTCCACACAGATAGAATGATAATACCATCACCAGTCATCTTAACAACCAGAGGTCAGGCTGACAGTCAGAGGTCACCTTGACCACTTGGAGTTGGATTGTCAATTTAAAATTTAAATTTAAAAAACATTCACAATGGGATGTTTACCGATAAAAACTTTTATATGAGGTTCTGAATATTCATCCAGTAGGTTACTTCACACACTTATATACAAAAAACCAATAGCAAAAGAAGTATTGAGACCTTTTATTTAAGTAAAAGTGGCAGGATTTTGAGGTAGTAATATAAAAACCATCACCTGGCTCACATGAGACTACTACTATAAGGGAAATATCCACAATGTCCTGACTTATTTTAACTTTTTTTGCTATATGTCCAATAAGCTTTGCATATTGTCTAACATTCTTGATGTAAACCTAGCTGCACAATAGGAAAAATATAAAAATTTGCAAACATATGAACAATGTAGTTAAACAACTCACACATGCAGATACTGAGAGAAGTTGACTTTAAGATCGCTGATCCTCACACAGGATGGAATTCATGTTTACACATCAGTCATTTGATATATTTGAATTGTTAAAGAAAAACTTAGTAACAGGATACAACGAGTGGCTTAGGGAGGTGACCGTCATGTGTTCACGCTTGTCCTCCCTACAGGCAATAATAATAAAGTTATTTGACTTTGCATCGGCAGTCGTGTGTGTGTGTGTGTGTGTGTGTGTGTGTGTGTGTGTGTGTGTGTGTGTGTGTGTGCCTGAGTGTGTGAGGTAGGGAGCTCACAGTAGGATGAACATCACATCTATTGATCAGGCTAATGTGGGGAGGAAAGGCTGCAGGCCACAGCAGCTGATCAATATACCTCTAATTACATGTGGCACTGAGTGTGTGGGTTACTGAACGAGTGAGTGTCCCCCCCAAACTCACAGGGTTGTGTATATAAATGCTGTCCCACTGAGGAATTGCTCACACGATCATACACA